GTCCAACACGCGCAAACTCTTCCTCGCTGAAAATCCATCCAGGTCCCTGAGGTTGAAGTCCTGTGCTTGAATCACGTCCTTAACGAGGCGCGTTACTTCAGCCTCCGATTTTTGATGACTCCCAGAGTTCATCCATGACATAAGGCGGTAGATTGTCATGTTAGGGAAAGGATAAGGCGGCTCAGAGACACCGGAAAATGGATCAGACGTCTCAGTATTATGCACATCGGCCACTGGACAGGAGTGAGCTAGTTGTGAAGACGGAATAAATTTATCGGGCTCGAACGAGGGCCGCCTTGGGTATTGTCGACAAAGGCCGACCACGTTAAATGCTGTTTGGAGAGAATCGCGTAGCGTAAGAAGGACTCTCTGGATTCTGCGCTGTGGTGGATTCTGCGCTTCAGTTACGGGAGGAGGATCATTCCCAGAAGAATCAGAAGGGTTGATATCTTCATCTGCAGGTAGCCGATCCTCGAAACTTCTTGGGGGTAGCCGCCTAACCGTCCGTCGCGAAGAATGTTGACCTGGGTCTGCTAATGATTTATGAGTACTATAGCACAGATAAGAAATGTCACGGAGATGCGCACCTGGTATAGCATGATCTCGCTCAGTCATATCCGAGTCCTCCATTGGCAATAACATCCAAGGCGTCTGGGGTACTATCATGATAACCAACGGTACCCGACTGAATCATTGGTAGGCTCATGTTGCGTCCGTAACGCCTAGTTCGCAAGAAGCTATAGGCTTCACGCAGCGGCCACGGTCATTTGTGAGTCGAATCGGTTCGAGCTATTGGATGATAGATTGGAAGGTTGGGATCCGATTATGAGTTTTGTGGCAATAACTAGTACTAGTGGTGTCTTACATTAGGGGTCCTAGATGTGAGCTGCGGAATTGGCTTTTGCAATGCTTCAATCAACCCTCTCGCCCGGTCCCGCCTTCCTTCTCTGCGTGGCTAACGTACTTGCCTTCTGGTAATGCTTGCACGTAGAGCGATGCCTACTAAGTCCCCGAAAATCTGTGTCCCTCGTCCAAGAGCAGCGTGATGCGCCGCAGGACACCATTGACAATACCAAGATAACGAAAAGAATCCAAGTGATCGTCGCATTCCACCGAGGCTGCGACGATAGTTTGAAAGATACCATCATCTATGCCGCGCGTTCAAGATTCGTACGTCCTCATTAGGCATTTCCATATTTGCCAGACCAAGATGTTCATTTTCGTAGTCACATCGACGAGTACATGTAGTCAACAACAGATAGTACGTAGGATATCAAGATAAAGTAACGATCAGAAATAAGTAGCAGAATGTCAGAGACTACGGTCCTTGGATCACTCGTAGTAGGGTGATCAATAGCACCGGCACATCGCTCTGGGCTGGTAATCCGGCATCACACAAGATGCCTTCTGAAAGCTCTGTGACCATGCATCTTCTTCGCCCTTCAGAATGGTCAGGAAATGGGTGTACTGGCGGACTCTGTGCTGGGCGGCAAGATAGTTGGCTAACACCGTGTGAGCGGTGTGCACTTGAGTAACATATCCTGCTCGTCGTCTTCCACCTCGATTCCGTCGAGTGTCATCCTACACAAACTCTGTTCCGTCACTACGTAGCCTGCCTCCTGAAGTCTCTGCGCCCACGCATCTTCATCGCGCTGAAGGAGTGTCACAAATTGCGTGTATTGGCGGACCCGACTCTTTGCTGCCAGGTAGCTTGAATGAACGGTGTCGATACTGTACATGGCGAACAGCTTATCTTGCTCATCGTTATCTGTGTTGATTGTGTCGAGCGACAACTTACACACACTCAGTGTTCGCCGTAAATTAAAACAAGGAAATCCTCGTACTATGTATATCCGCTCCTCAAGCTTGTGACCAGCATATATTATGTTTGAAAGATGTTCGGACTTGGCAGAATTGCTTGAGCTGCCTTCATGAAGAGAGCGCTCAAAATTGTAGGGAATTGGCGATAGGGTTGAAATTGGAGATGTTAACATTGCGGGAACCTGAAAGCAACTCAGTACTCGAGGTTTGAAAGCAGACGCATACCCTATGTATTTTTGATGAGATTTTTGATCGGAGTATTCGGTGTTTTAAATTGCCTCTTCCTATTCAAAAATTCATACCGTCACGGTTGCGATTACTAGTGTTCAGCGAGGTTGGGGGGAGATGCCAGCGCGTGGCGTTGCCGCTTCCATCACTTGGCTGAGAGGGCTCGTCAATACGAGTACTTGGCATCGATATCTCACTTACTAGTAAGTGCCACAGGGGTTGATGCTATCCTGCTATTACATGTGGATATATTTGGCAATGCCAAATAAGGGCGTCAAATCGAGATTCGAACCGCTTCATTTCAAGCTCCGAGAAGACTCCGACTGATCTGAATCATCATTGAATGTTGTACAGACAGTCCGAGTCACTACTGTACGAGTAGGCATGGTAGTACTACTAATCCTCGACAAAATGAATGTAAGAGATCCACATTTCGGTAAAGATCTTGTCCGACTCCTTCTTGTCCGAAACCTTTTTGCCTCCACCTTCAGGTTGGAGGCTAACACCTGGCATTACCGTGACTGTAGCAGCTGATGACCGGTCTGTCCCGCCGGCCACCAATGTAGGTGATGCAGAGGGTATGACGAGTAGAGTTGGAGGCGGTGGTGGTGGCGGCGGCGGCGGAGGAGGAGGAGGAGGAGGAGGTGGTGGTGGTGGTGGTGGTGGTGGTGGTGGATGCGGTGGTGGAGGAGGGGCGGGAGCGGGAGCGGTATGAGAAGGTAGCGGTGGAGGTAGCGACACGGATGGGGTATTTGATGGCACTTGGTGTGACGAAGAGCCGACGGGTGGCTGCGGAGACAAATGTTGGTGCTGGTAATAAAAAAACGGCACGTTTTCCTCCGCCGCTGCTACATACGCCTGCCTCACAGACCGCTGCGCCCTAGACGCACAACCGGGATCGTAGGATTTGAATTCGCGACCTTTGTCATTGTTGTTGTTATTGCGTTCTATAGTCATAGTAAGTTCACGTTGATGATGACTCGGGTCATTCAGAAGGGGGAAAACGTACGTGGGGGCATGTCTGAGTCCTATTACCCATAAGCCGTACGAACGAGGGCGGCAGCGAGTAGGTTCGAGTGCAATTGTTAGTCCAAGGACATGAGGGGTATTTAAAACTTACCGCGACAGTTAACTTACATATTACAACACATGTTCGAACCTTGAGGTCGTTGTGTCACAGAACATTCTATTGAAATTTAATGAGCGTGCGCAGGGCTTGCGACACGATGCTCCCTGGCCTGATGGATGGTGCTAAATCGAGAATTCAATGACACTTACCTACCGAATAGACTCTCGGCTAGAGCCTCGAGTGCGGAAATACAAGAACCAGGGTGCGACTCGGAGACCTCCAGCTCCAACCCTGGGGTTCTTGATATGGAGGGTTTTAAAGACCTCGGGTTGTTCCTCGCTGGGCAATGACCCCGCGAAGATCTGCGGGTATGAGGGCACAACAGACAATTGTGTATCTACTTCCGTTCCATTGAAAGAACGCCTGGCGTTGAAGGTCATGGCGCTCGTCTTGTCAAACATCCTGCTTTGTGGGGTCACTGAGAGATGGTCGTTCGAGGGCCTCTGCTAGGACGCGATGTGCGTTTTTCTTCAAATGCAAGTGTAAAAGGGGGTCAGGTAGAATTGTGGTAAATTTTCTATCAGGCAAAGTCAAATGAAAAGTATGCTAACTCACATTTATGTTCTGTCGAAAATTCCTCAGTGGTGACGCCGAGATAGTGTCAGAGACTCGTGAAGAACGAGAGTGAACAAGAAATCTACATGCAACGTCAGAATGCCGCGATGGGCGGCTCGGGAAGAACGAGAGTGGACGAGAATACTTAGTACATGGGTCAGAGCGACGTAATTCACGAGGAAGACTCGGGAAGAACAACTGAAACTTCGAATGGACGTTTAACACGTATGATGAAGTTTCAGTTAATAGTAGTTAAACCCATGAGTACCCACCATATTAATAACACAGCAAGTCACTCTTCATCACGTGACCGTATGGTGATATGTGAATGAGCCTGTTGCTCATGCCATGCAAGGCCTCTTAAAAGCTGGTCAAAAGGCATGCATGCTTCATAAGGCTTTACTGTATGCTTTGAGCTTTTTTAAACAGTCAGTACTAGTCAGTGATCATACATATTCAGATCAGTGAAAATATTGGTGAGTGTGCACGTGCTGCCGTTCCTGGCGATGATCGTTATCATTTGTAATCTTGATCATCTCTTTCCACGACTTCTCTATACTCCAAGCTTGTCAGAGCTCGCCACACGAAGTCAATAGTCACCACCCAGCACCTAACAACCATGCCTACCCTAGTGGCTCAGCATGAAAAAAAAACTTACCACAGCTCTTTCATTCCCAAACACCCCTACAAACTCTATGAAACCAGAACCAACTCTGCTCCACAGACAACTTCTGCCAACCACAAGACAAACCTCATCAAAGTTGACAAGCCAGCATCCTCAAAAGATAGCACTGAAAAAAGAGGTGTTACCAAATCATCCGTTGGGAAAGAGGAGACACCAGAAAGCACACCAGTTACAGCTCATGCCTCCACAGATTCCAGTCCATTGCATGATGTCTGCCAGCGGCCCATTCATTATGATCCATCTACCAGTATGTCAACGAGAATTAAGTGGTTAATTAACAATATTCTGACTGAGTTGAAGATATGATACGGAAAGTATTGAGTTATGTATCCAATCCAGCTTTACACAAGAATCGCATGGTATGTTTCCTCATGTTCGATCCTGTGTTCGTGTGCTTACTCAATATCACAGGAATTCCGCGGTGTGGGAGCGCGGGAATTCGGATCAATCGAAGAGATTTTGAGCGCAACTTCCCGATTTTCGACCAAGCCCAGGCAAGCTATTTGTAGCTAACGCTTTCGGGCAATACTAAATCTGTCCAGGCTGACTTACGAACGCAACACCCATATACTCATCGTCGACATGCCCACCGTTCTCCACGAAGCATCGTTCGACGTGGTGAAGGATGCCATCATCAAAAGTATCGACGCCCTTCCGTATGATCGCGACATCATTTTTACGACAACCAACATGAATTGGCCGCTAAAAGTCAAGGGCGCATCGATCACAGCTGATGTGATCGTCTCAATCACTGCAATGGATCTACCAGCAAAAGTCGTTCTGGTTCCCTTCCTTGCTGAATGCGCTCTCTCGGAGAAAGATGAGCATGTATTTGGAAAAGTTGAAAAAGTTGTTTTGGCGCGTCCAGACATTAAGTGCGCGGTTGTTGTTTTAGTACGGGAGGATACAGACTACGCCGCTCCCGATGACGATTCCATCGCATCAACGGTCCTACGTGGCGGCACTAGCAGTGACCCGCGCCTCCTCACTCAAGAAGATTTCCTCAATCTACGCACCACGCCACGTTCATTCAGTGAGCCCGTCGTAATCGGCGACCATACATGGTGCCATGTCACATCGGTGGAATACTTCGTCTGGGTGAAGGGAGATGATGCGCCGATCAACGTTCGTTCCAAAGATCCTGCGCATACGGCGTACGGCGTAAGTTTACATCCTTCTCAACCTTTTGAATCAATTTGACGGATTTGATCCAGACATTGGTGCCCACAGTAGATATGGACTCCGTCACCAACATGCTTGACAAAGGGTTGACGAAGATTAAAGACTCTATTGTAACTTTACAGCAGAAGCTCGCGCCCGACCTCGACTTCACCGTTCTCGCGGAAACTCCTATCCAATCTTTCTTTGACTGGAGCCGTGCCTCGAGACGAATCCTGACAGCCGCCGAAATCACCGCCTACGACCGTTATTGCGAGTGGCACGTGAAGCTTTTCGGCGAGTCGGATAGTGAGAGTTCTTACGCCCCTTCGGAACAGACAGATGACTCGGTTGAGGAAGAGATGGCGGACGCTCAAGGCTCCAAACGTAAGCGTGCGAGCACGTCCGACCTTCCCTCTTCTAGGTTTAAAATCCCGAAGGCGGCCTAGTGGGAGATATCTGACTGAACGTATCACTTCACGCATTTTTGATTTTGACTCGAGCGAGTCACGGACATTCATTTTCGTACTGTAGTATCACAAGATTCCATCCGTTTGTATTAATTAGTGGCTACGATGTCTTTACGCCCTGACTATACTGGTACATGCTTGATGTGTAGGGGGACCTGGTTTTTCGTTCAAGGATCAAGGCTTGCAATGTGTTCGTTTGATGGGTCTAATATATAGTAGACAAATTTCATGACCCGGTATGTGTTCACGCGCATTGGATGGTCAGAGTCTTTCTTGCCCAACGAATCGATTAATATTGCTGGCATAGATATCGATGGATAACTTAGAGTGCAAGCGAGCAAGCACGCTCAGGGTCATTTCCTTTCCTGGAAACGATGTCGGAAATAATTTATAAACTTTAAGCGCCTGATCGTGCGAGTGTATATAAATGTTGAAAGCGGGGCCGAGCCGAGTGTTGAGTACGCTATACTTCCGGGGTCTATGTATATATCCTAACTTCACTCTGTTCTACTCTTTTAGTTGCGACTAAAACGCGCAGGACTGCCCCGTGGTGTTCTTTGATGTTGTAAGTCCTTTAAATTACTTTGAATCATTTCTAAGGGCAGGCCAGTTGTGCGCGTTTTAGATCATAGTGGCAACCGTGACCAAACCAACCACACCACACGGAAAAGTCTTTGGTAATAGTATCGACTCAAGTAATGGTCGAGTCTCATGGAGTTGTGGGATTAGTCATGGTTTTGCAGTCTCTCATTCCCGAGCTACGCTCGGTCTCCTTCTCATCCTCGCCACCATTCTCCGAAGATTACATCGATATCCCGTGTCACGATCCCAACTCTGATAATATCGTCGCTGCAGTATCATTTTCAGCTCCCCGACTTTTAAAACCCACATCCCAACCTCGTCTTCATCCAAACGGTCGTGTCCTGTAGTGACACCCGATTTCGTGCGCAAAATTATCAAATACGAGAAACCGGATGGTATCCGCCCTTGATGTCGGCATCAAACTCAAAGATGAGTTTGAGGCTCTTGGAGTACAGGTTCTTGGTACTCCCATCGAGACTATCATCACGACAGAGGATAGGCAGTCATTTGCCCAAGCGATGGAGGATATTGGGAAGCGTTGTGCTCAGTCTGCTACAGCCACCACTCCAGATGAAGCGGTTGCCGCAGGGCGTGAGATCAGATTCCCTGTCATTGTTCGTGCTGCATACGCGCTGGGTGGTCTGAGATCTGGCTTCGCACAGGATGAAGTCCAGCTTCGCGCTCTTTGTAGCAAGGCATTCGCGACTAGCCCTCAAGTGCTCGTAGAAAAGAGCATGAAAGGTTGGAAAGAGATCGAATACGAGGTTGTCCGCGATTCCCGCGACAATTGTATAACTGTCTGTAATATGGAGGTAAGTGTCGATTTTCGCTGAACGGCGTACGCATGATCTCATGGTGCCCTGCTAGAATGTTGATCCACTTGGTATCCACAATGGAGACTCCATTGTGGTCGCTCCCTCCCAAACGCTATCCGACTTCGATTACAACATGCTCCGAACAACTGCGATCAATGTCATTCGCCATCTTGGTGTTGTTGGCGAGTGTAACATTCAGTACGCTCTGAATCCGATTAGAAGGAGTACTGCATTATTGAGGTATGTTTCATCATCTTAATTGATATTCATTGCACTGACATTTAAATAGGTCAACGCGCGTCTCTCGCATTCGTCAGCACTGGCTTCGAAAGCTACAGGTTATCCCCTTGCGTTTATTGCTGCTAAGCTCGGTCTGGGTGTCCCGTTAAACGAAATCAAGAACTCCGTGACGAAAGTAACCAGCGCTTGCTTCGAGCCAAGCTTAGACTACGTTGTCGTGAAGATACCACGTTAGGACCTCAATAAGTTCAACCGGGTCAGCCGGCTTCTTAGCAGCAGCATGAAGAGCGTCGGTGAGGTCATGAGAATGGGCAGAACTTTCGAAGAGACCATCCAAAAGGCGATACAGGCGATTGACGATCAGTTCCTTGGATTTGCGAAGGTATGTAAGAGCAGTCTTGGTCAATTCAGTAAGATTAATTTTCTTGTTGCATAATTGCATAAGAACAACTTTGTGGAGGACATCGACGAGGAACTGGTCAATCCCACTGACAAGCGGATATTCGCCATCGCAAATGTATTCCATCGGGGCGATAGCGTCGACAAGATCTGGCAGATGACTAACATCGACAAGTGGTACCTAACGAAACTTCAACACATTCATCGCATGGAGAAGCGCTTGTCGTGCGTAGACTCTGCTTGATCTTCGAGGTTTTCTAACGAATGCGCTACAACCGCAGAGATCAATCTATCTCTTCTGTCAGCAACAGAATTATCCTCCAAGCGAAGCAGCTTGGCTTCTCCGATCGCTTGGTAGCCAGTTGTTTGGGTTCAACGGAGTTAGCTGTCCGAAGGCTTCGTCAAGAAATTGGTATTGATTGGAGAGGGGCAGTGGGTCCCATATTGTCGAGCGCGAGAGAGGAGATTGTGGCGCGACTTTGAGCTTGGTCCGGGGTCACGACCAGTAGTGAAGCAAAGGCGGATAGGGCATGTTGGAGCTACGAGGGGGTCGTTGCCGTCATCGTCCTCGAGGGTTAGAAGGACGGCGAAGAATCAGACACTCAGTCATGTAGGACAGACATCTCGATGATGATGATCACATGATTTAAGCAAAATTCACGATTGATTGGCGCGTCTAAGATGGCTAGGTCAAGTTATACTTATGGACTCGAGTGATTAACTCAAACCCAGCGAGCATCATATGCCTCAAAGCAAGTCGGAGCGCCCCCAGAAACACGCAAAACCTGAGCAAACGTCGCGGAAGGCGTATAAATTTTTGAATGCAATCGATGTCAGACGTGCTCGGCCCGGGAGTCCAGAATCAAGACCAGAATCCCCAAATGGAAGGTGCGCATACTTACGATCATCAGATTCATCATTACGAAGAATTTGTTCGCTCAGTCCCGCAGCCCTATCTGCATTGCGCTCAACTCTGTCTGTCAAGTCAGAGGAAATTATTGCTCCTCAAGATGAGAGAATCGCGCTTGAGTGGATGGAGAGTTCGCCAGGTGCTCATGACACCTTTGAGATATGGGAGGGTACGAATCAAGTGCGTGTATCCTTATTTCTTTCTCTCAGTGTCCTGATGTTGTGATGTGCTAGTCGTCCAGTCTATCGCTCCTTGTGTCTCTGTTATTCTCGGATTTTACTCTACTGTCCTCTCATTTCCCATAATACCACTCACACGGCATTCTGATTATCAAAACGTTGTTATCGCCAAAATAGATGCGTAAAATCACATCTTTCGCATTTGGCTCCAATGAGCTTCAAGTCATTCTCGTTTCATTGAAACTGTTCAATACTATCTCTCACTTTGGAGGTGGGAGGGAGCGGAAGGCACTTTGTGAAGCGTTTCCATGGGACATGAAGGTGCGTTCGCCTCCTTACGATGGCTCATCATCGTTCACGATACTTCAGACTTTCGTAAAATTATCGCATGAGGAGGAAAGGGAAAGGAGACGCAGAGGACGTTTGCAAGACCTGGTATGTCTCTGAGATATCTGCTGCCTTGAACTGTCTGAATTTCGTCAACCAGATATCCACACTTAATACGTCTTTTTTATTCTCTCCTTCATTAACTCTAAAACTTCCTCGCTGGTGAAATCGACTTTCCTCGAGCAACAGAGATACTATATATTGCTGTCTATCTTCAAAGCGCTTTCTCAAGATTCGTATCTGGTCGTCCGCAAGGTCCTCGAAATGTGCTGGGTTGGGCTGTGGTCTGATCCAAAAGTGAAACGGACCGTAAGGATTGGACTGTTCACTGCAGTCACAATTGAACATGTGAGTGATATTTGACCTAGATGGCAAGTAATTGACGTTCAGAATAGCTTTTGAAATTGTACGAACGCGCCGGTGCTGAAAACGCGGATGGTGACCACATCGTGTCTAAGGAGGAAAACTACCAGCAGATCGTAAACTTTTTCAAGGTAGTGATACTTTTGGGAGTCGGAAACGAGGGATGAGCTGATGCATGCGGTGATCAGGGCAAGGACGCAGACTCTACATAGAGTCGTCACGGTTGCTTTTCATTACAGCCCTGTCACGGTAAGTTATGTTATGGTGCCATTTTCAGACGAGACTCACCATATCCTCATTAGGCATTACTCTATATATCTCAATACCATAGGCGAGCATGTATAAAAAGTTCAGGTGAGGGTTTCTTACCTTTACCTTCTGTACAATTCCGAGTCTGTCACGGTCTCTTAGTTTTCGCGCTTCACCTCTGCCTTGACATTCCTCACTTTCACCATGTCTGCGCCAGAGCCTGACAATCAGTCACGCGACCTCGTGCTCCCGGACCTCTCTGGGGCAGTCCCTACCTCCGCAGATTCAAGGGCCAAGCGCCGTATTGCTGCGTTGGAAGAAGAACTGCAGACGATGAGGCAGGACAGAGGAACGAAGCAAAGGTTCGTCACGTACCATCTTTGTGTATACTCTTCCTCATTGATCCTCGAAAGAAAGACGACGTACTACGTTGCTCAGGGCAGGGCAGTTCGCCGCATGGTCGTCCTTTACACTAACGTGGAGGATTTGATCGCCGAAAACGATCGCAGGTGCGAGCCAGGCCTGGTGAACGGCGCGGTGCAGGACACTACCCCAGAGTAAGGCATCTTTTTTAATCCGTGACATGGCTAATTACAGTATTCAGGCAAGATCGCCTGCAGCGTGGCTACCTCGCACTCTCGCAGTCTCTGCCGTGGCTGCATCTCAAGCTTGCCGATTTTGAAGTCGATGAATCTGAGGACATGTTAAAAAAGGTTTGCGCTCTTCATCGTTTCGCGCTGCATACTCATCACACTATAGATCAAAAGAGGAGCCGATGCGGCCCGCGGCGACGACACTTCCACTCTGAAGGACCTCGTTGCTGCCTGGGTCAACCAGGATTTTCGTCCGTCCACGCTACTCAGGTCCAACGACAAGCAGTTGCGCGGCTTCGCGCATGACATTTGCGGGAAGTTGCTCTGCCCCGCCGAGTGGGATTGGAGTGACGGCCGGTAAGTATCACCCTTCGTCGAATCACATGACTCTGAAATGTTTGCAGCGTGAAGGCCGGGATTCGCGAAAGAACATCCGACTACATCGTGTCGGAAAATTCGTGGCCGCTGTTCGTATACGAGAATTACGCCATCGATGATAGAAACCTGGAGAAAGGTCTTTTCAGGTCCAAACTTCTGGTTCAGGTCAGTAGATGGGGTTGTACTACATCGCGAATATATATTCAAAGTCTTGGCGTTACCAGGCCTTCAAAGCTATCTTCACATCTCCGTCTTCCGCAAGGGACGCTGATGGAGATGGCGACGGAGCTGACATTCTAGAGAACAATAGGCGCGCTCGACGGTCGTCGAACGATAAAGTCAAAGTCAAAACTTGCGTCGCCGCAATCATCAACACGAGGAAAGTAACCCCTCGTTCAATTGCATATGTTGTCTGTCAGGTGAGCAAAGATGATTTCTCACCCTCGATGCGCGGCTTATAACCTTTGTCTGACAGGTTCGTTTCGCGCTGTCTAGCGTCTCGTCTTGGCGTACCGTCGACGGCGACTTCGATTACGCGGGATTCTGGAATAACATCGTCGACTTCTTCGAGGACGTCCCTGGCCCTGTCGCAAAACATAGGGTAGCCAAGCTTTTGGAGTGGTGGACGAGGTATTGACTGTTTTATTGCTTGCTATGCATCATGTATCTAACATACTGTTCAGAAAGATTTTCGGCAAAAATCATCGCCAGGACCTAACTCCGGAAGTCGTGTCCAAGATGTCCGTCACAGCGCTAGCTGAGCAGAGAAAGGCGCTAGAGGACGCCGCTTATGACTCGGAGTAGCTAGATTTTTGTTTTGTCGTATATACGTGTTTCAATAATTGCTTGAATGTAATCCTTATGTCGCATTCACTCTTAAATACTGAGATTGGCAATCGAAATGATTCATTTCAGAGATGATTGTGAATAGTGACTACTCCTCGGCATGCCATCTAACGTAAATTTTATTGCACCTTCTAATCTACCAAGTAACAGGTACACTTTGTATTGTAAACTGCTGTATTTGTGGGCGCTATAATCAATACTATCTTGTCTGCGGGCGGCATCTGTCGTGGAAAGTTGGCCGAGCCGAATGCCCCTCATGTGGAAGAAGTCGTCCAGTCTCAAAGATGAGAGGCGCACTTGGTATATTAAATTACCCCCGAGCAGATTCCGGACAAAGGTCAATCATTTACTGAATTAAATACTAAACGCACCTCACGATCTCCCCGCAGTTTCGCCAACCCATTCTTCAATCTCCGAGCGGTGAACTGTTCTGCCCCCCCTCGTTTCTTATGTCCATTGTGCCGGTAGGGAGGAGGAGTAATTGTTGTTACCATTATCTGTGATTGCCGAGGCTGATAAGAATATAACAACTTGCTCTGCAAAGGCAATACTAGAACCGCGCACCTTCGTCTTGAATTCTGGCAGGTTTTCTGGCAGAATATTTTTCCGGTCGTGTTTAGAACTGGCACTAATTTCGCGATCTCGGGCTTTGGTTTTCAGATCTGTCCTGTTTTTGAAACAGGCTGGACTTGAATGTATTGTACGAAGTATGTATCGATTTCGGGCTTGTACGAAGTCAGTGTCGATGTCAGGACGGCGCATTACATCTATTGTCAGAATGAAGTGGCCAATCATCTAATATATTCGTCGTGTCTCATTTCTGTTATAGGCTTTGTCGTTGCTCCCGCATAACACGAGGCACTCATATGTTCTAATCAAATATTTTTGTCAGTGAATGTCCTATCGGGTGATATGGTTTTTCATCTGCTAATACCTACCCTTTTGATACAGTGTGAAGATTGTGTTTGTTATGCAGGATAATGGACTTTGGTAGTGCGTAGTAGAGGACTGAGCGGCACTACAATATTTCGTTCAATTCGGCAGTCTGGCAAGATCCTGACCGTTATGGCATTCAGGACATTGAAGAACATAATCCGAACTAGCCGCAGGACTCGATGTGATCCATGTAATGGATAGCTCAGTCAGCCTAGGCAAGCGTCTCCCACATAGGAAATGAGTGTCCAATGTTCATTATTTTACTGACTATCGCGTGACACAAGAACCCTCGCACCTGTGGTAGGTGTCAACTTTTGCGCTCGAACTGATACTGATGGCCCCAGATTTCACTGAGTGGGCGTGGGTGACATCTTGCTTTCACAGGATAATTCAAGTAGAAGGCGGTATGACGAGCACAGGACAACTTGGTTGGCCACCATGTACATACATCGTTACTATGTAAGGTCAAATATGTATGTGTAATACCCACCGCCATATTTATGGCGATTGTTGTGATGGTCATGAATATATAGTCAAATATGATATTTTAATATGTTCATCTGTTTACTGATGCATAGCCGGCCGTACACGCCAGGAACTCTTTTGTCGATGTCAGATGATGCTCTTTTCACTTGCCTTTGCGTCGTGACTCGTCATGCCGTGCATCACCCATGCTCCAGTCCTCTGCCTCTCTCTGCTAGAGGTCTCTCATACCCTCCCACACGCTCACGCAATTCTTGCACCCCTCTTGCGGCCGCTTAGAACAACCCTTGCTCGCCCTTGCTTTGTGCAAGAGCATTGTATTTCCTTTTCTTCTCTCTCTATAAATCGCATAAAGCAGCTTATTCGTCCTCACCCAACAACAACTTTTTTTTGGATGAGATCTGAGTGCGATAATTGTTTTGGAACAGCTTCAAGCTCTTCTGGTCTTTTCGCTAAATACTACTGCCCAAGAAAGACCGTATTTTTTTAAGGACTTGCATCTTTCGAACTGAACTCGCTGCATATCGCCTTGGAAAGAAAGAACAACTGTCTTCTTTCGAGGTCTGACTGCTATGGGAGGTTGACATGTCGTATATCTGGCCGTGTTAGCGGTGGGCGTACTCACTTTACAACTTCACTTATCGATGGAGCTGTGCTTCTTAGGTTTAGGTGGTACAACAAAGCGGGACCTGTGATGGGCTTGCGCAATGCACGCTGGATGCCCTTGTCACATACACTTCTTTGTACCCGCTTATGCACGAAGGTATGATTGAGGAAGATGCTTTGTTCTTGTTTCACTCACGCGTTGTTGTCATACCAAATGCAATTTGTCACGATCTGCGTTTTGGACCTTGGTGGAGTCGACCATGCCAACGGAGAAACCAGTGGACGTCATATTATGGACCAAATATTGTAGGAGCAGCTGCAATACAAGTTCCGAGGGTGTATGTGTACAGAGGTGAAAAGCTGGATCTCAAGAAAGTCCTAATTATCCTCTAGTCCGTTCAGCCACCAAAGAATCCTACACAATCTGCCTCTACCCATCGTTGTGACGGTCTTGTTCGTCACCGTCACAATACACCACCTCCTTGTCAAAAACGGGTCTGTTTCTCTGCGTCAAGTGGTTGCGGATACATTTCCCTGACCCGTTGTGTTTACACCTGAGGACGCTCACACCGTTGTATTGGAGTCGAACGACATCCTTGTACGTCGTGTGCGGACCACGATAACAGGCGGTGAGTTCCATCATGCGGAAGGCGCCACTTCCAGGTTCTTCCTCCGTCACAGTACCATAGCCACCACAACACTCCGACATCCATTGGAATTCTCCACTGTAAAGACGAAGTGGGTCACAGCGGGAGTTGAACACATGGGGTACGACGCAAGCCGAGGGGTAATTGGCTGAGAAGTCTTTATGGCACCGAACGCAGTGCTCCCGGCGTGCAGGCATGGTTGCAGCACGAGTTGTGTTCTAACATATGCGTTAAAACCTACGGAGACCATTGTTGTAGTCACTCACCAGCGACCTTGCAGGCTGTGTGCGAAAATAAGGATCCATGGATGTGCGTGAGGTTTACGACACATTGACGAGACAGACTATATAGTATTTTTTGGAGAGGACCTGGAGCAGTGGTCCAGTGGCCACGCTTCCTTCGAGCTGCGCTCGCCATTGCCACGTGCAGCAAAGGCACAGAAGAAGCTTGGAGTAGGCATCGAAGCTTTGAAGTGTGCCTGGTACAAACACTGGCGTGCAGATGAAGAAGTGATCAAACCGCATTCCCTTCAGGTGCCCAATACTCCGGTCATGAAAATCAACCAATAGCAGGATAAGCACAGATATTCTAGAAGCGTTCCGAGCTTCACAGGTACAGCAGCAAGAAGTTAGCAATGATGGCCAACTACTCACAAATTCAACACAGTTCGCTCCCGAGTTTTCACGTGTAGCTTCCAAGCAATGGCTTGACTGTCCCATCATACCGACAGCTGAAGTTATGACCGAGACATACGAGCATTACGAGCCACGCATGTAGGAGGTGTGGGAAGAGTAAAAGTGTTCATTACCTGTAAAGGAGGATCCTTACGAGTTGGCCAAGTAGACTGACGAACCCTTGTCGTCATCAGTTAGCTGATAACGGTTCACGTTTCGCGCACGGAAACATGAGTAAAGATCCGTGATCTCAGAAAGCCTTCTGCAGATCCCCGAGAAGACCGGAAGTCGAGATGACACGCATCACGAGGCCACACCCGTATCAATGATCTAGTATCAACAATATTAATGGAGTTGTTGAATAGAGCAGTGGACCTACCTAGACATCGTACAGGTTCAACCCCGTTTGTGAGATATGACTTACATCATGGTACATACCCACTTACTGCCTAGCGAAGATCATTTCCTCGGTGGATCTGCATGCAGACAATATTAATAGTAAAATATTATAACTAGAGCGTGATGTGACCACACATGTTGTTTGCTTGTGTTAGGATCTAAAGCTAGAGTGTGTACCGTGCTGGTTCGAGTTAGCCTATGTGCTTTTGACTGGACAACTTCTGTTAAAAATTTGAACTGAACTGATCTGCCATCTCACTCTTGCCTGAAGGATTCCAAGGTCACAGGTTTTCAAAGAAGTCGAATATACTGCTATGCTCAACCATTTTCGCCCAAGCTGAAAGGTGAACGGGTTCAAGTGCCATGTCGCTCATTTTCCACTGTGAATTTTCCTATAGAGACATGTGAGGGAGAGCCAAAGTATCCAAACGTTGCTCGTTTCAATGGACCAAAGTGAGTTGTTTCCCATTTCCCCTTCAAGCTGACCGTCACATCCAAACATGCCTTGGGATAGTGCAAGGGGCCCAAAAAGACGCTGGCATTGGCCATCGGCTCGAGAAGCACTATGCAATCCGCTAAATGCGGTCAAAAGGTTTACATGACGCTTTCGTTTTTATTCTCGCGTCTTTGGGATGATAGTCGGCTTCGAGGGCATGTGCTTCCGTACTCCGCCGAGATGTCGTTTCAACCTACTCAGAATAGACGTAACATTCAGGGAATTCCATACCACGCCTGCATAAACTCTTGACGCATTCGCAAAATAATGGGGATTTATCAAGATGCCTGCCGCCACTCGAACGTTATTCCTGACATGAATTCCTTCACGGAAGATAGTCGGAAAAAGAATGGGGAAGTACTGGAAGGATTTGCGTACGCACATTGATGAACTAAAGCAGGGTTCGTCGCTCTTTCAGGCTGCTCTACGCAAGTTCTAACTTCACTGCCAACCAAAAAATCAGTCAACGATGCCAAGCTGCCCAGGTCGACTAAGCTCAGCAGCGGAGGTGTCAATTGGGTGAAGAAGGATAAGGCACTGTCTTAGCGCATTTTCGGAGTCCAGCAAGTACGTTGTTGATACCTACTCGCGACCCATTCCTAAAATGGGTGAAGATCGACGAAGGGAAGAAGGGCTTAGTTGCCGAGAGCGCCAGTGAAGCGCCGCCGCCCACCAAGGAGATCGAGAAGTAATTGAGGGTAAATACCTTTGCCATTCCTAGCCGTGGCCACGCCAAACCTCCCTTTTTCAGTGCCTTTTACATAGTCTTACGGTTCCTGCTTCACGCAAGACTGCCGTTTCCGTGCGCTCGCTTCTCTATTTAATTATGGACACAGAGCAAACTCAAAGTGACGATATGATATTCCAGCGAAGAAATCCATTCTCGTATTCTTGCAAATCCGGAAGATTGCCAGCCTCGTGAAGGACCACGGTGGTATTGTACAATAGCCGACAAGTATGGATTACGCTCGATTTCATGATTGTCGTGGCGCTGAACCTACTTCAGGAACAACCACTTTGGCAACATTGTGAATCATTACGCGAAGGCGTGATGTTGCCAAAATGGACCTGACCCCCATTCACTGTGCCTTCCTCGTGTTGAGTCTGGTTGAGTTAGGCACTCGATTGACCGCCAGCGACAATCCATCATATATCCGGCGACAGAGTTTTTCGGCTATAACCGCCAAACTCTTCGATCTGATACTGGCCAACGTGCATGGAGATCTCAAAACTCTTCGTCCGTATACTTCTGAGGAGAACGCGACATGGAGCACAGAAAGGGACCTGGAAGATGCCATTGACAGCAACTGCAGAACGGGCGGCCACTGGGTTCGTCAGCATCCTTGATCTTCGGCAGCCAAGCGCGGAAGAGATCAAGCAGCTGTACACATGCCCCGATGTCGATTATGTGCCTCGCACAAAGAAGCTTGACGTGAATAAGAAAAGGACAAACGGCTCACGCCACAGACTCCTCCCGGCATTTGACCTCGTCGATGTCATCGGAAAGCTCAGGAAACAGGCATTGGACGTACCGGAAAGTGGAAATATGCTTTGGAATGCTCTCATTGTCAACAGACGTGTAGTTGAGTGCCTCCCCATGTCACGGTGGCGCATAAGAATGCCCTCCTATGCTGCTGAACTTTGGAGCCGTGTTCTAACTGCGATGTTCATAGCTGAACATCTCCGCTTGACAGCTGGACTCCTTGAAATGCTCTATGTAGTCGCGGAGAAATGCTGCACATCTGTCCAACAGAATACGAGCTTCACCTTTAAATCCACAAGAACGCTTTCCAACTACTGTAACTCAATCGAGGCATGAGCGCCGCGGGGGCCCGTTCACGTGTGATATCTCTACAAGCTGCTGCATATTGTGTTACAATACAAGTACATACTCTACAGTACCCCGAGGGAAAGCCCTACTCATTTGAATGCGTTGATCCAGTCATTCGCCAAGATGTATCGTATGCGTCTTGCAACTACCCTACATTAACTTGAAGGCGTTATTATGACAGGATAGCCTGCATCGCTTTCTTCTTCAAAGAGTTCTTGAGAAACAGGATCGGCGCCAAAGACAAAGTCACCCCCAGACACTTCATCATCCGACGACTCAGAATTGTCGGGGCTCTGACCCAAATCGCTGTTTTCTTCTTTCGCTTCCGGGTCTTTTTTCAAGACCCACCAACATCCAATAGCAGGTCGTGCCGAGTCTCTCTCGCCAGCATCAGAAAGAGTCTTATCACCGCTGGAGCATATCCTCGTCCCAATCAATCCTGCCGTCAGCGCAGTTGGATATTCCTTTCCACCAATCTCCCGTTGGAGAGTAACATCGACCTGCGCGTACCCAGCAGGAATCTCGTCACTATCAAGGAAAGGATATGAAACGCCATCGAGAATCAATTCGCTATCTTCATAATCTCGACGTTGTTTATCCGGCTGTAAAAATATTGTCAGGGGAGACGTAACGAAAGAGAGGACATCTACACCCACCGTCCACTGGCCTTTCTCATCAAATACCATGAACGCCGTTATCCAACCAGACAGCCATGTTGGCCCGCTTCCTCCGCGCTCGTAATGCGCAACTTTGCCCCAAAAGTCCAAGTTCTCCTGACCGTTGGGATCATCGAAGGCTTTGACGAACCTCGACAGTACAGGGTGCAGGAGGTGGTACCAGGCATTGGTTTTTGGGCCGAATTCTTTGAGCTTCTCAATCCTATTGAGAATAAACTCCCAATCGCTCTTCTCTCCTTCCAAAGTGACGCGAGGGATCCCGCAACATAGCATGATACGAAAATCGAAGTATTCTTTCACAGTGGCCATCATCACCATCCCAGAGACGAGGACATCAAGAGGAGTGGTCGTCGAAAATGCCGGTATGATCCACTGTCGAAGCTCCGGATCGATGACATTCTCCTGTATCTTTTCATTCATGGTTGCGACTAGCGTGCGAACCACGAGATCCCAGTCCTCTTCTCCTCGCTTCTGATTCATCACCATGCACAATTCCTTCTTGCCCTCGTGGAGGACGAACAATGACCGCAAGTCTTCTGCGTTTCCATTGACAAAGCAACTGAATTGCGTCATGATCGCGAGCCAGACGTCATCCGGGCGAATGATTAATGCGCGATGTTTGTTGTAGCACTCCAGGATAGTGTGCACAAAGCCGTTCCTCTGAGGTTTTATATCCTCAATTGCAAAGGGCGTGCGCATGGAAGAATGAAGAATGTCCAGCGTATACGCATGCACGTCAGGACATGCCTTCTTCAAAAATTGCAAGGACGACATGGTCTGCATCTTTGGGAATGGCCGCGCATTGTGAGAGGCTGTCGAGAACGTGATTGACGAATTGCATGTCGTCTGGGATGAATCGGATGGAGTGTTCAGCGCCGTGTCCGATGAAGCCTGAGGATCAGATGATGCTGTGGATGCCGAGGTTTCAGTTGACTTGCAGCCACGAATATGCTGATATCCACGTAGGAAAGTGTGCCAGATGGAACGAAACATACTTTGGATGGACCCCATGTTTCTGAGGTGCCAGTTGGACTGCGAGGTTTGAAAGAGAACACCGCAGATGATGGCATTAAAACCAGTTGGAATGCAGATGTACGTACATGCAGCATGAGGCAGGGTCGTGGAGCACCGAGTTGGCTGTGCTTAGCCTGCAGGTGGAGAGTGGCGCAGCGCTAGGTGTAATGGGGTCAAGCTTCTCTGAGTTGTGGTAAGTATCTACTCTGTTATTGGACAGGTCGAAAAACAAGGTTGTGCATTTCTAGGTTTTCGTATTTGGAACGTGTTCGTCAGGCAGAGACTAGTCTGCCACAGTGATATCTGCCTGGTGTGTCAATGCAATCCGCATGGTCACGGCTCATATCATTTTGTGACACGGTGTAGACCTTTGTGCGGATGGCTGTGCACGTACATGCTATGCTCACTGAGGACACCTTCTCATCATATTATGGCGAGAGCTGCACAAGCTAATGATAGACAGGTGGTCTTCTCGAGCTGGGACTGCGCCATGCGACAGACGAGAGCTGAATTGACATTTGGAATAGTAGCAAAAACTGGGTCGGACCTGGAAGATACAAGGGAGAATGTTAAGGAAAGCTAGAACAGAGCAAATCAAAGCATGCATATGCATCAACTGGGGACATAACTATATCATAGCGTCGCAAAATGCGAATTTCAGAGTCAGAAAACCGGGAGCAGTAAACAGGTGGATGCGTTCGTATGGGTCCTACTGCACTACGATATTTGAGTACGCCGGTGATAATGCAGAAGCATCCATGATCAGCGCTGTTCCTCTATTCACGAGGTTGCCTGATACCGTTCGTTCGCAGCACAAAGTCAACAGGGATGTCTTCGTGCTAAGCTCCCATTGATCCGGCAGAACGAGCACGGAAGTGCACATTCCGATCTCCACGAATTCAACTATTTTGTCAATTCCGAAGTCTTTGGCGTGAATTTCCTCGTCCGTGAGGCCGAAAGCAGACATCTCGATGATGATCACCTTTGTCAGATGCGGTGGGATAGCTGTAATGGGGTCGCATGCAAACTCGGGGGCATCAAAGACGCTTGCTCCCTGCATCATCATAAGCCCATCATTCCCAAATGTCGTCCTTACGACGCTCCCGCCCTGCCAAACGTCTGGTTGGGCTTTCCAGACGCGAAGCCTCTCGTGTCGACAGTACATCTGCGTACCAACGCTCCTGTTATATTTGCAGTTCAGGATAGCGGGTTTGAGGGATAGTATTCCTGTAATAGGTGAGGAAGCGACCACGCGGGGGAGTGCAGAGTCGTTGTTCCTGCTATTATGGTTGGATCCCCAGTCGGCGCCGATGATATATGCGAGCACCTTGGGGCCAAGAGCTTCAAAGGCACGTAATCTGGCTTCTTCAAATCCAATGTCATACGTGACTTTGAAGTCGTCCAACTCCAATACTCCGAGGACAGAATATATCATGTCTTCTGAACATGTCGCGGTTCGATCTCCTAATGTTGCCAGAGATATCCTTGCAACCTCGGGTGCGTTCTGCTCTTCTAGTAATTTCCTCGCATTCTGCATGACCTTGTATTTCGCACTTCGTCCTATAGCTTTCCCACTCTGGCTCCAACTACCGCGAGTTTCTATCTCCATATGCAAGAATGCGCTGAGAGGGAGGTTACCACCAAATCCGTCCGACTCCTCTTCCATGTAGCAGGTGATCATGCGTCCCATCTTCTCTAGCACGTACATGCCGGAGACGTGCCGGTATCTGTCCAACGCGGGAGTTTTCAAGTCAATGACGTCTTCATGGTCAGAGTCTGCAACATGCGAAGCTGCTTTCTTCAAATCGTCCCTAGCGTCTCCGTGGAAGGCGTAGCAAAAGAGCACCTGCTTCGACAATATCTGCTCCTGCACCGTCCAAGCTCTCGTTTCCCAGATAGGAAAGTATAATTGGTTGCTGAAGACGGAAGATGCAATCTCAGCTCCGAGTGGGTATGCGTGGGTCTCGAATGCACTGCGGTATAAGTGTCCCATTTGAGGTACGAAAAATTCTTTCTCCCCCCGCTTGTCTTGATCAATGCAAACAATGTCCATCCAGAAAAACTTTTTTCCTCTAGTGAGTACGAGGAATGCGACGATGGTGAAAAAGAGATGTGCACGAGCAATGGATAGACTGTCTGTGTCGGTGGCGGGTGTAGAGGTGGAAAGGTTCCTTGAGCCACGACCGATCCGTTCTTCGTAGGTGCGACCCTCTGGCTTGCAGATGCACTCCCTCCACTTCTTCATGTCCTCTGACCAAGTGTAAGAAATGGCAATCACGTCCAGGTCGCGGATATCCTCGATCAGCACCAGGCGAATTGCTCCTGTGTACACGAATGCACGTGCGTCCACAACCCTCCAAGGGTATTTAGGTGGGGTTTTCACTTCATAAGGAACATCGCGGCGCGATTGGGGCAAATCTTGGACCCTACGCAACGCCTCAATCAGTTGGTCTATTCCAAATAACTTTGGAGTTTACATTGTAGTTTCCCTCGACGGTACCATTTGCGAAACTTCTTCAGAAATTCTGTTGGTGAGAAGGTGTTGGTTAACACCCTGGCTGCCAACACAATCAACAAATGACTTACGGACGGTTGTCACCCAACGAGCGTTCTGTTCTGCTTGAGGATGAAGGCAGAAAATTTCCTGATGATTTATCGTTGGGCTGGGTGAAGGAAGCCCACTGCTTGAAAGCCTCGATCCATGGATGGTTCATCTTGACATGAGCTCAGAGTCGTGGATTTCAGAACCTTATAGTGATCGAGTGCGCAGGCTGAGTTCCTTTGTAGCACATTGCGCTTGAAGTATGCCTTGAGGCTAGCCATTTATGTTCATAGCCTCGAGGACTTGGAGCTGTGGTGCGGATTCCGGTGTCAGGAATTAATAAATATGATTCGGGCTAGCACACCTCGACTTTGAACAACAAGATTCAATGCATCATGAGGTCCAGGGAGCCTGGGGGATCTTCCTCAGTGCATGTGTGAAGCTTTGGTGGCCGGCGCACCTTGAAGGCAAAAAGCAAAAAAAGAATTATAGTTTGCAAATCAAAAAGAATCCGACCTGCCTGGCTCGAACAGGCGACCTCAAGATGTCAATTATCCAATTACAGTCTCGCGCTCTTCCAACTGAGCTAAGGTCGGATGACTATTAACATCACTTTTCTTTACTTAACGAGCTGTACAGCGGCGATAGACGACGTGGTCCGAGTCTGAGACTCTGAATATTGGTCCCTATGATGGCCTTCATTCCGAGGCGTCACCTTCTGACGAAGGTCTTTATTGCTTTGGCTCTCATCCTGGGTATAAAACTTGTATTTAGCCCCAACTCTTCATCTTCGTTGGAGCCATCAGCCTTCCAATCCTACAACGTCTTTGAGCGCGTTACTGGTGTAGACAAGATTCTAAATGTCCGAAAGCACAAATTCCTACAAGCGAGGACGGGGAGAGACGTCAGGAAGGACATTCTTGACGATGTCATAGCTAATGGGGTCACTGACTATTGGAATCGGTTTCAAGCACCATTGTGAGTTGTTCTCCGAGTCTCCATGATATCTGATACGATGTCCTACCAAGAATATTAGGAACGGACACCGCTCACGCAGATCTTCAGAACGTTCTGACTGCTGTCGAGAGCTTGCTATCTCTTAATGGCTGGGTGGCCGCGTATTGTCCGACACTAGCCCGCCCGTTTGGACAAAACAAGAACGTCGACGAAGACGCCTATGATGACCTCGCTAATGACGACCGCCTCTATTTCATAGCAATGGCAATTCACTCAGCCGATCATTTCCTAGTTGATCAACTGGCTGTCATCGTCCAACTTGCTAAACGCCTCGGCACTTCAAATGTCTTCGTGTCCATGCTGGACTATGACTCTACGGATTCTACGTCCACTCTCACCGACCTCTGTGAAGCCGTCCTGACCCTGTTGGGTGTCTCCTTCCGAATTCGACGCGTGCCTGGGATGACAGAAGACGCAACTGCAGCCTATTACCCCTTAGAGGAAGCATACATGCGCAATCTCGTATTAGAGCCTCTTCTTGAGCTCTACCAGAAGCGCGAAGTTGAATTTCATAGGGTCATTTGGCTGAAGGGATTCACATGTCCAAATGACATCCTTGAGACATTGCGTGTCAGCGATGCGAATGAGGCTGCCATGGTGTGTGGGATGGACTGGGCAGAATCCAATGGGCAGTTCATATTCTCAGACAGGTCGGTTTTCCATCTGCTTTCTGTAATAATTTGAGCGACATCGTCTAACGCCTTTTTGAGGTGGCGGACGCGAGACATACACGGCGACCAGTTCAGACAATCCACATCCTCAGCGAAACCAGACGCAGTTCCTCCTCGAGATGAGAGCGGCGCCGCCCGATACATTCAACACCTTCCCTTCCAAGTCTTCTGCTGCGAAGCTGGTACCCACATCGTCGATCCAGCTCAGTCCTACTACAAAGGACTCAAGTACCGCTGCGGCACTGACTTCCACAACGCTTCCTCCTCATCAGACAGCGTACCCACACGCGCGCCCGATGCGGCATGTCTGGACAGCAGCCAGGCCTGGTTCTGCAGAGACCTGTGGATCGGCAGAGCGCTGAATGACTTCCAAGAGGACGAGGTCGTACCCACGCATGAAGTCCAGCAGCTCTCCCGCAGGCAAGTCCCTGCTGAGGAACCGGATGCAGACGTGAATGCTGGCTCTGATTATGACGCCATGCCGGACTCAGATGTCCCTATTGATGATGTACTCCCTGCAGGGCCTTTGTCTGTGCCTAATTCTGCATACACTCCCGCGCGTATCCTGGTAAACCCCCGCTGTGTAACGACATATGCTGGTGTCAGTCATACCCAGCTTGCGCTCGATCTTTTCGGCACTGGGGATGATGACGAAGCTCAAGTCAATGCTACAAAATATGTATTAGAGGACTGGGATGGCGCTCCAGAGAGCTTCGTGTGTCAGGAACAAAGGTAAAAACACCGTCCGTTTATTTGTCACTGTTCTGACACTGGTGCAGGCAAACCGGAGGCAGGAAGGCAGCGAAAACGCAGCGCTTGCTTGGATTCGCTATTCATGACGAATTGCGATAGAGCCAATCAACTGCGCGATTTGTATATATACAAGGACTCCGTTCGGTCGTTCGTTTGCAAGCATAACGTGTCTCCGCGCTCTCATTCTTGATAACGCTGTGTATAATTGACCGTGACACGGCGGCGACTTGCCGCCGTTCGTCGCATATTGTTCAAACAAATTGCGCATCAACATAGCATGACGTGGTGGGCGTCATAAACACCGAGCCGCTGATTATTCGTGCTTATATATTGTAGATGTATCTACCAGCTTTGTTCTCTTGTATGGGCAATCTAGATGATATCGCCACACTAACAGCATGAGTCGCGAGGACTATTTCGTTCTTCTTTTCTTGCCGAAGCCCTTGAAAGTAACACCATCGTCAGAATCGTCATCAGCAACCACACGTCTGCGTTTACTGGCACGAGCACGGGCAGCAGGCGTAGAAGGCACCGGAGGTTGTTCGTTGGAGGACTCAAGGCCTGCATCGTCTTTGGCATCGTCATCATCAGAGTTTAAGAACAACTTCTTTGTGTCCTTTGTACGCGCTGGCTTGCGAACGGGCTGTTTGACAGATTCAAGGGTTTGTGACTGTGTGCCCTCCTCGTCAGAGTCGATAGCCAACGCACGACGCTTGCCTTTGCTTCGCTGAGTCCCATTGTCAGTCACCTGCGAGTCCTTGGTGTAGTCTTTGGCTGTAGTGGTGTCTTTCCAGTAGCCTGCAGGACAGTGAGCTCGCCCCTTCGAAGGAGCAAGTGAAGCACCCACCTGCACCCATACCGTAGTCATTTTCCTCTTCAACCACAAGTTCGATCGGTGCACGAGAAAATCCATCGATTTTCTACCCTGTGTCAACAACGTCCTCCATGGCACCAATAAACTTGACACTCACCTTCTTAAATTTCTTGAAATTCGGTCGGTTCCCGAAAGCAGCGTCACGAGTGTCATTCGTAACCGCCTCGCGGCGGCTGTTTGAATTCCTGAACACATCCAGATCCATAACGACCATAAAGTTTCCTCTGATGTTCGGGAGGTCAAAGTCCCCCATATCTGTCCACATCTGTACCTGCTCTTCGCGCTGCAAATCCGGTTTCGATATCCGCAGCTTATTGAACTCGCGATCAAATTCATCCTCGGTCTTCTTCCCGCGCTTCGTCGAAGCAACGGCAGTGAGGAAAGCCTCGTCCTTGTCGACCTTGTGCTTGCCGCTGTCAGTGGCTTTCTTGGACTTTGCTGTCGCCCGAGGTTGTTCTGACGGCTGACGAGATGGAGGTGCCTTTGATCTTGCCCTAGTTTGGGTGGCTGGTATCTGGGATGACGGTCCTGTATCCTCCTCTACGGGGAGTGGTACCTCAAATGCGACGGACCTGGCGCGCTGTGAGGGCCCGCTCAAGCTCTCTTCTTCCTCTGCTACAACCGGTAATCGCTTTGGCGGTGCGAAGCCAGGGGTCTGCCCTGTTTGTGTAACGCTCTCATTTTGGGTGCCCACCGCATTGTCGTAGGCTGCTTCAAAAGTCTGCGAGCCCTCGACGACCATCTTGTCTGGGTCACTTGCCTCGAATAAAGCCTTGAACTTCTTGTGCGGGGGTTCTTCCTCAACTGCATCGTCGACATCAATGGTCACAACAGGCATCTCGATCTCGGGAGGCGGAGCTCCCGGCATTCCAGGCAATCCTAATCGGCGCTTCAAACGCGGGCGACTGCCAGACGGTGGTTTCTAAATAATCTATTTAGGATTACGTCGACGAAGAACAGGCCAGACGTACAGGCGCTTGCGTAGATTCAGGAATGGCTTTGTCAACATCTGACTCGAGCTTGCCGAAATTCATCACAGATCCCTCGTTTGTCTCAACTGGCAGTATAAGAGGTAATCGCCGCACCAGAGGCTGTGGTTTTTCAGTGTAGCCCCTACCTACAATGCAGACATGGTACGTACCTTTCGCTTCGGCTGTGTCGGCGGAGGCTCAGGAACGGCGGGAGGTGAAGGCGAGCGCATAACAGAATCCTGTCTTCCGCTTCCGGGGGAGACCGCGCGTTGGCTTTTATCTGTGAAAATTTTCTTGTCTGAGCCTTCTGGGAAAGATGGCTCGTCGGGGTGTGTATTGGGAACAAAAGAAGGCAAAGGAGAAGAGTCGCTTGGCGATTCTGCATGAATCGAGATGACCTTAGTATGATAGAAAATCGAAGAAGTTTATAATGAAATAACCTTGTGAACTGCTTCCGGAGGATGCGATGCGAGACGCATCGACGTGAACGACAGCCTCAAGAACTGTCTCCAGTCGAACGACATGTGCGCTCAGGCTATGAAGCAAATTCATCAACCACGCAGTTTCGGGTGTTTCATGACACCTACCTTTCAGCATCTGCAACCATTTCTTTCCATTTCTCATCTTCAACAGCCCTCTGTATTACACTATCCTTCGCCAGTACGACAAGCCCCTTCCCTGCACCTCTCAGTTCTTCGACTTTCCTCTTTCCCTTAGCAATCACCTGCCTCCACTTTGCGAGCCCCGCCTTCAGATTGAATCCTTCATATTCCGCGCCACCCCTTACGACCAGGTCCCTCAGTTCTGCATCAACTTCCCCGTCCTCTGCAGGAAGAATGAAGCGGAAGCTCCTCAGTAAGTTCAACCTTTCTTCATTGGGCTCCCAATGCTTGAAGCTCTTGAGCGCAGGAGGGAGGGCGGGTCCAAATGCGGGACGGTACTTGCTCTCAAGGGGCGGGACAAAAGACTTTTCGAGGGCTGTCAAACCGAAAGAATCGTTCTCTGTGGGAGTACTGCCAAGCTGCACAAGTTCTTGCAACCACTCTGGTTTGGTAAGTTGAGCAGCGCAGAGCAAAGAGGTCATAGCTGGGGTTGTCACTTCATACTTTGGTGTGATGTGATGTGTGAGAAGCTCGTGCGCTGAAGCATGCGTGCTAATACCTGTGGGTGGTGTCAGCAAGCCAACTTGAAATGGGGGCGGCACGAACCGATTGAAGCGCAGTCTTCAGAAGAAAACAAGGGCATGCCTCTTATTGGAGGGACAAAACATGCTATTCGTTGCCATCGTACTCTAGACACTGTGTTAGAGTCTGTGAGAACCGGAGAATGAGGAGTCGCCTACACCAGCACGATGCCAACAACGACAGTAATGTGGTCTCCATCTTCAAGAGTAGTAGAGGCTGACGGATTGCAGACCACGTCGTCCCCTCTCTGTCGCTTAATCATGAGGCTCTTGCCCTTGTTATTGACTATTTCAAGTGCGGGAACGTATGATGGATCGACCTAGAGAACTGGTGAGCTGGTCTTCGCATCGAAACTTGGTTCGTACCATGTTATCTGGCGTGTATGGGCCCACTTTGAATTCGCAAGCATCCCGAGAAATCTTTTTGCTATTCACTACCAGCGGTTGTTCTTTACGACCGAGCCCATAATTTTTGCCAGGCTTAAGTAGCTTTGTCTCTTTAGATTAAGAATTAGTGTCAAGGAGAAGGAAAGAATGGTAGTAAGAGACGGACTGGTTGTTGTCGTATCCCCCTGTTCAACACTATCAAATGGACCGGTGATGAGCCACATAGTAGTCTGATAAGGTCGAACGATAGTTAAGTATTATTGTTATAAGAATAATGAGATGGTGCTGGCAGGAACGAGCCACAGGAGCTGGTCGCTGTCCAGGTCGACGAGAGAGCAGTCGCGCAAACGCGCCAAATTGCATGTGACACGGTCACGTGACCATTGGCAACTCCATTGACCACGGGTCTCCATCGCGTTTCAGAAGTTTCACCGAAATTCATTGTTCGAGCAAATATTGAACTTCTGAAGCAACCATCATGCTGGCACTCACGTCACTCATCCGCCAAGCTAAGCTTCAGCCTTCCCTTCTTCGGTTCCCTTTCATATATAATACAAAATGCGGGGATATCTCACCGTCTCCCCCTACTTATCCTACTTCAAGCCTTCGAGTTCGATCCAATGTTGCCACTGACTAGCCTGACCATCGTCCTGTCGCTCCTTGTCGTCGGATCCCCAGTTTCTTCTATTCCCTTGAACACCCAAAAAACAGTTGTTAGCCTTGTCACTAAATTCAAAGCAGGTGGTGTAACCAATGTCGTTGCAGGCGACAGAACACGCGCCCATGTGCTGTATCGGGCTGCGATAAGTGGCAAGCACGATGCGAATGCATCCATCACCAACGTTCCACCCATAGGTTACACTATACAGGTTGGTTTCGGTAACCCAATGAAACACTGTGCGTCTTTGAGCAAAGACGTATAACCGTAATTTATGAGTTCATCACGCCAGATGGGCTTCTTGTGGATACTGCCAGTGGCAATACGTGGATTGGAGCAGACCAAGAATATACCAAGACCAATACCAGTACTGGAACTGGAAACACAGTCGTATGTACCTACCCTTTTGTACTATCATTTGATACTCATCTCATCTCATTCCAAGTCTGTCTCCTACGGATCCGCCAATTTCTCCGGGGAAGAGTACCTAGACACTATCACGCTGGGCTCATTGAGCATTAGTAACCAATCGATCGGGGTGGCGAACAAATACAAGGGCTTTGAAGGTGTCGATGGCGTCCTTGGCATTGGTCCCGTGAACTTGACAAAGGGCACGGTGTCTAACACGGACACAGTCCCCACTATCATGGACAATCTCTTCAGCCAAGACTCTATTGATTCTGAGATCCTCGGTGTCTACTTTGTCCCTGTATCGGAAGAGGATGCAACTGGCACGCTCACTTTTGGCGGCTGGAATAGCTCTTTAATGACAAGCGATATCACATATGTCCCCATCACCAATACCTCACCCGCTTGTACTTACTGGGGAATCAACCAGTCCATCAATTACGGCGATTCAAATCTCTTGTCTTCGGTGTCAGGGATTGTCGACACTGCCACCGTACTCATTCTCATTGAGTCAGGTAAACTCACATAATATGTGTCCAAGCAAAGTCACTGAACCCATACCAGACGCCTTCAAAACTTATCAATCTGCCACTGGCGCTACCTTGGATGAGACCACAGGGCTGCTGAAGATCACTCCAGATCAATACAGCAGCCTGAAACCCCTTATATTTACCATCGGAGGGACCGCGTTCACACTCACTCCGAACGCACAGATCTGGCCTCGCTCGATGAATAGCGTCATTGGCGACACCAGCGGCAATAGCGATAACATTTATCTCATCGTCGCAGATATTGGCAACAAAACAACTTTCGGTTTCGTCAGCGGATACACATTCCTGTAAGTGATCCTATTACATCGAACCATTACACAGCTCATTGTTGTGTTTGTGCTGTTAGTGAACGTTTCTACAGCATCTTCGATACCACGAATCAACGGGTTGGATTCGCCACTACAGCTTATACTGAGTCAACTTCGAACTGAATGCATTTTTAATACGATTAAATGTATGTATATGGCTGCGGGCTGGATCCGCTCGATTCATTATTCCACGCATACCCTGTAACGCAATGTGAATACAATCGCCATGTCAGCATGTAATAAAAGGACTATTATTGTTTGGTAGCGTCATTTTGGTAATAGATGCCCATGCAAACCATCATTCTTAATGCCTTGTGATCAGTCTGAAGAGCCTATGTCGTTGACTAGGATGACTCTGCCGGAGGAAGACAAACCCTGATTTGGTTCGAAGGCCCCTGTCGCCTTCATTAGCACATAGCAAATTTCAATTACTTGCGAGGCTGAAGGTGAGAGCAAGGCCTTGCGAGCCATCGGACATTGTCGCGGATCTTAAAAATAGGAAATTGGTTGACAGTCCAGCTAGACCAGAAATTGGGCTTGGATGAATCGCGGGCAACGATCTGCAACGATGCAAATACGTTGAATTTGAAACGGCTGTAGCGTTAGCGACATATAACATTAATATGTACATCGATGACGTAGAGTCTAGACGGCGCCATTCTGCCACCAAATAAAATTGAGATATGAAGGTCACCGATCAGTCTTCCAAATGTATTTTTGACCCGGTGCGTGCGTGCGTCAGGATAGAGTCAAAGAGCCACGACTTTGGTGCGGTTTCCTGGCATTCGTCGGCGCTCCACGGGAGGGGAAAAAACCGACGTCGCAGTCCATTGCAAAGAATAAACACAGCATATCAACAAACTCATTAATAATGTACCCGAAGGGAATCGCCCCAGCTCTGAATGAAAGAATAAGTATAACTTCTGTTTTCTAACCAGTTTCATGAGCCCGAAACTTCTACATTCTCGTGCGCCCCTCCAGCGTATGGCTGCTGCCATTGCAGCTGGGCATCATTCGGAGCCTGGCCATGGTGTGCGTTGTTGTTATTGCTGACGGGCTGGCCATATGCAGGATGCGAGTAATATGCGGCGTATCCATGGGGAATCTGCGCCATCGGTTGCTGTGTTGGGATTTCATATCTAGTATGGTAGGACCAAGCTCCTGAGCCATATGCATTCGCGGGGTAATACTGCTGATGAGACTGCGGGGCATAATAAGGGGCATAGTGATTCGTAGCGTTAGTCGGCTGTGTTGGGACCGCGGACGCCGCCGCCGCCGTTGTCGACGGATAAGCTGTTACCTGCATCGAAGGATGAGGAACTGTACTCGCAACGAAACGAACCACCAGACACAAGTGAACAACAAGAGGGGTGTGGGAAAAATGACGACTCACCCTCAGGAGCTGGTTCCGAGGGCTTCTGCACCACAGTTTGACCTTCGGTCTGACCGAAGATGACGCTTCCCCACTTGAATTCCCGCTTAATACCGCGGTCCCAAAGAACCTCGACAGACCCGGTCTCCTCTACAATGCGCACCAAGGAGACCTCGAAGACACCAGAGCTCACACGAATCTTGATACGCGACATAGGTGGGAGACCAACGAGCTCGCTTTTAATACGGTCCTGTTTCGAAGCCCTCTTTGCGGCGGCGACAGCCTTCAAACATAAGCGTCAATTCGTCATTGCTAAACCCCGTGAAAAGAAATTGCTCACTGGATTATGCTGCAGACATAGAACATGTACGTCATACTTCTTGATTGACTTCAGTACCTGTGGCTCTACCTCAACGGGAGAAGGCAGTATCTCATGTGGTTGCGTCTCAGACTGAGACAAAGCTGGATCCAAAAATGCGGTGGTTCCGTCAGAAGTCGGAGGAGTGTGATGTGGAAGAGGTAGTGGGGTTGGTTGGGGGTATACTAGGATCACCTCCTTCTCAACCTCGCGCAGTATCGAGAAAACAATGCCGCTGGTCCCCCCATCTCTTGCGCAGCCGACATGAAAGGATTTCGCACACTTGCCTTTAGTGCACTGGATAGGTGCACCATGAGCCTTTTGTCGTGCCTTTGAACAAGCAGCACATTTCTATACGCGAAGGTTAGCTAAACGTATGAGGTGTATGTTGGAACATACCAAATTCCACCGATCTCTCACGATTGCATCCACACCAAACACCCTTTTCTCCATGGACATCTCCGTCTCAACCTCGTCCACCCAAGTCTCAGGTACGACTTTAGCACACTCTTCATGTGCCATCCAAGCCTCGCTTGAAAGACTCGATAAGCTTTCAGGAAGCTCCCGCCGACCAACAGGTGGATCCTGTACAGGGAACAAGCCATCTCTGCTCGTTGATATACACAAACAGCAGGGGAAAATGTCCTCCACCGGCCTGGGGCCAAGCTTAAGGGTGACCCTTGACGCTGATGGACCGGCGACCGGCGTAGACGTCGATGCTTCTTTGGCTTTGGGGCGCTTGCGCTTTGGTTGAGGTTCCGGACCTTCAAGAGCTTTGCGCTTCGATGAAGGCTGTCGTTTTGCGGGCTCAGGCACCGGAGGGTTCCAGCGCTCGGCTTCCCTATCGTACAGTAGCTGATCAACATCAATCCGTACACTAGAAGAAAGTCAGACTGCTGATCAGACAATAGGACGATATTTTAACCTGTCAGATATACACTGGCATGCCTTGGCCTTGCGCCCGAGCTCTACCCAGCTCTCTAGCGCAAAATTGACACTTTCGGCGCAGTTGAAACCAAGGTTGAAGCCGGCATGATATCCACGAGGATAGGTGATCACGAACTCTTGCGCACGCTGAACCAAAAAATTGGGGCGACATGAAGACTGCGCTAGGAGGGTAGGTGATGCTAGGAAGGACTTGTGCCGCAAGAACTGAGGGCATTGCGAGATATCCTTCGGGAAGTAGCCTAGGGCAGTCAGTAACTATTAAGGGAATGAAATTGATGAATTACCTTTCATGGTTGATTCTAAAGCTGCGGCCCGTCCTTGTGGCATCGCATACCAGAATTTGGGAGCCCCGAAATGAATGTAATTGATGCTGAAGAGGTCCATGTCTTCGACATGCCATGCAAACGTAGCACGCCACATCCCGAAGTATAGATAAGGTGTGTTGACGCCTGGCAGGCCTTTGGATGACGAAGGGAGTATCCGCGACAGGAATGACGGGAGATGTGCAACGTTCCAAGCGGTAGTCTCGTCCGTAAAAATCGAGCCTAGTTGAATGGGAAACCTCAGATATAGCGTCTTGGACAGTGTGTATACAAACCTTGAGTGTCCGCTCCATACCAAGCTGGTTTCCCAAGGCCACAGTTCCGCCAAAACTGTCGTTCGAGTTTCTGACAAAACTCCACACTGTAATCATCAGCATTGGTGCATGGAGGGAGCCAGTCTTTGTGCGGCTCGAAAGTTTTGAGAAAGGCTGCGTCCTTGGCTGCACGTTCTGCTTCCCTGACCTCCCGACTTTGAGCTCCACGTTTCCTCGCGACAGGCTTCTTTTCAGATGCATCGGTATCATCTTGCGCGGCCATCTCCACGTCTCCTGGTAGTTGATCACTGCACGAAGGATCAGGGTGGTGAACTGAGTCGTCAGCTGTTGTGGAAACTGGAGTTTGGGGAAGTCCAACACTCGTCGGGGGGGACAATGGGGCGGAAATACCAGGTCTTCCATCATTATCATCCTCCTCTTCTTCCTTGGCCGGAGCAGGCGAGTCCTCCGGCTCAACAGACTCGACCTTGATGCTTGCAGCCCTCGTCTTGGTGCGCCTCGACCTCGTCTTCACAGCCGCGTTTCTGCCATGAAGGCCGATGTCTTCAACGCCGGGAGCGCAGAACTCTTCCTTCTCGCAGAGCTCTGCCCACTCTCTGACGCTCATGACTTTACGTTTCTCGACATTCTCCTGTCGGAATAGACCACCGCGGCCGAGCATATGCTGCTCGATTGGGGTTCTGATCTTGACATCTCCCAATTGACTTCCAGTTGCAGGAAGCGCGTCCACCCTATGTATCATATGTAGGCATGTGTCATGAAGTCAAAAGGATCTCACGGAACTCACCACTCTTTAGGAGGTATTACCTTCACGATACCGCTTCTCAATCCCCAACGTTCTATTTTATTCATGTATCCCTCAAAGTCTTGAAATTCTTGCATGGTCGGTTTAAACACTGGTATGCCTCTATGGGCTAGGGGGTCATCTTCAGGCTCGAGCCATGTTCTCCCGTCTGAATTGGGAGATGGTGGTAGGTGTGCACCCTCTGAACCAAAGAAATGGTCGGGCTGAACAGGTAGAGCAGGAGTTGGGGAGCGTGACCTTGAGTTGACATCGGCAGGCGATGTTGCCTCCATCGCGTTCGGTTAATCTCCCACGACGCGTGGAATGGAATCAGATCAACACTGGAGTTAATGCGGACCAAGCAAGAAAGCTCGTGGTCGAAAACAGCGAGTGAAATGTAAATAACGGCGAGCAAAACGTTGCGAACGTTGAGGACGATGGTGAGCTCGTCGTCGTAGTCGTAGTCGTGAAGGGGCGGAACTGCCCAAAGGAAATCGGCTAATACCGAAGATATTATGTAAGATGCCAGAGATGGAATATATTATCAAATTCTACTAGTATTTCAATTTCCTTTCAAACTCTCCGTTAGTTATTTTAACAGAATAGACTTACCACTAACTTCAGGATATTAACCAAAGGATGTCTGTCGTTCCTCGTCTTATGACGCTCGCTGACCTTAGCGGTCCTCAAATCAACCGACTTGTTAACCATGCTCATCACTTGAAACATCTTTCTGTTCCCTGGCTGGCTCCACAGCACGCGACCAAGAAAAAGAGCAATCTTCGCATGCCCTCTCAGTCCCTTTTCAACAAGTCCATTGCCCTTCTGTTTTCAAAACGCAGCACACGCACTCGTCTTGCGGCGGAGACCGCTGCTGTTCTTTTGGGTGGGCGCGCCCTTTTCCTGGGTTCTAGCGATATCCAATTCGGCGTGAACGAATCTCCTCGTGACTCCGCGCGAGTCATCGGGGGTATGTGCCAAGGCATATTCGCACGCGTCGGTGCCCATGAAGAGATTGAGGTGCAAAAGTTCCTTGTCTATTATTCCTTCATTAAATTAGTGCATTTCAGGAGCTCGCAAAGTACTCTCCAGTACCTGTGCTCAATGCTTTATCATCATTTTGGCATCCAACACAAGTTCTTGCAGACCTCTTGACCCTCCACGAGCATGCTCACCTCTTCTCAGCTGACACACCAGCCCCCTCTCCCACAAAACCTCTTCCTCCCCTACGACCTCTCACGATTGCATACGTCGGTGACTCTGCAAACGTCCTCCACGACATGCTCGTCACCTACCCCCGTCTGGGTCACGAGCTTCGCGTCGCAACACCTCCACAACCACAATATAACCCTCCCAAGCCCGTCTGGGATCGTGTTGTCGAGCTTGGATGCGACAAGCACATCGTTTGGAGCAGCGATCCCCGGGAAGCTGTGAAAGGTGCGGATGTCGTAGTAACTGATACTTGGTACGTCACTCTATCCCCGCCTAGATTCCCCACATGCTAAAAATATAATGTCACAGGATTTCAATGGGCCAAGAAGCTGAGAAGGCACAGCGTTTGAAGGACTTTGCTGGCTACCAGGTTACAGAAGCTCTCTGTCGCGAAGGCGGTGCGAATCCGGATTGGAAGTTCCTCCACTGCCTCCCACGAAAGCAGGATGAGGTAGACGACGAGGTTGGTTTTCGTTTGATTTTATTTGGAGACCGATTCGATGTGTGACGCCTGTTTTAGGTATTCTATGGCTCTCGGTCTCTTGCCTTCCCAGAAGCAGACAACCGTAAGTGGACCATCATGGCCGCGTTTGAGTAAGTCTTCTTTTGAGTACCTGGAAACGCAACTATCAACTCAAACATGTGTAGTCTTCTGTTTGGCAAGTGGGACATTACAGGGGAAAAGACCTCGAAAGGCGTTGAGTAAAAAGACAGCCTCCTCGTATGCTTTCGAGTGGTTAAAACATTGCAATTGCGGATATGTATCATAGGTAAAGTGCTCCCTGGAGTACTTACGGGACATTCGGAGCGATATGATACAGTCATTTCTCGACCGATTTCACTGAGTCGACCTCACGGTTATGAGTGTGCAGTGATGATTGTTGAAGTAGAGTTGAGACCTTGTAAAATGTCCCGGTTACCCGAACTTAGCCAGCTGGGGCCAGCGGAGTACCTGAACAGGTGAAGCCGGCTGAGCCGTAATTCCACGTCACGTCACGGGATGGAACTCGGCGGCATAAGCTTGGTCAAAAGTCCTGGATACCGGGCCAGTAATGATGCACCCGCTCTTCAATGCTCCCCCGCCTTTCTCGCTCCCGCCTGGTTAAACGGACAGCATACACTACCTTCGGTCTTGGTGCAGCTTACCTTGCAGACACGGAACTTAATGCGTCCGCCGTAACCCGTAACCTCCGCACACTATGGACTGTACGCCTGCTTATTATAATTCAGTGCCCTTACATTTTATGACTGACGAGGAATAGTGTGCCCTCATATCAGCGGACTACAAGCTCAACTTCACGCCAGAGCACGCAGACCGTATACCAGCCCTCCATCAGCGCGTTGCAGATCGAATGTATGACCTTTTCACAAGCAATGGCGGACTATACATAAAGATCGGTACGTTTCTTCGTTCACCCTTTCACTCGTCATATAATATCACATTCGATCTAGGTCAAGCAATAGGCGCAAATGCCGCGTTAATGCCTGCACCCTTTCAGCAAAAGTTCGCCCGCCTCTTCGACGATGCTCCACAAATACCTTATCCTACTATTGCCCGCGTGTTCCAACGCGAATTTAATAAGTCCCCACAAGAGCTTTTCGCCTACTTTGATGAAAAGGCCATGGCCAGCGCCTCCGTAGCACAGGTCCATAAGGCACGCACATGGGATGGAGACTGGGTTGCAGTGAAAGTGCAGAAGCCAGATGTAGGGCGCCAGACCAGTTACGACCTCGTGGCGTTTAGAGCTGTCATGTGGGCATTCGAAAAGTGGGTGTTTGACCTGCCTGTTTATTTTGCTGTCGGTGCGTCTGTCTTCCGTGGTAATTAGATACAGAACTGACGCACAGTAGACTTTATTTCCACACATCTCCGTGCTGAACTTGATTTCATTGCTGAAGCCTCAAACGCACAGCGGACTGCGTCTCTCATTGCATCCGAGCCCCGTCTAGCTGGCAAAGTGTACATTCCAAAAGTTTACCCCGAGTATTCAACCAAGCGTGTGCTAACAGCGGAGTGGATCGATGGAGTGCGACTAAGCGACCGTGAGGCACTAGGTCGAGTTGTCGGTGAGAAGTTACCTGAACGAAGCGGTGGTATGTTTGCCGATACCGTTCATGAGGAGAAGAAAAATGGCATTCCCGAGAGCATGCATAATGTGAAATTAAAGGGCGGGATGCAAGCAATAATGCATACGATGGTGGGCGCTCCTGCCTGTTTGTAGACTTATTATTGACATGCTTGTTATTCGTGCAGGTCGAACTTTTCAGTGCACAAATGTTCGACTGGGGCTTTGTCCATTGCGATCCACACCCAGGGAACGTCATAATTCGTGCCCGCCCAGGCTCATCGCCGTCATCGAAACCCGTGCTCCGTGACCCTCAGCTAGTACTACTAGACCACGGCTTATATGTTACCATACGCCCCAGCGTCAAGCGCCAGTACGCCTCTCTCTGGCGTGCACTCCTGACTTCGGATTGGGACACAATAAGAAACGTCACCGAAAGCTGGGGTGTCGGCGAGGCGGGGCTGTTTGCGAGTGCTGTCCTGATGCGGCCTGTGAAGGTTGGGCGGGCTAACGGGTCGAGTTCACATGCAGAGAAGGCCAACGGGGGTGCTGGCGCGGAGCTGAATGCATATGAGCAGAGCGTACGGATGAAAGAGCGGTTGAAACGATTCCTTGTCGATACTGATAAGATGCCCAAAGAGCTAATTTTCTTAGGGCGGAATATGCGGTGCGTATACTTGACATTTGTAAATTTACATTCACTCATTCTCATCTCAAAGAATCGTGCAAGGGAACAACCAATCCCTCGGCTCCCCGGTCAACCGCATTAAAATTACGGCCTATTGGGCTTCACGCTCGCTCGTCACGACGCATGAAGGTATACCATCATCCTCTCGCACATGGTGGGCCCGCCTCGACACGCGCGAGCTCTGGCGCGATGTACTCTTCCGCAGTGCCATGTTCAGCCTCGACGTCGTGTTCTGGGTATCGAAGCTCCGGCAGCGTGTGCGTGCGTTACTGGGCTTCACGAATGGCGGATTTGAGGATGAACTAGAGAGGAGCATGAGGGGGTTTGCGAAGAGTACATTTGGTGTTGAGATGGGGCCCGGTGCGTTTGAGGGCTAGTAGGGTTTGAACGCGTGGATCTCAGGGTGGGGTCACTTATCCGTATTTGCTATTAGCTGCTCTTAGATGATGATCTAGCTAGACTTGGACTCGTTAATATTTGCCATGGTAGTATCATAACGCCCGTAAATTTGATTATCAGGGTTGGTTGCGTATCTCATGCCGCATCGCTTGCTCACCAGCGGGAATTAATTGAATCCGAGAAAAATGGACACCGACGGCAACATTTAATACCCCCGCGGTTCGAGTAAGCGGCAGTAAGCCTCGCTTTCCATTTGCTTATCTCCTACCAATAGTAGGTCTGGGGATTGCTTAACGATGCTGCATCCGTTCACAGGCAAGGTCCTCTCAAATCCTAGCCTTCCTAGTATTATACTACTAAGTCCCAAGAAAGCTTTTCGCAAGCGAAAGGCTAGCGGTGACAAACCTTTATAGAAGGAAGGCACTCCTTCTAATAAAGGTGAAAGGCTGTCTATTTGGTCCGTTTAAGTATACGTACTAACGAGGGGAGACGGGCCCGGGTAAAGCTCGGAATATGTGACTTACGGTGTCATGATACTAAACACAGTTCAACGTTCAATAAAGGTGCATAACGCGAACATAATAAAGGCAGCAGTCTTGCAGATGAGGCCGCATCTTGCTTCAGCTCCCTCACATTCTTTAATATCCTTTCCCTTTCGTATCCGATGGCAGCCAACTCCACCGAGGTAATGTGGGCGCCGGGATTCATTGGTGAGCATTCCAGTGGTCTATCTGACCTTGCAGCTGACTCTAGGCCAAGGATCCATCATAGCTACGGTGTATGGACTTGTACCAATCAGTCTCTGCCCAATATTGACCTGCGGAATCGTAAAGGTTCTATGGAATATCCTTTGGACAGTATATTTTCTATCTGCGATCTTTTCCGCAAGATTCGAGAAAACTCAAGTTATTCGTGAGCACGCTCTTTTTGCATTAACGAAAACATCACCGATATTAACATATTTCATCACTAGATTATGATAGTATTGTGGGTGCTTTATACGATCTTGAGTATATCCCAATACCATGACGATGTCTCAGTCTTTTCGAAACAATTCACCAATACGCCATGATAGGCATATACTGGTCTATCCTTATTTCGTGCCGGCGTAGCACATCTCTTGAGTGCACGACCAAACTCTCGTGGTAAGTCGATAGACTTGTTCCTGGATCCCAGATGGGCTCATTGAGAGGATAGGCAGACGCTGGCAAGTATATTTATATTATTGTAGTGTACTGCCTAATCAACATTGCGACGAAGCTTGCAGTACTTATGTCAGTAAGTCCTCTATGTCTGGTCGTTCTCGATATCTAGTAACAAATGATAAGTATTCGGTCATTTTCGCCGTTCAGTGGTATGTGACTCCTAATGGCTGGCCCTTAGGACGATGCTGATTTGTTTCAACCACACAGTTTTTATGTGCACAGGGTGTGGATAAGTGAGTCCTTCAGGATCTGCGAGACCAAGGGTCTCAATGCGCTATTTTAGTCACGGGAAAAAATCGCTTGATCACCGGCATAATTGTGAGATCACATTTTCATTGTTTCTTTCGTGAAGAGCTATAACACAAACCTTCAGTGTGTGCTCACCACTACATCATTCGGTTGGCTGTTTCAATCAGCCACATAACCTCTCTGACTCTTGAACACTATAGTCTGTGGCATGAGTTACATCAATTTTTCAATTATGATGTCAATTTTCTGATATGTCGCTGTCTTCGTCTCCAGTTGTCAGTGGTTTAGCGTGAGTACTTGATCATTGAGCTTGTACGGTTTCTCATTTAATTTCCAAAGATTCCACACGAGAAGCTCTGAAGTTATGTTCAGCACGAAGGTCTGGCCAGTCATATGATAGTTTTGAATAGCCCTAACAGATTCATACCTCGATCAGTGGTCGCTAGTATCGTCGTTCACCGGTGCATTATGTGATTCTGTCATCACAGGGTCCATATGGTTGTTCATGCGACCGGCACGAACAGGCAATGTTCGGTGCGTGGTCTCTCTGCTTTGCGTGTGGTCAGACTCATGCAGGATTCTGTTCAAGGAGAAAGTCAAGGAATCACATCAATGAAATGATGTGGATTTTTATCAACATGGGTTTATTTCCATGGTATGTGCAATGCTCCGTAAATGCTGTAAGATCTACTACATAAGGTTCCCAGCTTTGTAGCAATTAGCGTGGCTGTTCTCGTGAGTCCTGGCCATCCATGCAAGATGCAGAAATCAGAATCAGGGCTGTTTTAGTATATGTTGCAGGACGGACAGTTCTATACCGCTGTGCCTGGAGCGGTGATAGGAAAATGTCAGTACGTTTCCTTTGCACTGTGAACACGCTAAAACCCTCGTTATAGCGTATATGAACTCGATGCTAGGGATGTGAGTGAAATTGTTTCTTTGCGCGAAGCTCACTACTGAAGCGCTAAATACGGTGGTCAGGCTCAATGCTAGGAGGTCCATTCGAGAACGGGAACAACTTGGCTACAACTTAACGGACCTTCCAACAATACCTACGATACAGTGATCTTTTGCTTATCCATCGGATCCATATATATAGCCTCCGTAATCATGATACCGGGGTGCTATCTTATTGTGCGATTTTTCCTCTTATCTGCTCCATCGACGCAATACATTGTGTCTTCCATCGTGGTGAGCATCTTTATATAGTTGTATTGGAGCGCTGTGACTGCGGTGTGTGATCTCAAGCTATTAAAGGTACGGCCTGGGGTTACTTGAAGGGTGACGTCGGCGGCTCTTTGTAGTCACTGGGATTACCCGGTGACCCGGGTAGAGGGCGTCTATCAATTTCAACTTCCGCTTAGTACCACAACGCCATCATTTCACGTTACGGGGGCCCCCTCGACTGAGCTGTTACGATACAGTGAAATGCAGCCACCTAGCGTGCAAAAACCGAGTCACGTCACTGTGGTCTGGTATGAACATGATGGTCTGATTCTACAGTGAACACGGGATTCTTGGAGGTTGATGAGTTTGCCGATTGAATGTCAACGTATTAACATTCAGTTGCGATCGGAATCCCAGACGCCTGCTCGGGCGGATCTTAGAAACCCTGAACCATTCAGTGGTCGTTTCGGTATATAATCCCTCTCCGTTTCCTTGTCTCGTTCATTGTCTTTCACATTCATATTTCCCGCCGAGCGCGCAGCATCCATCTTACTTGTTGACGCCATGACCATCGCAAGTCTCCGACGCTCACCCCAGTATCTGCCCAGGCCACTTACCAAGCGCGCTCGCTATCTGCCAGCACGTAGGACACTTGCTACGGTGTCGCCTGAACACGCAAAAGTTACGCTGGGCATACGACGAGAAGATCCATCAAGGATATGGGAGCGTCGCTGCCCCGTCACGCCCGACGAAGTTGCCCAACTCGTTCAGCACCTCGACGTCAACGTTCTCATCCAGGACTGCGACCGTCGAGTGTTCCCCATTGACCAATTCATCAAGGTAGGATGTCACCTTTTGCACTCCCTTCCTCCATGATACCTTCCACTATGACCATCAGTCAGATTCCACTCCACTTGCCGTACATTGCAATTTCACGTGCTTCATTGTCCGGTGTTTGCAGAGCTGTGGGCGGTACTGACTACGTTCCGTTTCAGGCCGGTGCCAAAGTACACCCGACTCTAGAACCCGCACATATTGTGGTCGGAATCAAGGAGACACCACTCAACGAATTGATGACCTCTCCTGTTTCTGCGCCAGGTCTGCGCTCAGGGCCTTCCGTACCCCGCACCCATCTAATGTTTTCTCATACCACGAAGGGTCAACCTTACAATATGGAGTTGCTCTCCCGCTTCCTCGGTTCACAAGAGAACCCATCATTGCACCGGTTGATTGATTATGAACTCCTCGTAGGTGAGGACGGCAAACGAACAGTTGGTTTTGGGTGGTTTGCAGGAGGTAAGCAATAACTCACACCCATTGGCAACGACTCACCATCAAATAGTTGCTGGTGTTCTCGAGTCTTTGTCTGCGCTTGCTCATGCCCATCTTGAACTTGGAGTTGCTTCTCCTTTCCTTGTAAGTGCTCTTATACGTTCCACTGCTTCATGTAATCCTAACCCTAGCATCGTTAACCCTAACCTTAATCGCCACTGTCAGCACACTCCTCGTCCGCACACACACCCATCGATCCCATCCCTCCGCTCTGCACTCCGAAATATTGGCCAAAACATTGTAGAGAATGGGACGCCTAAGGCGTTAGGACCGTTCGTCATCGGGCTCACAGGGTGCGTGGATATTCATGATCCAGAGAGCGTACTGACGACTCGCGTTGATAGAAGCGGGAAAGTGTCGCAAGGATGTCTATCCATTCTAGAAGAACTCCCGATCGTGAAAGTGACTGTGAAGGACCTGCCTGGACTTGTCAGTAACCAGGGTGTGTATTATCTTTGCTCTGTCTGGATGTAAGCTCAAGTCACACACTAGATACCGACCTCCATAAGGTTACTTCCTTTCTCGCCACGTATGGTAGTAAGATCATTAACATTTTTGTAGATATACCTCGTACATGCGCTCCCTAATGACTACCTTACCCGTGCTGATGGTGGGCACTATTCCCGTAATGATTATTACAAGAACCCGGCTATGTACCGCTCGGAGTTTGATACCAAGGTAAATTTCTACAACAGGTGAAGATTTGTCTCATATTTTCCCCTTTGTAGGTTGCACCATACCTCACGCTCTTCCTGAATGGCGTTGGCTGGCTCCCATCGTTCCCGCGACTTATGACAAATGAACAACTAGCCACTGCTCTCACCCGTGCAGCCGAAGTAGGGCGAGCGCGGTTTGGAACAATTGGTGACATTAGTTGCGACGTTGAGGTATGATGATTATTGACCTCCGGGGGATGTGTTAATCATTGATACCGTCTTTCAGGGAGGTCTCGAGTTCCTACCTCGTGCATCGACCCTCTCGGACCCCTTCTTCAAGCACCGACCTGCTTCTCTACCTTCTCACCTTCCGAGCGTGACTATCATGTCTGTTGATATCCTCCCCTCAAGTCTTCCTCTCGATGCTTCTCAGCATTTTTGTGGGGTTTTAATGCCGTATTTACATGCCCTGATTGACGAATACCGTGGTCGACCCGGCTCTCGCGAGCACCTTGAGGCCCTGAACGTTGCGACAATTGCACGGAATGGTGAGCTGCAAGGCAAGCATCGTTGGCTGGCGGCGCCAGTTGAGAGGCGAGCCGTCGAGATAGCGAGCAAGGCAGGAGTAACTGAGACACCGCTGAGGAAGAAGCGCGTGCTCATGCTTGGCTCTGGAATGGTTGCAGGCCCTGCTGTGCAAGAGATCTGCAAGAGGTCTGACGTGGATATTACTGTTGGTCAGTAGTTGTTTTGCATACACATTGTGGACATTGTATTAATGTATACCCTTGATGTCCTTGAAAATTTATATCGCATGCTTTGACGAATTGTCGTTGATAGCCAGCAACGTGCGCTCAGAAACAGAGGCTTTGACACGCAAATACTCGAACGCGAAAGCGGCGTATTTGGACGTGCACGATGTTGTAGAGATGGCAAGGTTGATTCAAGAAGCCGATGTTATCATTAGGTGCGTGTCGTCCTCTCACCTACAATCTACACACGATCTGAGTGATGATGAATTTGAATTTAGCTTGCTCCCGGTTCCCTTTCACCCTCCTGTAGCAGAGCTCTGCATCCAGCACCGAAAGCACCTCGTGACGGCATCGTACATCTCGCCTGCCATGCGAGCCTTACATGAACGGTCAGTGAAACACGGACCTATGATATCGCCCACGCTGATTTCATGTACTTCTCATAATCGCCCGGCCGCCTATGGAATAATCCGATATTGATGCCATGAAATGGAACGCATTACGGAATATAGGGCTCAATCAGCAGATGTGCTTCTGCTAAACGAGATTGGTCTCGACCCAGGGATCGATCACTGTTCTGCATTATCACTGCTTGCGCAGCTCAAGGGAGAAAATAAGCGTGTGATATCATTCACCTCGTTCTGTGGTGGCTTGCCTGCCCCTGATTGTGCAGATGTGCCCCTTGGGTACAAGTTCAGCTGGAGCCCGAGGGGTGTGCTTAACGCTGCGCTCAATGGAGCAAGATTTAAACTCAGTGGGAAGGTGCGTTGATAGCGGTATGAAACCTGCATTAGAAGGCTGAATCATTGTGATGTATAGGAGATGGAAATTTCTGGAGAGAATCTTCTCCAGGAATATTTCCCTGATGTTCCAATCTCGAATGTCCTAAAGCTTGAGGGTCTTGCGAACCGAGACAGTCTTCCATATGCAGAGACGTATGGGCTTGGAAAAGTCGAGAGTTTGCAGACTGTTCTCCGTGGAACTCTCAGGTAGGTGACTGTCGTACTCTAGATCATCTTATAAGGTTGACTGGCACCGATATCAGATACCCTGGGTTCTCTGATTTGATGCACGCCTTCAAGGTCATAGGGCTGCTTGACATTGAAAGCTCCATTCAACTGCGCGATTGGCGTGATTTCGCACGGATGTCTTTGGAGAACAAGATCGGAGAGCAGATCGGAAGTGATCGCCGCTCGTTCTTGTCAGCCCTTTCCACCCTCATGACCGTCGAGCTTGCGGAAAGCGCACAAAGTGCTCTGAACTGGCTGGGCCTTACTCCAGAGAACGTTCCATGCAACACTCTCCCGGCAGTACCACCCAAACCACAAGCGCCGATCGAACTTTTCACTTCGGTCCTCGCCCACAAGCTCAGATACAACCCCGGGGAACGTGACATGGTCGTGCTGTCGCACGAAGTTGTCGTTCAGCCGTCGCTCTCGTCTGTAGGTTCGGAAGTTCACACGTCGAGTTTAGTGGCGTATGGCAATTCTGAGGCATCTGCGATGGCGCGGTGTGTTGGGCTGCCTGTCGCTTTCGCTGCACTCGAGGTCTTGGACGGTTGCGTTCAGATGCGCGGCGTACACGGGCCTACGGATAAGAGTCTGTATGGTGCTGTACTTGATGGATTAAAGGGAGCTGGGCTTGAGATGAAGGAGTCGGTCAGCAAAGGCCCGGGAATGGAGAGGGTGTTGGCAGAAGGACTCCGGGCACGCAGAATAGCTTTTTGAACACTCTGGGACTCTCAGAGGGATATATATCACCGTACCAAACCGTATAATTGATACTTAGTACCACCGTCAATTCAACCTCAGTGTATTCAAAATGTCCATGTCGATTGCCATATTATTTGAAGACTTGCCCACTCGCTCCGACCTGACAGTGAAGCTTGTCATGAACCGCCAGCAATTTTGGCATCATTTTGGGAGGCTCGGAAACGATTCTTCATTAAAGGGGTTTGCTCGAAGTACAAAAGCTATATATGCACGGAGACATTAAGCAGGTTGGGGTGAAGAAGAGAAAAAGAAGAAGGGGGGCATACATAGAACACGAACTAACACAAACGTAGGTAACGAAGAGAAGACTACCACGACAATCGTACAATTTGCCTTCACCTAAAATCTGCAGAACAAGAAAAATTGACTAGTGGCAAAACAGCGCCAGTAGCTAATGTTATAAGTAACCGCTGTCGTCCTCTTTCTTATCATGAGCGACGGCGTCATCCTCATCTGGTATCCGTTCCCTGTCCGCAGCGCTCATCGTATCTTGCATGACTTGTTCGGCGACAACAATTCGGCTACGCTCTCCACCTGTCAAGGGACTGCTTTTGAACTTCTGTCCCTTGATGCTGACTGTTGGGACACGTAACAAAGCGGCATCACTCGGTAGAGGAACGGGGGGTGTACTCATCCCCGATTCCTTAGCGGCAGTGAGACGTCGTTTTCGCTCGAGGAGGAAAGCTTCCAGAGACGGTGCTGGTGACGAGGATCGTGTACCGGGAACGCTGACAGAAACGGAAACGGGAACAGAAGCGGCGATCCCAGCACTAGAGACAGATCTCTTCTTCAAGGTGGAGCTACGTGCCAAAAGAGAATCCTCAGGTGAAGTGGAAGCATTGTTAGTGGTCTTCGCGGACTGTGACATGTCTTGTGGCTCGTCCGTTGCTGCCATGGCTTCTAGGACCTGAATGACTGGAACGACAGTCTCGGGTGTGTCCTGCTCCTTGATACTATCGCCAGTGAGAGAGAATGCTGAGGTTTTCGAGGCGGGTTGAACTATAGGAACTTCGTCTGTCTCACGAGGTGTCGGGGGCTCACTGCGAGAACGAAGGAAGCCGAATCCTTTTAGCGACAGAGGGCGCAGGGCGGGACCGATGGGAGGAGGCTTGAGGGCCTCCGTGGATTGCGTGACTGTAGAGGGTAGGTCAGGTAAAGATTCTCCATGCAGCTTTGTAAGAGGCGATTGTTCTATTGGGACGTAAGACGAGATGGTGCCAGCAGCACCCTCCTGATCGAATTCGTCATAGATCTCTTCACCAATAAGTTCTACACAAGATTGATTAGGATGCGCTGGCCACGAGGAGTGATCAAAGGCACATACCTTCGAGGACGTCTTCCAATGTGATGATGCCGAGCGGCATTATCGCCGGATCAATGACCTGTAAAAAGTCCTCTGCACCTTCTTTGGTCAAAACAGCGTCAGCAGGCAGGCTTTGCTCCAGTGCAGTCGCCGAGCGAGGTAAACGGTATTTCTTCTCCTTGGCATTGTCTTTCTGGACGACCTGCTCTTCAATAATACCCATTTCCATATCACGCCTTACTGTGCCGCGTTGCGAGGGGCGTCCTCGCCCGCGACCGGTCCGAACAGCCCGCTGGGGTATTTCTATAGCTGGATCTTTGTCATCTCCGCGAAGTGTGGATTGACCGTCAGCGTCCAGTTCATCAGCCCAGGATATCTCGCGTGATGGCTTTGCTCTTTCTATTTCTGGTTCTTCGTCTTTGTTCTTAGTTTCATCCTTCTCTTTACTATCGTCGTCTTCATCACTCGAGTCGCCCATGCCAACGCGTTCGCGCAGGCGTTGCGTGAGGGAGCGCTTGGCAACCTTCTTGACTGAAGCAGCCTTCTCGACGCTGAAGCGAGAGACAATAGCCATGTGCGAATGACCCTCTTGGAATCTGTCTAGAATGCCGAGGAGAGACTCGTTGTTTGGTACGAAAGGGACTTTGTTCAGTGGAATCCTACGCAGAGGAACAGCATCCTTCGGATCAAGGAGAAGGCACTGAAAGACAATATCAGAACCGATATGAAATGCCCCAGGAGCCACTCACGTGTTTAACGAGCAGAATCCCGATTATCTTCTTGACCTTCAACATGCGTTTTGATGCATCAACGGGGATCTCGACCTCTTCATACACAGGGACACGGCTGTGTCCAGTGAGGCAGATCTTCTTCATAAGAGCGTAATCGAGTTTCGAGTCAATCGATAACATGAAAACATTCTCGATGGGGGTCATCGCCTATAGCCAGTGCAGATCCATGGTCAATACATCTGAAAGCGTACGCTAGTCCAGGAACTAACCTGCTTCACCACTTTCTCTTGTAAGTCGAGAGTGGCGCCGATAATTGTGACCGTATCACTCTTGAGGTCACCACCAAGCGGAGACATTGATGAATGCAATGCAATGAGCTCTTTGAGTTCTAAGCAGAGATAAAATCAGTAGAATTATGGATGTGGAAGATGGGTTCCTACCTCCTCTACGGTACATGATTCCATGATGGGGACCGAGTACTAACTCCAAAAGTTTGGCAACAGGCCATGCAATGACGCCCTACTATAATTTGGTTCACGTCCTCAACAAGCGCTTTATGACGTACAAGAAGATAGATTAGAACTCGAGTGAAGCCTGCCATTTGAGCGCCAAAATAAAGACCATGTCGGGTGCACAATGATTGCGGAATGATCTCCGAGAAGCTAGAAGCAATTTTGGGTGAGCCATGTTTAAATATAGACGCCAGAATGTGGGGAAGCGCAATAGCTGACGTCAATACTTGATTATTTCCGTGACCAGATTGACTTTGCGGATCACAAAAGGACACGACAAGAATGACGGATCAAAAACACTAGGCGACTGGCGAAAAGATTCGATGAACTGGACCGCGGGAAATACACTTACATGACAATTAGAACGGTACTGACGACTACGCTCTGCACTCCACCACCCAGAATAGGGTCGGAGATGACAGGTAGAGTCTCGTTGACGATCATATTAGCGAGAAGCAGTGTGACCAACAGTAAATGGCCGTTTTTCCTAATGGGCTTGATTTTCTCAGCATAACGTTTTTGTTGACTGCGAAAGACACGATCAGGGACGAGGGTAGGATGGAAACAACTAAATGTAACGAACGGAGTGCCACTCATGCTCAACACATTCAGCTGGGTTTCGTCCAAGCTCATGTAGCCTAAAGTCAGACCGGCAAATACACCTGATAGGAGGACAAGGACGGGAATGAGACACGCGAAGACGATAAACTCGGGTCCGCCATTGCTTTCAGCAGCACGCTTCGCGTAGGCGTGCAGCGCTGAAGGACTGCCTCCATCGCGCTTGGAACCGAGCAGTGTACGAGTGATGTTGGGAACATATTGTGATAGAAGTGAGAATGAAGTAACAAGAAGACGGGGGGAACGAGGAGAAATATTAAGCGGGGTCGGTACCATTCAGTGAAGCTGAGGAAATGCGGGCGGAGTACGACTGACCCAAACCTGAAGCCCTTATATGTAGCAAAACTCTCGGCCCATATTAGTAATCAGGATGACATAATATTTCCCTGCAAAGCGACATGAAACTGACCGCAACTCCAACATGAATGCCGCAAGGGTTACCTGGAATCTTCTACGATGAGTTTGGAAACAGCTTTTACAGCATACTGACTCGATTTCTCACACGGACGACTAGATATGACTGGCCAGTTACCTGCATAGCAGCTACTTCCAGCGATATCTCCAATCGAGAAGAGTCAAATACGAAATTCTCCATCTAATTATGCGACTTAGTCTGGGTGCTAGCAAAATCACACGGACACCGCTGCGGCCCAGTTGCAATGTGTACTGCCTTCTTCGACGAACCGCTGGCCAAAATGAACTACTTCTCTACTTATCAGTTATCATGGTGCACCCTTGACCAATGATGAATTCAGCTCTAGGTGATGAAGCGCAATTCGCGCGGGATGATCGCTCCCGCTGGCCGTGAGATTCTAGGTGGCCGAAGTTCAGTATACGGAACTTGCTCTGCGGCCTCTTACTATCTGACCAGGAACCAGGACCACACGGGTATATTAGATCACAGAGCCTTCTGCTAATGCCGAGGTCGACGTAGCAGCAAGTCATACCGGTCTTCCAAATTCATTTGCTTACCGATTGTTGGAGTGGCCCAAACCTACGTGTCACGAAGCAAGCGCCATCCTTTCCCTACTCCACCGCCATAGGAAGACACTCCGATACTATATACTACACGCACTACATAACATTTCGGGAGGGGTGTCCCATTCTCACCGTCGTGGTTGTGATACTCATCTACCACTGCTTCACCCACGAGTATCACGCCGTTCTCTGTCGAGTTTTCTCCGGGGGTCGAAATTTACTCTATAAACATCCTCTTTTACACACGAACTGAAGGGCAAGATTATGAGCCACAAAGAAGAGATGGTTTCTTGCGGCGTAATTGTTGTCTACATTGTCTTACTCTGAAATGTCCGCTGGGGGACAATGCCCTACATATAATTTGCATGTTGTACGATATGAGTTGCAGTCGGCCATGCGTATGCGCACTGCGCAGCCACAGGACCCATGAGAACCCCTTTGGAACCCAGGCTGGCGTCCGGACAAAAATTGACCCAAATGACCGTTTCACCCAGGTTACAGTCCGGACACAAAACGTCTAATTTGGGTGTCGACCTAGGTGAACGTCCGGACATCTGCGGAGGGGTGGGGTGGTATGCCAGGTTAGAGTCCGGACATGGGCTATTGTTTCGTGGAGGTAAGATATGGTAGAGTAGTGTAGCGGAAAGACACGCACGTTCGATAGCGTTGAGCGTGAAAGTTCGAATCTCATTTTTTACAGTTTCCATTGGACACTTGAAGCTTGAAGTTCGAATCAGCGCAAAACGAGCGACTACTATGTGACAGCCTAAGCAACTGGCGCAAACCAACATCTTTTTTCATTCATTGGTACAGTTCTCCTATCTCACTAATATGAACGAGCTCGACCTCGTTTGTCCCCCTATTTTCCACCCTCATGAATGGATTGGTAAAGGCCATAAATATGATTTAAAAAACCTTCCTCAATCAGTGGTCTTTGCTCGTTCTGCAGCACTCGCGATTCCCCAAGCGCACATGCACCACATCCCATCTCGCAACCTTTCCGTTCACGATTTTCTGCAGCTGTCATTGCCTGCCCCCTCCTCGACCATTATTTCTGTGAAAGTCAATTGTTGGTTTAGCCACGACCCTCCAGACATCGACTCGGACTTATCGTACCTCAAAACTCGGCCCATCCCCTCTGAAAATGTATTGGCAGAGATCAATTCTGCCATCAGTCACGATGCGCGTATATCTGCACTCCATCCCCTCAAAGTCGATGATTTTGCGATTGTATACACAGAGTGGGGCCTTCGCATCGGCCGAGGTGAGTTTGTGCTACTATGACATTGTACTCGCTGACACAGTCTCAGTGATTGCAATTTACTCGAAAGGTGGTGGTAAAAACGGCAAACACGCTGCTGTTGACAAAGCAGACGCTATCGCTGGTGTCTCGTACCTTGGTGTCCAAATCTACCAGCAACATTTTCATCGTCATTTTCGTTCCATTCCTGATGCAACTGCCATGTTCCAATGCAACCAATTTGCTTTCATTGCTTCTACTGCCTTTCTCTGTCTAATTTCATCTAAGCCCAACCTAACGCACTCGGGACTCGAACTTGCACCTGCAGACCTCACGGACTTCCGATATCCTATCAACTGCTTTGCCTCAGTTGGCGGAAGCTGCCAAATTGTTCCGCAAGAGGACTTCGAGAAACGGGACCACACAGAGGGATGAAGAAGGCGATTTTTGATTCTTTTTAGCTTCTACTGGCTATTCTAAACACACCTAGCTACTTAGAATAAGAAAAAAACGCATTTTTTGAGTTTTTTGGTAACCTGGGTCAGAGTCCGGACAAAATTCACCCCTCAGCTGAACCCAGGACGGCATCCGGACAAAAATCACCAAAACGTGTCCGGACAAGTTTGGGCCTCAGCTCACCTGGGTTCCAAAGGGGTTCTCATGGGTCCTGCAGCCACTGGTTTAATTACCCGAGACCGATCTCCGGGTTTGAAATTACACAGCGCTCAGCAGTTGACTGCCGCGACGTCAACGGGCTTCATCGATGCGTACACTTCCGCAATCTCTTTGGTGTCTCATACATGCAACACTTGCCGTTAGTGCACAAGAGTTACTGACTCTCAATACTTTATATTCTCTTTCTTTTTCGAGTCAGTCTAGTGACCCCACCTTTTCACTTCCACAGGCTCAGCAGCTGACGGTATCCGTCGCCATTTGCTCGAGTGGAATTACATCTCCAGCATTTCTCGTAACCAACAACACAGCGTCTACCAGCACTACAGATGTTTTTGAAATCCCATTGCATAACGGATTCGGGAACTGGACTGGTACCACGCTGCAAGGTGGATCATTAGTTGTACAGAATGTTGCCCAGGCCTCATTCCAAGTTGCTGCATCGACAGGAGGTATGTGCACCGAATAAACAAATGAATTCAATAGTTTGTTCATGCTGCCAGCAGATCTTGTGCACGAACTACTTCCCGCACTCCCGCTCCTCGGAGATACCACCAATACTCAGACTCTGATATTTTCGTCTCCAATATCACCTATCGAACTCTCGCCATCCACTTATCCAAATTATACTCTTCCTCCTGCTAACCTTTCCATCCCTTCACCACCATCATCGCCTCCCTCATTCTCTCTTGTCATTGCGCCCACTTCCTCTGGTCTTGCATCTGGTCTGCAGACAGCATGTAGCATCAATTCTACATCCTCTTCAGGCTCGGTACTAAGCAACGATCTCTGGCTGCGCGACAATCACGGTTGGAGGTCTCAGTGGCTTGTTGATGACTTGACACCGAGTACGAACTACACTGCCTATGTTATCCAGGACCAGGTAAAATTGAGCGGACCAATCTATTTCACAACCAAATCTCGTGCGTTTCCTCCTTGGTGTATCATGCATTCACTCATGTCTCCATATCAGCATCATTCTCCTGTCCCCTCGTACACTCCCTTCCATTTTGTCCATCCACATCATACGCCGTTCCTCTCCCAACCCCCCAATCCCCTGCAACGTCCTACAACTCTTCAACTCTCCCACAGACCGTATCAGACCCCCTTCTTCAGTATATGACCAACTTCACAACGATGCTCCTCACATTTCCATGCGGGCGCGACCTATACTCCCCCTTGCAGACCTGCGAGAGCTGCCAGGAAGCGTATCGCGCTTGGTTATGTTCCGTGTCCTTCCCGCGATGCGCCGAGCCTCCATCAAGTTCTTCCTCACCATCGTCTCCAACGCCAGCATTGACTACACCTCAGAGCGGCATGAACGCACGCAACCCTTACCTGCCAAATGTTACATATTCGTATCAGACGGTCTTGCCTTGCCTGGAGGTTTGCAGCGCTGCTGATCGCGCATGTCCGAATTTCTTGGGTATCAAGTGTCCGGTTCCACGGTTTAATGCGGCATCGAGCTACGGTGTCGGTTATATTGATCAAGGGGAACAGGGGGTGCTTGGCGGTGGGAGTACGGGTGCGGCGCAAGATCGGTGGGGAAATGTGTGGTGTAATTCTGGTTGACTTGTGATTACTGGTGCAGCTGATCGTGTATGTTGGCGTAATAGAGGCGAGCAATGGACCAACGCCCGACAAACATGTATGTGACAAGTCTGACAAGTAGGAATGAAGAAAGAGAGAAGAAAGCATTTCAGTCATGTCATGAATTTTCATTGCGTTATATATTCGGTTGTTGAGTTATTGGTACTAGTGTACCACACTATCAGTCTTCCGAAGAAGTTAGCGCTCGGCTCCTCCGAGTCGTGCCATGATGGTTTTCCAGGGCGTTCAATGCTTAGGTTCACTGTCCTACAGGCACATGCGTCGCGTGGTGGTGTTGGTGGTGGGCTAAGATATAGCTATAACGTTCATCTTTGAGACTAGTAACATTGCGGCAAGTTCACATATAGTACATACAACATTTTGGCACTGCTAAATCCTGCAACCCCATCACTTTCTTGGCATGTGAGCAAAGTACACTAACATTCTCTCCCAAGTTAGAGTACACGAATCTTCCACTCGTCGTTCATGCGATAAGCTTCTGTGATTGTCTGGGGAGCAGCCGCAGACTGAAACCCGACCCTGAGCATGCCCTTATTATGATCACTAGCACTGGTGTCGCGGCTGGATCGGTCTTGAGCATACAAGCAAGTGCTGTTCTCAACCGCAGTGCCAAGGGTCTCGCATTTCTGCCAGCCGTGGCGCTGGGTGTGGCAAATCTCCTGCACACGACTGTCCACAGTGATGTAATAAACGCGGATCTGTAATGGTGAAGGAGGAAATGAGATTATGAGACGCGGAACGGGTGGCCGCAAATTCGTACCTCTTGCAAGTTGTTACACGCCACAGCTGCGATGGGCGTGTTGATACGGGCAGCAGGCATGTTGCTATTGGTGAGTTTGAGCAGCGTATAGGTCGTGCTCTTTGGGTCGTTCAACGACATCTCATAGATCTGATAGTCCTTGTTTTGAAAGTAGACGCGGAATTTCCCATCGTCGCTCTGCGCTGCGCACATGGTGGTCCCGACGAAGTTCGTGGGCAGAAGGTCGGACATGTTCGCGGACTGGGAGACGGCTGCTGATTCGGACATGGTTGCTACAACCCGTGAATATAAATACCATCGACCATGGATGTGTTGCTAACTGTGACTCACTTTAGTAGATGGCAGTTGATGAGATGAATGTTAAGCAATGAATGAGTCTTGCTTTTAAACCTCCAGGTGACCCCTGTCTGAATAATAGTGCGGGCATAGATGGTTCCTTGCTTGGAAGAATATGACATAGGAGGAAGTCACCGTGGTGTCTGGGCACGGATTTGACCGTCTTCCACAGAGTCTGGGGCCCAAGGTGGGGTCGTCGTGCGCCCTCAGACATCAATATGCGTACCCAGGCCTGCGGGTAACATGACTACATAGTCAGATGAGCGTCTGCAAATTCACTCATAGTGCAGCGCGTGACACACCTCTGGGCCCGGAAGTGCTGGACCTGCAATAACATCGAATCTTGTTTCGACGGCAAAGTGAATGTTATTGATTCAGTAAACCAAGGCCAATGCTGCAGTCATTCTACACCGTCAACAAGTTAGATAGGGGCGACAGTTGCGTCATGGACATGTATACACCGCTGCTTCGCTGTCAGTCGTGAAGTGATGTGGAACAACAGACTACACACCATCGTTCGCGACTGTGCGTGTGCCGCTCTCCGTCCGCTTGAATATGAAATGAGAAGGAGTTTCTGTGGTGTCTGGACACGGATCTGATCCAGAAAATACGTGGCCCAAAATGCGGTCATTGTGCCATCAAACAAATGACATGCGCACCCATGCCTGCATATAGAGGCGACGATCTTCATTCGTTTATGGTCTGTCTAGGGGCGACTACAGTATGTGAATTTTGAATCCCGGTGATCATTGACGTGATGTTATATTTGGCTGCAATCTAGACAAATTTCACTGCTGCATGGGCAATGGAGGCACTTTTGAATCAATAGAGACAATGTCAAACACTCAGCATGAGTCTGGTGTTAACTAAGATACATGACGCGTGTCAGCGATTTTCGGTTGTGGCTTCAGAGCTTCAGGCACAATGGTCAGCATGCAAAGTATTACAAAGGGATTGAAAGCTTCACTGATTGAACCTGTGTTTTACCCCGACAAAGCCTCATGAGACGGGCATAATTATGCATGCCGACAGAATGTTAGCTGAAAGGGTTGCACCTTGGTTGTGACTTTTGCTTTATATTTTTCGTTTACTTGAACCTATTGCAGACGTGTTGTTTCGGATACGGTTCCGTGGTGGCAGGTCGGTTATCGGGCGGGGGATAGGTCGACTTCATCATTGCACACATCATAATCCAGTTTGATTATTGCGCAATCATTGTAATTGCCATGGCCACGCATGCTAATGCAACGTATGGGGAAAGACGTTCTCCTGTATGAATGGTCAGGACTCAAAAGCTCGGAGGAAACCACATGTATGAAAACGTACCTATCCGCGCAGACATGAAGAACAATCCGAGGAATCTGTTATATTTCTCAGCATTCGTGAACCCCCTTGAATAAGACAAACATACCCTTCCTTATTTCTATCGACCAGTCGTGGGGCAACTGCGCGAACGTATGTGCAAGTGCAGATCATCAACAGAATGACCAGAAGCAGGGATTGGAAGTTGAAGAGTGCAGACTTCTCGTCTTCAGTTAATGTACAGAACGACTATGAAGACATACCATATCATAAAGAATGGCGACCTGCAGCAGTAGCAACTTGAAGCTTGAAGCTTGACTTGAAGTTCCGGAGTCGGAATCCGGATGTGCCAACACTGCATATGCTCAAGTGAACACGTCGTATCATAGTAACCTAACGTGTCTGTCATAATGATCATGTTTTCTACTCCTTCAACAGCTCATTCAATTTCGCCGTTGGAGTCACTGATAACGTGGTCTAACGCTGCCTCGGCATTGAATGCTATAGGAGATGCAATCTCATGTGCGTGGCAACAAACTCAAGAGTTCGATGTAAGTACGTTGGTTCGATACATGCATGGCTTACTAGCAAGGTTATACCACTGCACAGCTAGTAAATGCTTCTGGCTTGACCAATTCGTACCTGCAGGCGCGCGAGGCAAAAACACAGACCCTAACGACGTCCAACAGTACAAGGTCTTGACTCCTCAGCGAAAGAAGGAATGTGATGAGTGCCACTTTTCAAATTTCCACATCCCTACAAGTTTCGGATGATCAAGAAGTTCTTGATCTTTTCGAGGACGATCCTCAGCTTGCTCCACACATTCACCTGCCAATGCAAACACACCATTGATAAATGGTTTTACGGCAGTCCATGCGGGCCCATCCGCCTCCAAGGACGCGCTGCAGCTTTCTTTCCTAATCGACGAGGACTGTTATTGGTCCCTGCGCCCATTCTCTTCTTACTGCTCTCAGAACGCCGGTAACGTGAGTATTGAGTCTAATGCCCCTCCTTTTCGTCCATCCCTCTTTTTGCCTTGTGCTTTGTTTTATAAGTTAGACACGTGCGTTTGCTTGTACCTTCCGCGCTTGGCGCACTATGTCATTCGTCTTCCCACCACGCACATCTTGCAGCAGACATATTGGTGCATCTTTGGCCTTGTTCAATGATTAAGCATAGTATCATATATGGTGGCCTGCTTTGTACTTGAGTATAAATATTCTGCTTGGAGTCGTCCATCGGTACCAATCATGATATTCACGGGCTCTCGTTGACGTTTGTAAAAAAAAAGTTAGTGACAGCGCATTTCTCGAAGGAAAACAGCTGTTTTGCGAGCCACCAAAACACGATGAACCTTTAGGCAAATTATTAGCGAAGCATGCCCATCGCGTCCGTTAGTGTGAAACAAGTATACTCGATGGTTCAATAAAATCTTGCGTCTGCACTGAATTGCTGATGCACTCGATGGTTGAGCAAATTTGCGGCGAGCTCGAAGTTCGAGGATGGACTAAACAAGGTCTTGGCATGCTGCGTCGGTCAGGATGCGAACAGGACTGGGAAATGACTAGACAATGTAAGATACATATCCACACCATTGTTATATATCGTCCTCGGGACCGTCCTCGATCATCTTTGCGTAGTCTTCGTAACTTGCAAATGTCGGCAAGCTTCTCAACTTCTTCCGCTTTTCACGTTTGGAATCGTTCTCCTGTTTTCGCTTCTTCGTGTTACCGAAGCCATTCCATTGTTCTTCGCCGTCGCCATGATCTTCTTCTTCAACGATTCCGTCATACTCGATGAGACCTTGAGGAACTTCATCCAAGCCAATGAGATCCTCATTGTCAGAGTCCTCGACCATGGAGAAATCATCGCCAGAACCACCATCTTCATCTTCCTCAGCAACTTCAACCTCCCCATCATCCCCATCATCCCCATCGGAATCATCAAGACCTGAAGCGACGCTGTCGCTGTCTGCCATAAGGTCTTCATCTCCCGCCATACGAGGCATGCTGGCTTGCATCGCCTGTTTGCAAGATAAGTTGAGCTCCAGATGCAAAGATGATAACGAGAACCAAGTACCTTCCATATATCTGCCTCTTCGGCGTCACTGTCTTCATCTTCACCACCGTCGTCATCACCTTCAGCATTTTCCACGTCTGTGTCCAGTGCTTCCTCCGCCTCGCTCGCTGAAGCATCATCCGATTCCTCTGCCTCACTATCCCCTTTGCCGGTATGGACAATTTTGGTCTTATCCTTTTCGCGTTTCCTCGAAAAGTATGTATGGAAGAAGACCTTGAGTCAACTTTAGCACCGTCTCAGTCACCGAATAAGCAAGTCATCACCTCGTCCACAGGGATATCCTGTAATCGCCTATTCAAAAATTTCTCGTCGTTCGGTAGAGCACCGCCGGACGATTCGCCTTTCAATAGTTTCACGCCAATCCTGTCGTTCGCGCCGGCTGCAGGCTGCATGGCGCTAGAGCCTTTCGCCTTTGTTTTTTTGGGATTTTTGTAGACAAACCGATCGAGGAAATGAGAAAGGGTATTTAAAGACAGATCTGGGCTTGACGTGATAGGTTGGCCAGAGAGGAGTTGTTGTGCGTGCAAAGAGACGGTGGGATGATAGTGGTGTATGAGGGGAATCTAGGAGAGAGATGAGGACTTGCAAAAGGAACGGAAATGAGCTATTACCAATTCGAACAAGGGAGAAGCTGATGGGTGCGCAAACTGTGGGTCTCGCTTTCGTGGATCGTATTGTTCTTCAGAAGTGGAATGTGATCCCTTGGAAACGTTTCGCAAGCCTGGAACTGTACTGAACAACTGAGAACCACGTCAGCTGGACGATGAAAACGGTGAACAGGAGCGCCTTACTTCTCCTAGGAGGTATAATCCTCCCACAATGAACTCTGTCCCGCCAGCACTACCACTTGCAAGCACTTGGACAAACCGGCGAACAAAACTCTTCACGCGTTCGAAGTTGTCGTCAGCCTTGAGGGACTTAAAGAGTAGGTTTAAGTACATGGTCTGTTTTGAGGATGAGGCGAGGCGACTATTGTGTAAAGACTGGTACAATGTTCGATAATACCGGTCTACAATGCTCTTCGAGGTTGCAGAAGATGAAGACTCAGGTGAGTGGGAGAGCGAGGACGATATCTGCTGGATAAGGAGTAGGGCTTGCAAAGAGGTGTTAAACGTTGAGGTATGTGTGATGAGGAACAGGGTGTCGATGTGCTTGTTCAAGCTTGTTGGAGAGAACGTCAGATCAGAATCTACCATGCTTGAGAAACCTACCTGACATCCGATGGGCCCAGCTTTGCGTAGGGCAACGCACGATTCACACCTGTCAATATGGCGGAAATCGATTTTGAAAAGGCATCTTCAACTTCCGCAAAACCACCATCGCCAACGACCTCTTTAGTTGTCTTCCGCTTTTTCTTCTTCCCTACGATTTCTCTGTCCTGTTCTTCGACGTTTTCTTGTTTGCTATGCGACCGACTCTCCCCTAATAAATCCTTGAACATCTGGAAATACACATCGATGACCTGTACAGCAACATCTTTGTCTCCCGGAACGAACACAATCTGGTTAAGCGTTATCGTCGCATAATAGCGCGCGTGCTCATTGCTCGTTTTCTTTGTAGCACCGTCAGGCTTAGATTTTGGTTTGGGTTTTGGTTTCGTATTCGGTTTCGGCTTGGATGTCGAGGTGGTCGTCTCGTCGGTGAAGCGGATATGTGTATTGGTAGTTGGCGCAGTGGCAGGTGTCGTGATGCTTGGTCGAAGGATGAGGGACGTCATCTCGCGTACGACGACGCCTTTCATAGACGGATGAGCTTGTAGAAGTTGAAGGAGGTGATAGGAAGCGCGAGAACATATGGATTTCTCGGAATCGCCCTATACACCAGGATTAGGTTGCTTAACGAGTTGAATTTGTCTTTTCACTTACCAATTTGTTAACCAGTAGCCTAAGTAAATTATGTTCCTGCTCAGGTTTTTCGCGAAGGAGGGAGTAAGTTAAGGAGAGTGCTTGGGTGCGCACGTATGACAGCGGATCCATTGAAAGGACCTTGGAAACAGTTAGCTTCTGCGCCTGACCATGCTTAGGATCTCACCTCTAAGATTTGGAGGATGGAGAAAAAATATTTCTTTAGCCAATCCTCGAAGTACCAAATGAGGATATGATCATCCTTGACGCCGTGGTGTAATAGAGGCTGATCACGAAAGTACCTAAGTAACACAACCATCAAAATTTTATCCAAAAAATCAAAATGTCCATACGCACTTCAACTTCCGGTTCGGTGCGCCGCCTCCAACCCACCAATCGAGTATACATCGCAAAGCCTTAAGACTTTCTTCCCGGCCTCCTTTTCCTTTTCCTCGTTCGGACATCCCCTTCAGAGTTTCCAGCGCTTTTGTGTTGTGTAATGGGCTGCTTTGCACGAGGAGCGTAAGAGCACTGAGCCTGTCTGACAGTGTGCCTGAGTGCAATATTTTCTGCAAAAATGCATAATCTGAGCTGGACGATGTGACTGTTGAGGATGACCTTGACTGGTATGTCTCTACCGCCTTTGCATGAAGAGATGCGCCGCGCTCCATCAAGGAGGACAATTTGGCAGACGTGACGGGTGGGAGAGCGGTAGATGACCCAGACAGCTTGGGTACATCTTGATACCATAGAGGAGACGCCTCAATCTGAGGTTTTTTCGCGACTTTGGAGACATCGGCGCGAGATGGTGTTGGCATTATTTTATCTTCGGGGGTTGTGCGAACGCATATGTAAAGTGTTCTCGACAAGTTGCTTACTGAAAGGGTAATAACATTAGATAATCATCTAACTTGATCAGTGACAGTCAACCTGTCGAGCATATTAATCCTCCAGACGAGTACTACGAGCAATATTGACCTCAGGGTTTATCTATAATGGACATACAGGAGCGCGAAGCCTTTCTCGGTTTTTGGGAAAGCCATGGTCGTGCACAAGCACTTGTTTTGCTACCTGCCACTCTTTATCGTTCAATGGCTCTGCCACTGTTTGAGCATGGGCGGGAGGCACCAAGTGATTGGAGACTATATGGAAATGAGTGTGGGGAAGACAGAACTAGTTTGAGGCGGAAGGGACCTACAGACGAGGAAGTCACAGACAAAGGGGAGCAGGCCATCTCTTACTATCGCAATGTTGGTCGATATACTAGAATACTCACTTTAGAATGTTACCAGAGAACGATGCGATCAATATTCCCCGATACACGCCTCGACATCTGCACCTTCAAGCTTCGACATCAAAATTTGAGCTCGTAGTGAAACATTCAAGCGTACTGAGAACCGAGATTGAAGTCCTTCGAGAACGACAGTGGCCAGGGCAGCCTCTCTGTCCCTGTGTATCTTCGCAACCAACACCAAAGCACCGAGGTTTATCGTGCTTAGTAGCGCCCGTACAATGGAGTCTCGATCCTATCTAACAATCTAAACAATTGAAAATAACAACAGATCAGCCTCGTTTTGCTGAATCCACAATACTAGCTGTGTTGTCGAGGCGAGATTTACTGTTGTTGCAGGTTCAGCACTTCTAGCCCAGAGGTGTGTCACGCACTGTCCTGTGGACGAATTGACTTATCATCTGACTATGTTGCCATGGTCCCTGCATCACACGCAGGCCTAGGATATACATGAAGTGACATTTATTCCATGGCGCACAATATCCGCATCATGGGCCTCATTGGATTTTCATCATGTTCAGATCCATGCCCAGACACCGCGGAGACTTCTTCTCATTCTATGTCCAAGCATGTCGATGAGGACCGAGAGCGACATACACACTTTCGAGTCCAGGCAGCAGTTTCTCCCTATCCTTCTTACGTCGAAACAGACACCGAAACAGCGGCGTATGCCCTGCGCTGCGTACTAGGACTCGTCTGTCATGTGTCGGCTGTCTATGATGTAGCCGTCACCCCTATCTAACAGTTGTTGGCTGTGTGGAATGACTGCAGGATCAGCCTCGGTTTTCTGAATCAACAATATTCACATTCACTTTGCCGTCGTAACGAGAATCCTCACCACTACCGGTTCAGCGCCCCCGACCCAGACTTGTGCCACGTACTGTCCTGTGAGCAAATCGTCTATCATTCGACTATACAGTCATCGTTGCTGGATGACACGCAGGCCTAGGTGCACATGAGATGTCATTTCTTTGATGACCCACAATAGCCCCATCTTGGGCCCCATAATTTGTATGTCACGTTCAGATCCATGTCCGCGGGGACTCCTCTTTCATCTCCAATTGTGTAGAGGAGGACCCAGAGCAACATAGAATAAAGGTGGACATAGGCGCATTTTGGTGACCCTGGCTCCTTACTTTGCGGCCGACAATGAGGCAGGGGCGTATGCCCTGCGTTATAGTACACGGCTATACGGGCCTTCATGGCGTAGCTGTCGCTTCTATCCAACAGTTTGTTGATGGTGTGGAATGACTGCAGAATCGGTCTCCAATGGTTTGCTGAATTGACAATATTCGCTTTTTCGTCAAGGCGAGATTCGCTGTCATTGGATATTTAGCACTTCTGGCCCTTTGAGAGGTGTCCACGTGCTGCACTGAGCGAATTTTCAGACTTTCATCTGACTATGTAGTCATGTTACCCGCAGGCCTGGGTACGCATATTGATGTCTGAGGGCGTACAATGGCCGCATCTCGGGACCCAGATTCTGTGGATGACGGTCAGATCCGTGCCCAGACACCACGGTGACTTCCTCCTATTTCATATTCTTCTGAGCAAGGAACCACCTATACCCGCGCTGTTCTCCAGACAGGGGTTGCCTGGAGGTTTAAAAGCAAGACTCGTTCATTGCTTAACATTCATCACATCAACTACCTTCTACCAAAGTGAGTCACAGTTAGCAACACATCCATGGTCGATGGTATTTATATTCACGGGTTGTAGCAACCATGTCCGAATCAGCAGCCGTCTCCCAGTCCGCGAACATGTCCGACCTTCTCCCCACGAACTTCGTCGGGACCACGATGTGCGCAGCGCAGAACGATGATGGGAAATTCCGCGTCTACTTTCAAAACAAGGACTATCAGATCTATGAGATGTCGTTGAACGACCCAAAGAGCACGACCTATACGCTGCTCAAACTCACCAATAGCAACATGCCTGCTGCCCGTATCAACACGCCCATCGCAGCTGTGGCGTGTAAGGACTTGCAAGAAGTACGAGTTTTTATGCCACCTGTTCCGTGCCTCACAATCTCATTCTTCTTTCATTATCACAGATCCGCGTGTTCTACATCACTGTGAACAGTCGTGTGCAGGAGCTATGCCACACCCAGCGCCATGGTTGGCAGAAAGGCGCGACCATTGGCACTGCGGTCGAGAACAGCACTTGCTTGTATGCGCAAGGCCGATTCGCCCGCAATGAGGCCATGCTCAGGGTCGGGTTTCAGTCTGCGACTGCTCCCCAGACTATCACAGAGGCTTACACTGTGAAAGATGAGTGGAAGACTCGTGTACTCTAAATTGGATAGCGTACTTTGGCTCGCATGCCAAAAAAAGGGATCAGGCAACGGGATTTATCAGTGCCAGAGATGTTATATGTACAATAAAACAAATATGACGTGTTGCATGAATCGACAGTTTCAGACTCATGACTGCCTTTCCAGCCATGAGGTTGCGACTCCTGACAGACTTGAATATGTAGTCAAGCGGCTGAGCCTCTCGTCACATGGATTAGGACCTTGCGAGAGAGGTTTTGACGTGCATAGTTGAGAGTGTCGGCAGCTGGTCGACTTTGCCGTGCTACGTTTGCAAAAATTGAAAAGGCCTTCATGGATGATGTCGATATGCCGTTGACGGAAAACGATCCGGAGGTGGAATTATCATGGTGCGCACCTTGACGCCAGGAACGCCGGAAACATCAAAAAATCGGCAAAGCTCTTGAGATGCTGGATTATTTGAAATACTGGCTGTAGAAATAATTTTGGGGCATTGTCACCCAGACAGTTGCCAATCGCCATTATAAGGAGTGCCACTCCGCTGACGATGGAATTCCCTTTGGACCGCTTCGATGAGCCACTCGCTTAGATATAAAAGGATGTCCTTACTTTTTTGTATCTTTAGTGAATTAACTCCCACTCACTCATCACTCGTGGTCTATCAATCCCCATCGAACTCATTATTAAGCCTTACACCATACTTAACCATTTGACGTCTGAAGCCAGTCTCGTCCGTCCGGGGTCTGAAACAAATTTCGCCCGCGCTGGATGGCCAAACATCACGGCGAGCATATAGCAAGTATCTATTGGAGAAAAACAATACGGAATTCAAGCCTGAGACTGCAAACACTTGCCAAAGGTGAGACCAAGCTCGTTCGTTGCCTGTGCGAAGTTTTGGTTATGGACAGAGAGGTCGCCGTGCCAGATAGAGACTCGTCGAAGATAACCGCAAAGTTGCTACAAAAGTGAATGGATAGCGACAGAATGAAGGTGAAGGAAAATCATTCACCTTCAAAGTTTCTACGATGTATTCTGAAGGACGTCACAGCACCAAGCTATATGAGATCAACTGTTAAACATTGAACTGAACGGATACTTAGCCTGCGGGCGCTCCGTGACATCCGGTTCATGGTCTTCTTTATGAGGGACTGTTGAACATATCAACTGCTACTCCGAGTCTGGTACGGTGCTCCCCCAACGTGGATGAACATCAAGTCGACTCCAAAATCGTACTGGTACATTGCCATTGTGAATCCCCCACGAAAGAGAAGCTTGAAACTGAAATTATTGGGCAAAGTCACGATGTCAGTGAACGACAAACACGATGTAAGGAACAAATGAATGCTTCTGTTCCAGTTTCATGAACAACTCACCATTTGAGATGTTGACATCGCGACAACGTTGAGTTTGGCCAAGAATAGAAATTACGGGGGCTGTCCTGGGGTGTTGCCATAATTTTGATGTTTTTTCACTACTACTACTACTACTACTACTACTGTTGACAGCCGGGCCCATCTGCGCTTGCAATGCCTGCCTGGACAATCATCTCACCACGCGAGCGAGACAATGGCCATCCCATGCGCACCAAGATATTCCGGGTCATGAAAGCGGTCTACCACATGTTAGACCCCCCAAACGAGCCCTCCGACATCAACGAAGTAAATCACATCGCGACCCTCGGGTACGCAGTCTTACAAGAAAAGCCAGAACCAACCATCCTATCAAGTGTTGTCATACATTTCCGCCTCTCCACAGAGTCCGTTACGCGCTTTGCTATTCTACTCCATCACATGCAGATCGAAGACAAGGTGCACGACGTGCGCATCCGCGTCCCTAGCGAGCTTACACCTGACGTGATGGATATCTATGATTTCGTTTTCGCGATGTCACAGAAATTGCTCATATCTCCTCTCGACTTCGACCGTTGGACCGAGAGTGACCTTGCACGTAGGGTATCGAAGCAACTGCAAGCGCAGGTAAGGGCCGACCAGTACCTATCCACTATCATGAAGCGAATTGACTTCGGTAGAAATACCACAAACGCCTTCTACTACAGGAGGGTGATGGTGCCGTAGACATTGCCCGTTTACGATCAGATTCTTCTCGATGTTCCATATGTGATTCCAATCTTATCCACTGCAACAGCTGTCAGGTCGCATCGTGCGAGTCGCACGAATGCCGTGGACTTTCTGATCCCCCTTTCGCGCGGTGCGTCAGACATCAAACGGAGGTGCTATGTTTGCCATGCCTCCAGGAACAGGGGTCCAAGCGGGAGCTAGAAAAGTGTCCTGGATGCAATTTTTGGTGCTGTGCGAAGGATATCTCCTCATGTACCGGTCATCCGCTCAGTATCCCGCCGATGCCTCGCGTACCCGACATCAGGTTCATCGCTCCTGGCCTGGTTAAGGCCTACGCTGAATCTGCACGCACTCACCTTCCCAAGCGCGGTTCCTGCATGGAATGCGACCTGCCCGGCTGGCGTAGCTGCCGAAATAAGCTATGTTGGTCTGATTCGATCTGCCCAGAGTGCACGAGTGGCGGTATAACATGTCTGTGCGGGGCGGTGTGGGCATGCGATCTCTGTGCGGCACATGATCCCAGCGTGTTCATCCGCTGTCCGCGCTGTCACCGGCCGTTCTGTTACAGTTGTTCCTACATCGACGACTGTGTCCTATGCAACAAATCGAACCTCTGTCACGACTGCGCTGAAGAAGATTTGGAAATGGACGACGAGGAGCTGAAGGAACTGCCCGCTAAACTCGTGGCGTCGTGCGGGAGTTGTGAAGTAAAGATGTGCGATCGCTGTGAGTCGCATCTGGCGGTTTCGTGCGAGGTGTGCTCGAGTCGACTTTGCATGGCGTGTGTGCGGGATGCTGAATGCTCGTGCGATCGTGTGCTATGTGATGGGTGTGTTGCAGATCATGGGTGCAAAGTGTGCTCCCAGAGGCATAGGGACGATGATGATGGATCTTGACGTATACTGGCAGAGCAAATCTTAAAAGACCTTGCCATATCGATATTTTTTCACTCAAAGTGTTGCGTAGGAGATTTCCGCTTGATTTTATATACCCGATCGAGGTGTTCTGACGAATTATCTGATTTTCCACCTTCTACGATTTGGAGAGAGAAAGGGTTGTACATTAATGATATGCTCAAATTTACCTACTCAAGTGTGTCACAGCGACACGTGACAGAGCGTGTCATTTGTGACGCGACGTGCTTCCGCGTCCGGTGTGAACACGACTATACCACGCGCACCCTGCTATAGCACGGACGACCATGGCACCCGCTAAGCCCTCAAAGACCGTTGCAGCGACAGGGAAAGACCTTCGCTCTTTCTTCGGTGGTGTTGGAGGAGATAATACCGTGAGTGCCCTTCCTTAATACATTCCATGACTCCCGCGAACTCCTAGCACAAGGCAAGGACAAAGTCCGACCGTACGATGATGATCGACAGTGACGATATCCCACCGAAAAAGAGTCTCAAGCGCAAAAACATCGTTGTCATCTCGACCGACGAGGAGGGCGAATTGGTCGCGTCGCCGCCAAAGAAGAAGGCAGCCGTCGCTGCGAAATCTGCACCGAAAGTAGTTGCCTCGGCTTCAACCTCAAAAGTGGCTACACCGAAAGCAGTCGCGTCAGTATCGGCCTCGAAAACGACTGCACCGAAGGTGGTTGCGTCAGCATCGACGTCGAAAGCAACTACATCGACAAGCAAGGCCAAAGCGAACGGAAAGGCGCCTATCAAATCGAGGAAATCGAAGGAAGATGAGTTCGTGGTGAACTCCTCCGAGGAAAAAGCAGAGGAGAGTGAGGACGACTATGAGGACGAGGAAGACGTCAAGCCTGAGAAGAAGGGCAAGACTAAGCCTCCCCCGAGGGCAAAACCGCCCCCCAAGAAACGTTCCCCGCAGAAAGCGAAGGCAACAGGCACAGGCAAGGCTAAAGCAGAGGATGCAGAGCCGCCTTCCAAAACCTTCAAGTATGCAAACTCTCAGTATTCGGTTTCTGTTTTTGAACTTCATTACTTAGCTGGGCTGCTGCAAAAGCCGCGAAATTGGCTGGTCCGTCTGCTCCGGGTTCGAAACAGGTCCCTCAGCCCAAGTCGCCCAACTGTCTCGAGGGACTAGCCTTTGTTTTCACTGGCGAGCTCAGCAGTTTCTCCCGAGACGAAGCAACAGACTTAGCAAAGCGATTTGGAGGGTAAGTTTTTTTCTACACTCACAGTGTACACTCAGCTTCATGATTTCACAGGCGTGTCGTATTGCAACCTTCATCAAGAACGTCGTTTGTCGTCCTAGGCGAGAATGCCGGTCCTTCGAAGCTTAACGCAATCAACAAACACCGACTCAAGACGCTTTCTGAGGACGAGTTCCTTAATCTAATCGCTACTCGCGAAGGACCAGGTGGTGGGGAGCTAGACGAGAAAACGAAGAAGAAGGTGGCTAAGGAGCAAGAAACGATCAAACAGGCAGCAAAGGAGCTCGAACGGAGGGAGAAACAAGCATCAAAGGACGCCGATAAATTTGGCAGGTTAGTATGCACTCGTTTTTTACCTAGCACATCCGCTAAATGTATTATAGTTCCAAAACTGATGTCTCCAGCCAGCTGTGGACAACGAGATACGCTCCTCAGTCGTTAAAGGAAATCTGCGGTAATAAAGGCCAGGTGGAGAAACTCCAACTGTGGCTTCACGACTGGTGGGTCTTCATATCAGCGTTTATTTCAGGTCAATGTAAATTCTTGCGCAGGTCAGATAGCCTCAAATGTGGTTTCAAAAAACCGGGGAAAAACGCTATGAACGTCTATCGCGCAGTGATGATCACTGGCCCACCTGGTATTGGCAAGACTACCAGTGCGCACCTTTGCGCCAAGCTCGAAGGGTTCACGCCTATCGAGCTCAATGCAAGCGATGCGCGCAGCAAAAAGCTGGTTGAGGTAAGTCGAGAGCAGAGCCTTGCCGGTACCCTTTCACTGTGCTCACAAACAATCAGAGCGGCATGAACATCAGCAACCTGTCGTTAGACGGGTGGATGGGCGGAAATGATGTTTGTTTGTTTCATGTTGTCTGTCATGGTCACTCTAATACGTCAATAGGCGACAAACGCAGCAGGAGTCAGAATCACCGACAAGACGTGTCTCATCATGGACGAAGTCGATGGCATGTCCGCTGGCGACAGGGGTGGTGTCGGCGCTCTCAACGCCTTGATCAAGAAGACGAAAGTACGTTTCAATCCATCCACTCGAGCATTCATCTTACCTCATTATTCAGATCCCCATCATCTGTATCGCTAATGATAGAGGTGCCCAGAAGCTGAAGCCACTCATCGCAAATACTTTTGGCATGACGTTTAGACGGTACGTCGTACTCAACCTCACGTATAACAGGACCTCACCGCAGCGATAGCCCCGAGGCCCAAGCTGTCCGATCACGCATAATGTCGATCGCATACAAGTACGTTGTCCTTACTCTGTATTGACACCATGCTGATGTCGCCGACTAGGGAGAAGATGAAGATCCCCGCGAATGTCATCGATCAGCTTATTACTGGATCCCAGTCGGATATTCGACAGGTTTTGAATATGCTATCTACATGGCGACTATCCAGTAGTAGCATGGACTTCGACGAAGCGAAGAATCTGTACGTGTACTCTTCGTCGTTCTCATTCACCTATTATATCTATATTGTCAGTGCAAAAATCAACGAAAAATACACCATCTTGACGCCTTTCGACGTGACATACAAAATCCTTGGTCCGTACGCGTTTGGCCCGAACGCTCGAGAGACACTAGGCGACAAGATGGAATTGTACTTCCACGACCATTCCTTTGTCCCGCTCTTCATTCAAGTGAAACACACTGCTCCTGAGCGCTACGAAAATACTTAACCTCTTCATAGGAAAATTATTTGAAGACTCAACCTGTCAAGGCACGGAACCTCGAAGGACCACCGAAAATGTTGAAGCAACTCGAGCTGATGGATCAAGCCGCGTCTTCCATATCTGACGCTGATCTTGTCGATGCTCTGATTCACGGGTGAGCGGAAATGTAGCATCTCTGCTTTCATTGGATCTCATGACGTCCCTCAGGCCGGAACAGCACTGGTCGTTAATGCCGTTACATGCAGTCTGTTCGATGGTACGACCTGCCTCATTCTTGTTCGGTGCAGGCGGCGGATACGGCGGCCAAAACCCAATGACGTTCCCTCAGTACGTTCTTCGTGGATCCCTCGTACACACATCATTCATATGATATCCGCAGGTGGCTAGGTCAAAATTCGAAACAGAACAAGCTCAGTCGACAACTGGGAGACGTACAGGTCCGAATGCGTCTCAGAGTCTCGGGAGACAAATCCGAGATCCGACAGTCGTACATCCCTGCACTATACCCACACGTCGTCAAGCCATTGATCGACCGGGGCGCGGTAGGTTTTGTCGTTCGCTCTTCCCCTTTGCTGCTAACGCGTTCTTCAAGGCCGCTGTCGATGACGTCATTGAACGGATGGACGAGTACTACCTTTCCCGTGAAGATTGGGACACTGTCGTCGAGCTTGGGGTGGACGCGCAGAAAGACGATGTTGTTAACAAGCTCATCAAACCCGCAACAAAGACATCGTTTACGAAAAAGTCAGGCTCACCAATCAATCATGTCTGCTCGTAGCTGACAGTGCGCCCAGGTATAACAGCACGGATCATCCCATACCATTCCATAAAGCAACGGACCTCGGGAAAGTCCCCAAGAAACTCGCAGGAGGTCCAGCGCCTGATCTAGAAGACGTCTTTGATGTGAGTATCTTGAGCATGATCGTCACCGTGCGTTAACGTTTCTCTCAGTTGGACGATGAAGTCGTCGATGCTTCTGATGACGAGAAGAAGGTAAAGGATGAGGACGAGGTCGCTGCTGACAAGCTGTTCCAGGCTAGTAAGCCCAAGACTCAGAGTCAGAAGGGTAAGACGACTACGATCACGGGGAAGGTCAAAAGCAAGAAGGCCCAGAATTTTATGTGATTTATCTCTTTTTTTTTTTTAACCGTGGACAAAGGGTTGCTTTCGCTTTTCTCTGGGGCCGTAAGTGAGTGCTGTTCCTCTTACGGTCAATGTTGCTTGCTTTGCATCGACTTAGGCATATGTGCCACAGCACCTGGCACCAGTGATTTCGATACTCCTTTGGATGCTGGTGGCCAGGACTATGCCACTTAGATTTAGAGGCCATCAGAAGGAGCTTGAAGCAACTCGCATCTTAACCTGAGCCTTCAGCAATTGCATCAAATATTGAAGCTTGGCCCTGCTTGTACTGGCACTGAACCAGATCCGGACTGGTGCCCTATGAATCAGTGCTACGATATTTTGAGGTATTCAGCAGCTTGATTTCAGCCAAATTTCAAGAGCACGTCGAGATCTCGGGCTACTTCAGATCGAAACACTGAAAAGGGATCGGAGCAGGACCAAGGAGGGAGATTCTTTTTGTGGGGTGACACCGTTCGTCTGGAGAGCGTAAGAAACTCCAGAAAACATATTGCCAGCATAGGACTGTCCTCTATCGAGACTCGAGAGGGCCATGGCGAACTTGAACACGCTTTTACGATAAGACATATTAGGAATCCAGTGATTTGTCACATCATTATGCCATACGAGTGAGATACAACGCCTAAACGCACACGAGAGAAGAGAAAAACATCGAATGACTTCCAGCAAATGAACTCAGGACCGATGCGAGGTGGGATGACGGGGACCAAAGAAAAATCCGCAGCAGCCGCAGCAGTTAACTTCATAAGACAGGTCTCCTGTCCCACCACTTAGGCTTTGTGTTTCTGTTGGTCGTCCCTGAGACCCTTGTACCACCGGCGTAGGTTGACCTGGTTGGGTTGAACTGTCGGCCTCGTTGTTGACATTCGTACGTTGCATAGCTGCGGCAGCTTCCGCGTCAGATTCAGGAGTAATACCGTACCTCTGCATTGTATTTTAATGGAATGAAAGAGAAGTGACGGCGAGAAAACTCACGTCTTCATCACGAGCAGCGGGTACATCAACGGTGCGTTTGGAAATTCTTACAGAAATTAAGTTGAAATTCCAATGTCGGGGCTCGCGCGTTGTTAATCGAGGTGAATTTGGAGGTCGAGTACGGAAACGTAGTGAACCGAACAAACTATGAAGGACAGCTGATGGGCTCGCAGGCGGAGCTGGCGCGCGATTTGTATCGTTGGCGAAGAAGTCTTTGCCCTATATCAGTGTCAGGCGAGAAAGAGTTCAGGAACGAAAAGCAACACTGACATATTTCGCCGAGCCTTTGTTACTCGCGTGCTGTCTGAAGAAAATTGGGTGTGAGGAGAAGTACTGAACAAACAAATGAGCGAAGGACAAGGTTAATCACAACTGATCGGCGCACATCTCTCGGTCGCACTGGATGCCCCTAGGAAAAGGTAAGATCGAGTGGGAAAGAGAAGAGGAGCAGGGCTGACTTGCCTTGGACTTCGCGTCAGGGTTTGCATTGGCATCATCCACGCTCTAAACCAGAACCGTTAAAAATGTGTTAAGGCGCCAATGCACATACGCACGCCAACTTGGTCGCCACCCCGCTGATTGAGTGCTGCCTCCATGCTCCAAACATAGACTTTTGCCTCTAATCCACCACTAGCAATGTATTTTCCATCACGGGATATAGCAAGAGTTAAGAGTTCGTCGTCATGCAAGAGTGGAACTCCAACTGGCTGATTGGTCTTGAGGTCCCAGATGCGAACTGAGCAGTCTTCTGATGCGCTAACAAGATGGCCTTCATCAGGTAACAGACAGAGGGATCTGATGGCGTTGGTATGACCCTGAAGAACGATGAGTTCCTCTCCATTAATTGACCGCCATTTTCGGATGGTGTAATCGCCTGACCCGGAGAAGATGTGTGCGCCGTCCTTGGACCAACACAATGACGTCACCGAGTCTTCATGTCCCTTGATCTCGATGAGCAACTGCCCGTCCTTGGACCACACGCGGATTATACTGTCGTGGCCGCCGCTCATGAATTTGTCGCATTGGGGAGAGTATTTGACAGCATTCACCCAGCCATGACCGGTCTCTATTGGTGTCGCTGTTTGCCGGCCAACATTCGGATTCCATCGTCGTATGGTGCCATCTTGCGATCCACTTGCTATCTCCAAGGAATTTGGAGACCAATCGAGGCACCTCACTCCATCATTGTGCCCCTCCCACGGGTCGCCGACCATAATGCCCTTCCTTATGTTCCACAGTCGTAGTCTACCGTCCATACTTCCGCTCACGGCCATTGTTTCATCCGGAGATAATGTCATTGAGCTTATCCCCCCACCATTGCTATCCAAAGGCTTTCCTACTGGCTCTCCGTCTCTTTTCCAGTGGCGAATCGAAGAGTCATCCGCCGCACTCAGTATATTACAACTGGTGCCCAAGCAGGCAAGGCTCCATATGCATCTAGAGTGACCCTCGATGATGCACTCCGGCACCAAACTCTCTGCTGGACGCACTGGCTTTGGTTTCTTCCAGGATGTGGTCCGACTGTCGTGGTTGACAAAGTAGGACCGCCCGAGTGGCGAGATGTGCCATTCACATCCATCAATCACGAGTTGTCCAGGTTCATCTATGCTCAGCCATGAGTTCCTTGCTCCTGGTAGCACGTTCTTCGCTCACCTAGTCGCACTCCTGGTAAAGGTCGGTTCCATGAAACCATAATAAGCGTGTCGTCTTGATATCCTGTTGCACCACTCGGCACCTGAAACTGATGCCATTGAGGGGGGAGCGCCTCATTCCCGCCTGCTTCTTGATGGGTAACTCAATATGTATCATAATACTGTTGCTCACCTTCCCAAAGAGCATCCTGGCGGCGCTGTGCACCATATGGTGGTGGATACTTTGCTCCTGCTCGAGGAGGTGCAACGCGTGCTGGCGAGTCTAACAGCGCTTCTCTCCGTCTGGCTGACGTACTTGACTCGGGCTCTTTGCGGGGCATGCCAAGAAGAGACGATGAGGGCAGGCACAGGAATGCGAAAATCAACAGTCGAGGGCAAGGAAGATGGTGATGATGAGCGGATCTGCTAGATGCTCAGATTTGCTTGCTGTGGTTGGAGGCAACCGAATTTCGATACACTTCGGTTTGTTCCGTCTGATAATCACTTGCACCAAATCTGTCAGCGAGCGCTAAGATATGGAGTATGCTTGAGCCCAGGTTCGACATGTATCGAGACACCTAGACCACCAGTGAGAGTGCTTGGGGTATCTGAAATATTTCTGCGTTACCAGTAACTGTCAGCATAGGGAGGTATCTATCTGACTGTCACAAATACTCACCGAGGTCGGCGATATGGGAGAATGCGCCCGTCTGGCAGGCATTGCGCACCATCTCCAGCAGTTTAGGGTGTTGCTGTAGTGTTTGCGATATATCCGTTATTGCCATACTTTTCATGACAAATTTGTCCTCGAGGCCCCCACGCTAGAGCAAGGGCTCGAGTGGAGCCCGCACATGGAGTCGACGCGAATTGGTTCCGCGGGATCAAACACCTGGTCCTTACATATGGTAGATGGCCGCTGTGTGCAAAAGGTTGACAATCATTGCCCTACTAGCTATGGTATGCGTGACTTTGCGAAATCTGGAATGTTTTCTGATTGGCGGCTCATCGCTTCCCGACTTTGTTGACTACAAATTCGACCTGGTCGGTTACAGTTTCTTTGCCCAAAAAGCGTACAGTAGTACAAAAGCTTCTGCTTGTGTGAATTGACGTGAGGAAAAATTTACACCGAAGGGGAGTCGAACCCCTGCCGCTTGCTTGGAAGGCAAGCATGATAACCGCTTCACCATCGGTGTGCATGTGATAGCGCTTGGTACCAATACATAGCACTGGCCGTGGTATTAACCCGCCACCCCGGATCTTCTCATTCACAACCCGTTCACTTGTTCACTTCATTCATCATCATGTCTGGGTTGACTTACTGCGGTTGGTGCTGATATAGATCTGTTGGAAAAGGGGGACTGACTAAGTTGAACGCAGCGAGGGCACACGTACAAAGGACGTTCGAACAGCTTATGAATGTGCTTCCATCGCAGTTGAAGGAGAAGGTAGCTCAATATGATATCCCATAGATTAACGCTTAGCATCGATTAACGCGAGTAGCCCCAAGTCATTCTTCTTGCAGGAGGAAATACTCCCTTCCGAAACGACACAGATCGCGAGCTACCATTTCGCCAAGAGTCTAATTTCTACTACCTCTCAGGATGCTCCGTCCCTGGATCATTCCTTCTCGCTCTGTATCAGCCTGAACAGGCAAACACTTCTACAAGGCTGAGCGTCAAGCTGTCTATCCCGAAAATAGAGCTCGCGGACCTTATGTGGAGTGTTCCACCGCCAACAATCGAGGAAGCGAAGCTGCTATTTGACGTAACCGACATTGCGTATAGCTCAGAGCTACAATTTGCCATCGATTCACTCCTTCAGTCACATCCAGAAGCTGTCTTCCATACATTGCCGCGCAACTCGCCTCTATTTCCCACTTTATCCGAGGAGTACACGACGACTATTGTTGCATCAGAGACCCATACCGCAACGGATGCATACTTACTCTCTTCCTTGCACAAAACACGATTGATCAAGGATGAGAACGAGGTATCAATGCTCCGACGCGCAAACGACATCAGCTCGAGGGCGCATGAGACCGTCATGCGCGTTTTGGGCAACGCAGTACAGGGTAAGATTCTTCAGGGAAAGGGTGCAGGCATTGATCGTCCCCTTCTTCCCGGAGAGTGGCTGATTGAGAAAGAGGCGGAAGCAGAAGCGACCTTCGTTGCGTCATGCCGGCGTGAAGGGTACGAACTCACTAATAAGCACTGATGCCCGACAACTCACCAATGACGCCAGGGCTGTTCATCAAGCATATCTCCCTATCGTTGCTGCCTCTAAGAGGGCCGCTACGTTACATTACTGCTGTAACGACCGAGAGTTCACCTGGGGACCTGTAAAGCCACACGATCACTTGAATCGCGATGCATTTGCACACGGCTCTACACCCGAAAGGCAGTTAGAGCCTCAGGTACTCCTTATCGACGCAGGATGCGAATGGGATTGCTACTCTGCAGACAGTGAGTGACAGCAACTAAGTGTCAAGGCAAGTCTGAACTTCTGTCTTCAAGTTACACGCACGATGCCTGTTGGAAACGGCGGAAAGTTTACTGAGAAGAGCAAGCAAATATACTCTCTTGTGTTGGAGATGCAGCAGGTAGGCCCTGCCTATGAGTCCATTGTACCACCGTGTAACACTTGCGTAGCAATCGATGAAAACACTCAGACCTGGCATCCACTGGGACACCATCCAGCTCCTCTGCCATCATATTCTTGTGGAAGGGTTCCTCCGCCTCGGACTTTTCAAAGGCTCGAAAGACGAAATCATGCGCTCTGGAGTTAGCTCGGCCTTTTTCCCTCACGGAGTCGGGCATTCGCTGGGAATGGATGTGCATGATGTCCCGAGTGCAAGTAAACCAATAAACAACACGACTATTCCACAAGACAACATTGGACACCCCAGTTTTTACACCTACCTGCGGCTCCGGTTACCACTCGCAGAGGGCATGGTTGTTGTAAGTTCGAACCTTGTGTGGATTATTCAGCTGCTTACTTCGATAGACTGTTGAACCGGGAATATACTTCCATGAACATCTACTCAAAGCTGTAGAGGAGTCAGAATATGTGAACCGCGAATTGTTGAAAGACTACCGCGAAATGGGCGGCGTGCGCATTGAGGACGACATATTGATCACTTCAGATGGGTGCGAGAACCTCACGAAGGTTAGGAGTGATGTTGAATGGCTGGAGTCGGTGTGCTCTGGGGAGATTTGAATGTAGAAAGTCGTTTGTAAGGTATTCACTGTGGATAATGGTTCCAATGAAAATCGTTGGAAACCCGCTGATGGACTGGATGTTTAACAGGAATTGAAATTCCACGCAGCTAGTTTTATTGGGTGACTTTGATTCGGCACAAGATTTCAGCAGTGACTGGCTTCTTCTAGCCCCAGTAAAATATTAAGGTGGTCGTAAAGTCCTGCTCTCATCCATTGCTGCTGGATTTACACACTTGTCCCCAGACACGAACACCCGAAGTACCAATATATCAAAGATCGTGATGGAACTAATGACGAATATCCGCCGGATCCTGGATTTAGTGCTGGGAAATCCAAGGGCAATGCGTAGTTGACATACAGAAAATAATGCTTCGCAGCAGACGAATTTGAATTCCAATGTTTCCTACTTAGTAGTTTACAAAGCGCAACAGGGTGAGTATCCGTTTAGTTCAACGTTCAACTGGGCACCATGCTATCTACTTATGTTCATGGTATAAAATACGCCTTCGCTCGCAGCCTACTCTGAATCATCCTTCAGATGGGTTAGTCAAATCACACCCTCAATATATACGATAAAGATACCGATAACCTTTTCACGTATATTTCGTTGCCAAAGCTTGCACCATACTCCACGAGTCGCCCACCGTTTCCCAATTCACCGTCTGGCCCCACGTCTGAGTATCCCACTGCTCCCCAATCATAAGCATGGCGTTTGCAACAGTCGTCGCATTGTACGCAGTGCCATTTGCCTTCGTCCCGACCAGGTACTCTACAAAGGCCGTCCATCGTGGAACGTAATATGTGCCAACGAGGCCGCCCCACTGCTTGGATGCGTAATCATTGATCTCACCTGTGGGACCCCACAGCGTGATCTGGTTCCGTGCGTTGTACTCAAGGAACGCAGCATATGACGCGTTTCCATGCGACAAGCTCCTGGCTGCACTAATCCAGTTCGCGAGGAGGAAGTAGTCGTTGGTGAGCAGAAGCTCGTCCAAATCATGCATTAGCTGCAAGAGAGGTTGACCGGCTGCAGTGATAGTTGCACTGCTGGATGAACTCGATGTGTACGTGGCAACAAGTGTTTCGTAGAGGGTAATGAAGCGGTTCGCGAGCAGCTGGCGTGTGACATCTACAAGATCATATTTGAACTCTGGAATGTTCAGCAACGATTTGGACTCGTAGCCTGCTTGTATGAGCATCTGCAGGGCAGGGACGATAGTCGTGTTTGTGTCGTAGAAGACAAGAGTTGGGAGTGGTGGTCCCGTCCGGTTAACGAGCCCGCTGAGTGCGGGTGCTAGCTCCAAGATACTCTTCACGGTGGATTGCGAAGATGGATCTCGGTTGCTGTAGACCGTTGCCCCCAGGATCTCCCACGCATTTATAGCAGATGAAGGGAGGTCGGAGATGTAGTATCGCCTTGACACCCAGGACGACACATACGATGTTCTATTGATAGCTGTAGGAGACCAAGCCTGGTCAAGCAGAACGTCGTAAATAATCTCGTTCCCTTCCAAACCCTCAGGCGTCAAGCCCATGCCAACCATAGAGGAACCAGGTGATGTCAGGGCGCGCAGTGGCTCCGCGGTGACATTCACAAAGTTCCCTTCAAATCCCATGCTGCCACCAAAATCGTGCAGCTCGCACCAAACCCATTTCTTTCCATAGTATGAGCTCAGTCGCTCCCATTGAGGCTGCGCCTCGCTGTATAAATCAAGGATAATCATGCTATCGTTGCCCGGGATGCCGCCGAGATATGCTTGCACGCGCTCCGTGGTCCAGAATGTTTGACCGCTGAAGAATAACCAGCCTTGCATGAGCCATATAGCCTCCGGGTCGGCTGCTCGCAGACTTGCAAACGTGGCTGAGGTGACGTTCCGAAGATATGCGGGATCGCCGCTGTAGGGATCATTCTCATTGTATTGGTCCAACGTGTAGATATGGGAGACGTTGCCGTACGCGGCGACCTGTTTGTCGATGAAGGACTTTTGCAAAATTGCAAAAAGGGGATCGAAAGGTTCGAGGAATGAAACATTGGTATATGTTGAGGAGAAGCCGACCCATTGACTGCCGTTGACGATAGATGCGTTTGGATACAAGTTGTGCAAAGCACGGGGGACGAATCCGGTAAACGATGGGAGAACAGGGGTCATTCCCAGTTCAACCATACGGGGAATGATCTGCTTTTGCAGAGCGAATTGGTCGTTGACCCACTGCGTTGGAAGGTCGCCACTCCAGCTGCCTTGTATATTACCAAACCTGTTCCATGCCTGGAAGGCAGGACCAGACAGAAAGTCTGCGATTTCCGCATCAGTGAGCCCAGCCTCTCGAAATACTTCCACCAGGATATACTCATAACCAACCCAAGCCAGAGGGAGGTTGACACCGCGCAACGCGAGCCAATCAAGAAGCAAAGACCAATCATCGAAAGTGTAGAATGCAGCCGTGTAGTCAAACGTGACCGTGTTGAAGAAATAACGATACGGCACGATAGCACTTCTGGTTACCGGCTCCTGGACGGTGGGAAGCTGGTGAGGGAGCTGGTCAAGTCGCGAACCTGTCCACCAGATATCCACACCACCGAATTCCGTGACATAGCTAGTTCGTCAATATGACAAATTGAGACAAGCCGCATTGCTTCACTGGCTGAAAATTGACGCACGTATACAGTCCTCTTGCACAAGCGCTTATGGTTGTGCACTCGATGTAAATTTTCGCATTTCCAGCTCCTTCATCATGCGAAGCATCACGTATTTTGAACGTGTCCACGTCTGAGCTGATGGATGTCGACAGATTAAATATGAACGCGTTAGAGTGACTAGGCATGCGCCTTTTCACCAAAGCGTACAGACCACTAAGGCCATTGGAATGGGCAGAAGTGGAAATGATGCAAGCAACCACAACTAAAAGTAGGGTGGACTTGAGTCTTGCGAGAAGCTTCATGGGGACCTGATAAAAGTAGAGCCCTGGGGGTGACTCGGAGGAGGCAGAAATGAAGTCCTCATACCTATTTATAATAGGTTCGACCAGACTACGCATGATCACAGGTAGCGTACGGTGAATTTCGAACTGTCCGGAATTCACATGGTAAAATTACAATGCGCCGCTGTCAAGTTCTCCAGCGTGAACCACCGCACTAGGGGCCGGCGTTGGCGTCTAGCACCTTGGTTGATTGGAGCCTTCTGGGCTGTCCATCAGCAAACTACTAATTTGGCAACAACATGCCACAACAGTAAGTAACATAGCCACACAAATATCACAGACTGCACTCTATGTGCTTCGCTGCTCTGTGACGTCTAGATACAATGGTACAAGCGATCCGCTCGCCTGCGGCCGACCGTCTCATCACCTGCAATTTCGGTAATCATGCGAGCATTAGTGAAATAAACGCCATCATCGGGCGGCGCAGTTCTACCACCGAAAGTGAAAATGGAGAACAAATAGGCCATTCCGCAGAACCGATTCTTCTCAAGAGCATAGGGATTTGCATCCTGAATGCCAACAATACCGCGGAAAGAGCAGCAGGACACTATGGCGAACTGGGGGGACAATCCAGCAGGGCATGAAAGGGGCTTGATTGCAGTGCCATGCCTGAGCGGAGTACATGCTTGAGCGGAGTACATGCCTGAGTGAGAGTGGAACTCGAAAATGTTTGTGTCACAGTAACGTTGAACTTGTGCTGCCTAGAAGCGAGCTCGAATCTCATCTTCTTCAAGTTGCTCCCAAAGCTCTCTTTTCTTTTCTATCTGAGCCTCCTTTTCAGGAACCTCCCCATCATGACCGATAATACTGCCGCCACTGCACCATGGACATCTGCCCGTAACCCTGTTTTGTCCCCCCTCGAGTCCATCCCACACGCAGTTGGCTCCGCTGTTGTCAGCGAACATATCAGTGCTGTAGGCGTTGAGTGCGTCAGATCTTTCTTCTGTTCCCATCGCGCATACTAAACTTCGTTGATCACGCAGCGTCAGTGATGTCCGTCCATTGATCGGACGAGATGTCCGGGACTTCAAGGAATGCACAGTAGACGAAATACGACAGGCACTCCTTGAAAGGTGCACGGATTCTTCCCAATCATTTCCTGAGAAGTTGCCGACGTTACTCGAAACTTCCATCAAAACTGTCCTGCCCCTCTACAATATTAATGGGGCAGGCATAGCGCCGAAGGTCAAGCAGTATTTGAGTGATTTGTAAGCCGGTACTTCAAACAGTCTGAAGTAAGACTAACGATATTATCAAGTTGTGATCCCGAGAAGGAAGCGGCGACTTACTCTCGTTTCGTCGACGCTGCTAACTCTGCACTCGTTGAACTGAAAAATGTGAACGCACCTGGGATACTTGCTTTTGAGAGCCTTAAAACCAACATCCTCTTTTACGTTCTTGCCCCTCAATTGCAGCGCATGCGACACAAGCAGTGGGGCCTTGACACGGTATTCGAACCCGGATTTTCGGGTGAGATCAAAGTCGAGGATAAGAACTTGAAGCACACAGTCGACCTTCAGTTGTATTTGAACTCTCAAGGACGCACAACTCATTCTGGTCTACGCGGACGTGCAACCACCGTTTTTCCAGTTCAGAGCAAGGTGCTATCGAATCTGCCGAAGAAGTCTTATTTTCTGAACAAATCCGCTGAATTGGTTGCCAAAGAAGAGGCACGTCAGAGCGAATTTGATATCCTCGAGGAGGTATATAAGATTGCGAAAGAGGAGCCCGATGTGTTGGGCCACGTTCCAGAGATGATCTGGTTCTACAAGTTTGACGGAACATCCACGGCGATAATTAGAAGGGCACTAGGATTTGATAATGCCGAACTGGGTCACCGCGTCCTACATATTATCGTATTCAAAAAGCTTACCCCAATTACGACACTGGAGAAAAAGGAGTTCCTCGTCGCATGGTGGGACGTTGTCAAGTGTAAGTGTTATGTCCTTCTCGTGTTCTTTTTCATCCGCCCACTACTTAGACAGGTCATCGCGCCCTCTGGAGGAGAGGCGTGCATCACCGTGACGTCAGCCCCAACAATCTCATGGGGTACCGCTTAGGTGATAATTTTATCAGCGTCCTCAACGATTTCGACTTGGCATCGATTATACAATTGTTGTCATCAATTAAACAACGCACCAAAGGCTTCGAGCGCACAGGGACGGTCCCGTTCATGTCCTTAGACCTTCTCACAGAAGAAGCTATCGCAGGCGAAGTCGAGCACGTGTACCGGCATGATGCTGAATCGTTCATCTGGGTCCTCACCTGGATCTGTCTTCGGTATGAAGAGGGCAAGCTCCTCCGCAAGGGCAGACCACTGGATGAATGGTTGACCGTGGATGCCATAGGTTGTCATAAGGAAAAAATGGGCTTTATGGGAAGGCTGCGTATCAAGCGTCCAACGCGATCGCACGAAGACAACTTCGGCGTTGTCAAACGTGGCTTAGCGGTGGTTTACGAATATGCAGGCCCATTGGAGATCGTTCCAACGGATGATGAAGTTGTGTTCAAGGCAATGCTCCAGGACAATGTGCCGGCGGATGTGCGTGAAGGCAATGTCTTGCCTGGACAGTAGTAGATAGTATACTTGCAGTTGAGGCAGCGTGCCTCCGAAATGTGATGTTACATGCTATTCTGTTGACCGAACACTCAAGCTTAAGGATTCTCTATACCCACATGACATGGAATTCTACGTATCATCCATCCCCGGATTTTTGCCTAGATTGCCCATCTGCATATCTATAGCTATAGCACTGATGGCTTACACTGTTTGCTTGGGTTTGCGTCTAGTTTTCAGTGTTCACTTTTTTGTTCCGCAACCTCCTCGTGGCCAATAATTCTGACGCCAGTGTACCAAACACACCTGAGACTCAGTGAGTCTGCCGTCCACGCCGAACTCAAGTCCACGTCACAAGCAGTACTCTGTGCTTGCACAACAAGGGCACGGAGGTGGAGGGCCACTCCCCAGAGATGGCCTGGTCCCATAAGTTTGAAGGAACATAGGGCCGTACGAACGTCGGTCAACCTATGCATCACGTCCAAGATTCGTATTCCAAGAACTCTGCGTTATCGAACTTTCCCTTGAACTCCAGGGCGAGCAGCCGGGGTCCTCCGCTCGATCTAGAGAAAGATCGCACAGCCCGATTGTTCGGAGGCAGACAGAGACGTCTGAGAGGGCCGTATCAGATTCCTTGATTATCCGCATGTTCAGGGTGTGACTGTAAATGACTCGCTGTCCAAAATGTTGGTGATATGAAAATTGAAAATTTGTAAATCAAAAAGGGGGCGAAGGGCCGCCGAGAAGTTGATTGCTGGGCTATCAGGCCACCTATTGTTCGACACCCACACGCCACTACATTTGCGGACTCAGATCAGTGGAATGCTTCTGCGCGACTTTCGTCCTTGTGCGACGTGCGGAGCGCAAAAAATAGGCCTAGGCCGCCTATAGCAGAGCAAATGTTCATCGAGAAAGTATGTATCACACCTGATTGGCATGCCAAAGGCAACAGCAGCGATCAATAAGTTGAGGATGAGTGATGTTGAGGTTCCCTATGTCCTCTTCAATCACTTACCATTGTACAGAGAAAGATCGCTAAGCCCGATTGTTCGGTTGCAGACAGAGGTCTGATCTCTAGGACCATCAGAATCACCAGATTCCTTGATTATTCGCGTGTTCAGGGTATGATTCGTCGTCAAAAAGGTTGGCGATATGGAAGTTTGGAATATGTTAATCAAAACGGGAACGTAAGGCCGCCGCGAAGTTGACAGTTGAGCGCTGGACGCTGGGCTATCAGGTGGCGTATCAAATTCTTCAGACTTCGACGCCCACAAGTCGCCCACAAGACACTCTTTTGCGGATTGCGATCAGCGGAATTCTTCTGCGAGACTTTCGTGTGCGATATGCGGAGTGTAGAAAATGATCATTGAGAAGGAAATCATGCCCAAAAGGCAATATGCATTAGATTTGCTGTCCTCGAGCGATGTGGCGTGGTTTGATGATGGTTTGTACCTTGTTTGTAACTGTGAGTTTGGCTATCAACTTCTCATAGACCAATAACGTTGTGCTAGCTTAAAAGCGAGCTCGGATATCGTCTTCTTGTTCCCCCAGTTCACTTTCTTTTCTATCTGAGCCCTCTTTTCAGGAAGGCCTCCTCATCATGGCCGATAGTACTGGCGCCACTGCGCCACAGACACCTGCCCGTAACTCTGCTTTGTCCTCTAACTTGAAGTCCACCCCACACGCAGTTGGTTCCGCTACTGTCAGCGAAAATATCAGTACTGTGGGCGTTCAGTGCGTCAGACCTTTCTTCTGTTCCCATCATGCATACTAAACTTCGTTATTCACGCAGAGTCAGTGATGTCCGTCCATGGATATCACATGATGTCCGGAACTTCAAGGAATGCAAGGCGGATGAAATGCTACAGACACTCCTCGAAAGATGCACGGATTCTTCCCAATCCCTTCCTAAGAAGTCGCCGACGCTACTCGAAATTTCCCTCAAAGCTGTCCTGCCTCTCTGCAATGGAGACGCAGCGCCGACTCGGAAGATCAAGAAACACTTGAGTAATTTGTAAGCAGGTACTTCAATCATGTGAAGTAAGATTAACGCTATTATCAAGTTGTAAACCCAACGTTGAAAAAAAAACTTACTCTCCTTTCGTCGAGGCTGCTAACTCTGCACTCGATGAACTGGAAAATGTGAACGTACCTGGGATACCTGCTTTTGAGAAGAACAGTAAAACCAACATCCTCTTTCATGTGAATGATCCAAGCATCATAGAGCAATGTCATCAGGGCAAGACGTCCACACGCAAGCCTGACGTCGTCGTCGTCTCTTACGAAAGCGCTTCAAACGCGATAGCGGCAGGAAAATCCACCGGTGTTCGCAAGTCTGCATGCAAACGTCCCGACAAAAGATTCCAATGGATGAATATTCGATCGACATTGGAGTTCAAACGCCCGAACTCGAAGAGGAGTCTAGCCGGTCCTCCGCCCGCTTACAAGATGGACTACGTGGCTCCTGCTGTCCTGTATATGAAGTATATGAAGAAGAATGAGAACGACAACGACAACGACAACGACAACGAGGACGAGGACGAGGACGAGAATGAGGACGAGAATGAGGACGAGAATGAGGATGAGAAGGAGGACGAGATTGAGGACGAGATTGAGGACGAGATTGAGGACGAGGACGAGAATGAGAACGAGGACGAGAATGAGAACGAGAAGGATGCGCTTGCTAGGCCATCAGACTCAACGCCTGCCACCGGCCCAGCTCGGACCTACCACGATGCACCATGTAAGTCGCTCCGTGTGTATGTATGCTCCTTCCTTTGACACGTGCGACGCAGCACAACGCAGGTCCGATAGAATCAGAAGCAGCACAAAACGCGGTTCTGATCACTTGCCCTTCAACGAGCCTCCGATGAAGCGATCCAAGCAAGGGGAGCAGGAGGACAACGGAAATGAGAATGAGAAGAAGGAGGAAAAGAAGGAGAAGAAAAATCCCATCATCCAGAATGGTTTGTATGTCGCGGAGATGTTCGCAGCTCATGTCGCACGTCTGCACGTCATCTCCTTTATAGTGAAAAGTAAGTGGATGTCACCACGCTGTTGCCCTGTCGTCAACCTGATTACCCTGTTCCAGACGACATCATTTATATCTGGTATTTTGATCGTCAGAACACGATTCAATGCTCTGGTATCAACTTCGTTCAGGACCTTCCACGCTTTATGGTCCTGCTCTTCATCATGCAGCGCATGAAATACAAGCAATGGGGCCTTAACCCGGTGTTCGAACCTGAACCTGGATTTTCGGGGGAGATTAAAGTTGAGGATAAGAATTTGAAGAGCACAGTCGACCTTCAATTGGATTTGAAATCTCCAGAGCGCATGACTCATTTCGGTCTACGCGGACGCGCAACCACCGTGTTTCCAGTGAAGAGCACGGTGCTATCGAGTCTGCCGAGGAAGCCCTATTTTTGGAACCAAACCGCCGAATTGGTTGCCAAGCTCTTTTGGCCAGAAGAGACACGTCAGAGCGAACCCGACATCCTCGAGGAGGTCTATAAGATTGCGATAGAGGAGCCGGATGTGTTGGGCCACGTTCCAGAGATGGTCTGGTTCTACAAGTTCGACGAAACATCCACGGCGATAATTAGAAGGGCGCTAGGATTCGACGATGCCGAACTGGGTCACCGTGTCCTATTCATTATGGTGTTCAAAAAGCTTTTTCCAATCACGACGCTGGTGGAAAAGGAGTTCCTCGTCGCGTGGTGGCAAGTTGTCAAGTGTAAGTATTTTGTTTTTCTCGTGTTCTTTTTCATCCACTCACTACTTGGACAGGCCATCGCGCCCTCTGGAGGAGAGGTGTGCATCACCGTGACGTCAGCCCCAACAATCTCATGGTGTACCGCTTAGGTAATCGTTTTATCAGCGTCCTCAATGATTTCGACTTGGCATCAATTGTACAATTGTTGTCGTCGATTAAACAACGCTCTAAAGGGTTCGAGCGCACAGGGACGGTCCCGTTCATGGCCTTGAAGCTTCTCACACGACGAGCCATCTTAGGCGAAGTCGAGCACGTATACCAGCATGATGCTGAATCGTTCATCTGGGTTCTCACCTGGATTTGTCTTCGGTATCAAGGTGGCAAGCTCCTCAGAAAGAACAGACCACTGGATGAATGGCTGACCGTGGATGCCATGGGATGCCATGAGAAAAAAACCAGCTTTATGGCAGAGTTGCTTGAGAAGCGTCCAACGCGATCGCATAAAGAGAACTTCAATGTTGCCATGCGTGGCTTAGCGGTGGTCATCAAATATACAAGCCCATTCGAGATCGTTCCAACGGACGATGAAGTGGTGTTCCAAACATGGCTCCAGGAACATATGCCGGCGGATGCGCTTCGAGACAATGTCTTGCCTGGACAGTAGTAGGTAGTATACTTGCAACTGAGGCAGCGTGCCTCCGAAATGTGATGTTACATACTATTTGTAGATTGAACCACGAGCTTAGCTCGCCATCCTCATCTTGTATCGACACACCAACCGTACATGAGCCTTGATTATATTACTAATTGGGTCACGGCACGGTGCTCCGGGCAGGAACCTCATACTTAAATTCGACACCACGAAAGACTGCATAAGCGAGTCCGTATGATATGCCAAATGACGAGCACCAACCCTTCCCGACTCCCCAGCCAGAGTTTCCCCACTCAACCAGCGACTGCTGTGTTGGGCTAGGAAACTCCTTGTATCTTCTCCCTGGGCTGGTTACTGTTGTAGTTCAACGTTCAACTGTAACACCAGTTTAACTTGATCAATACCTGTAGACTCCTGCGGCAGCTGAGCTACCTTCAAGTTGAATAGTACTTCGACCGACTAAGCTTTATGACATGGGCGCCAAGTTGAGCCTTTCTGGATTCTGGAATCTTGCATCGTTCCGGTATGCAACGCCTCGAGGCGTCTATTCGGAAGAGTTGCATGGGCATGTGCGTATGACCCTGCACTACAGCCTAGTCCTCCTTGTACTCGAGCTAACACTAACAACATCAAGTGCATCTGCTGTAGTTCAAGTTGACCGAGCACATCCGCCATCATGAATCTTAAGAGACGTGCTAAAGAGTCCCGAAGCGAACCTGTGTCAGGCAACGTGGCCTATCAAGCGGTGTGTCATGAGCCCAGCATACTTGTATTTGCTGAATCCATGTTCCAGCATGATGACGAAGTTCAGACTATCGTCATCTTTGGGACGACGGGTTCAGGAAAGAGCTCCCTTATCAACTTACTCTTGGGGAGCGAGCAAGCGCGCGCGTCTAATGATGCAATAGGCTGCACAGCGACGAACGATGATTACCTTTTTTCAGTCGACAAGAGGAAATATAGGTTATGGGATACTCCTGGGCTTAACGAAGGCTCCGAGGGACTAGTCCCTGGAAAAGTGGCCCTCAAAAACCTGAAGTCTTTCGTCAAAGAACTCATGCACGTCAAAAATCGTGCACCTCTTTTCATCCTTTGCATTCAGGGATCACAGGGTGTGAAAACCCAGCTGCGCCATTACGACAGTCTCAAATCTATTATCAGCGCCGCCCCCTTTGCCATCGTAGTCACGGGTATGGACACATGCTCGTCATGGCCTTGGAGCAAGTGGTGGGACGAGAACAGCAAGGTTCTCCAATCGTTCAACGCGGCTAGCGTGGACCATGCATGCGTGTGTACGCTGTTGGACGGTGATGAGCCGGCTGGGTCTCGGGAAGAGCTCATCGAGCTCATCCGGAGAGCTACTCTCCATCCATCTTCCAAATCTATGCCTGCGAAAGCTCAGTGCGATGACGAGGAAACCCACGGACGCCGTGACACAGACCCGCTTATCCCCGGAAGGCAGCCCATCTCTACCCCTAGTGAGGGAGGGCTTGAACAGCAAACCTTCTTCGACTGGAAGGGCCTTTTTGCCTGCAATCGACCATGGACAAGGCGCAGAATAGGTGAGCATCCAATAGGTGTCCCACAGATTATAGTCTCATGGAATGCAACGCATTTCCCCAGTAACATGCGTTTTCCTTGTCGTCATCATTGTCTTGGGTTGCCTTTTTGCGTTCTTCCATACTCGGATAGTGCGCACTTTACAGCCTGCAGTGGAGCAGATTCATGAGTGAGTGAGTCTATGAGTAAAACATGCTGTCGTTTGCCTGATGCTAATTTACGGAACTTCGCAGCTTGAAATTCGGATGGTTCATCCCAATTGCGATTTTCTTTGTGATATCATTCCCTCCGGTGAGTGTATGTGAGTTCTTTATGCTGGATTGCCTCGTGACCAGTAATTTGCGCTCGCAGCTGTTTGGTCACGAGGTACTGGCTATCCTCTGCGGACTTGTGTGGGGCGCTTGGGTTGGCTTCGCCATCACCGCAGCTGGCACTTTCATAGGTGAAGTCGCCAACTTCTAGTGCGTTGTGTTCAATTTTTTCTATGATGAGATTTGAACGTACTTCTGAAGCACTTTCAAACATTTTTGCCAAGCTCGCGGAGATAAGTTGCAAAAAGACAGTATCGTGTATGCCGCTCTGTGCAAGGTGATCCGTGAACGCAGTTTCAAAGTTGCGTTAGTCGTGCGTTACAGCGCTATTCCAGGGCATTGTAAGTTTCTAGCATACGCATACGTCACTTCGTTGATATTTACTGTTTTCAGTGACAACAGCCATATTCTCATTGTGCGGAATGGGTATCTTTGCGTTCATGCTAGCAGCTGTGCTATCTCTTCCGAAACAATTCATTACTGTCTATATTGGTGTGATGCTTGAAAGTGACCCCAACTGTGAGTTATAACCTGTTTTGGTCCGTCATGTTGCACTTGCTGATGTAGTTTACAGCATCTCCCGCTTCTACTAGTAGAATCATCGGTGATGTGGTTGGTGCTATCACACTTCTTGTGACTGTTGCTGCAATGTGGTATATCAACAAGGCAGTGAACAAAGTGAAGCCACAAGTCATACAGGAGCGTCAAAAGTCCCGGTCAGTGCCTCCTCATACAAAGAGGCGCTTGACCGCTCACGATTTCACCTTGCAGCTACGTTGACGTCAGTGTAACATCGCCTGGCGGTATATTCAATGCAGACAACGCCTCGCAAGATTATTCCTCCGCCTTCGACGATATGTCCGATGATGCTCGTGACGACATGTCGTGCGAGGCCCTCCATAATGAAAGCCATCCCGAAGACGCCCTCGGCCATGCGGGCTCCACGTCACTTACCCGTACCACTACGCGTACATTCATGCCGGATATCGCAGAAGGTCAAAGCTATAGGTTAAATACTCTTCCTTATGATCCGTTCCCCGGCCCTCTCGACGCCACGATTGGCTCTGAGACCATGACATCATGCGTCACGCGGGCATCATCTCTGTCTTCTGTGGCTCGGACTGGAGGGCCGTCTGCCGTGCAATAACCCTATACTCCATAAACGATTATACGGGCGCTCCGTGGACGACTTCCCTGACACACGCTGTTGTACGGCAATCAGCGTTAGCGAGCACGTTTGTGATATCCTCTTTCAAGTGTGGGGTGCGTGTGGCCACCTTATGTATGTACTATTATGCATGATTTACTAGCTCAATTTCGTTCATAACTATCTGATGACGTCGCGCCAACCTGTGGTAGTGTTTCCGAGTCACAGAGTTCATTTGATTGTGTTCGAAGGAGATGTGTTATGCGAGAGAAGGGCAGGGTTTCTCACTCGTAGGAACTGGGTGTTGGTGCTACGCCGCTACAACAGTGACTACGTACATGTGTGGGAGTTCGCAGCCATAATTGGTTGAACCTCTATCAATATCGGAACCACAGCAAAACCACGGTAATGGATGGGCTTCTGCTCGGTACCACTCCGGTACCTTGCTCTCAGCGTTAGGCCAGCAACGACCACCTGGCCAAACCATTGCTCACTGCCTGCCAAGAGTGGCACTGAGGAGTAGGCACGTCAACCAGGGACGTCGAATGGCACTGTATCATGATTCCCCCATGTAGCACTAAGATCATGATAACGACAATCGGTGCGCAGCCTTATTCGAACTTTTCGGCGCCAATGCCGCATGGCCCACGTCAAGACTTTTACTTAAATATGACGCACTCCACCGTGCCTTGGAGAGCACAGCGATATTTCTCTTGCACTCGTTTGCCCACCAAGAGACGGTCTGAGACGGTCTACGGTTGACTCGACGGCCGTTTGCCTGGAAGAGTCTGTCTGCCGCCTCTATACAAACCTGGCTGTTTGTGTGGACGACCTCCTACCTTTGGGGCACTTTGCCACTAGGCAGTTCAGTGATTCCTCCAAAATTCCCTGACTGGCGTATTCACGAGCTCAATGGTACGGTGTGCGTCTTTCTGACCGACACGGGAGATGTAATGACTTTTTTGATATAGATCCCCAATGAAACTATCGAAGTGACACCATACGTTCCCCAGTTCTTCTGGCGGTTTTGGCTGTCCGACGCGTGAGGGATTCGTTGATGACTCCCATTTTATCGCTGACAGGAGAGACATACATGATACCTAGCGATCCATTGAAGCACACCCTTGACGATCACCGCGTCCATACTTATGACGTCTACAACAACGAGCTCACTGAAACACGTCGTGTTCCCGAGCAAGTTCCAATCTTCCACAACTTTGACATCACATCTTTGGATGAAGGTTGCCGCTCTGTCTTGCGTACCGCAGAGAAGGCATTCACACGTCTGGAAAATGAAGCGGAGCGGATCCTCAGTGAATTGATTTCAAAGATCCGCTCTTCACACTCTGGGGAATCACGACCGGAAACGAGGCTCGAACTACCAATTTCGAGACATTCCCGAGATGCATTGCTCCGGTACTTTGTATTCTTGCGGTACCGAAACAGTGACAAGTACAAGAAGACGGTTGCCAGCTTGACAACACGTGTTGTTACTGGCAGTGGTGCGGTCGTTAATGCGAGGCATGCATGGCATCGGGTTCGGAGACGTGCTACGTTGGGAAGTTTTCATGCTTTCCTGCAGCATGAGAACACGGCGGACAAGAAGGTGTTCCGCCACTTCGAGGGCCTTGACTGCTGGAGGTTCTGCGATGCCGAAATCTGCATAGGTCAGGCATCTGGGAGTCAGCAGTTTGTGCTTCCTGATACTTGCTTTGCCACCCTTGATGAGGAGTTTGCTGGTGACCCGTGAGTCCATCTAAGAAACTCTCGTGTGTTGGGTCGTGCTGACCACATGACTTCGCTAGCTCGTCAGCTCATCTGTTATTCCCTATCATGCCTACTATAGCTCTCTACGTCTTAGGCACTCAACGCGAGGCGCCTAGGTCACATGGTTTAAGCGTACCAGACCCAGTGATGGGAGCCACCGCTGCTTGGATTGACGTCGATATTGAGTCGCCCGCCGACGTGCACCTTCGCAACGCATCCCTTCTTCAGCGGCACCCAGCTCGGCTATACTTCTCTTCCCTCACTTCTGTCACCCAAGCTATCGCGCATTACGATAGCTTCCGCTGGGTATCCGAACACTTGGACTACTCGCGACTGAAGCAACGTGCTAGGCAAAAGGCAACGCTAGAGCAATTGACGAAGACTCTGGTTGTGAAAGGCAGCGTGCTACTTGTCGACCTCACAGATGAGGTTGAAAAAGTAGGCAACGCACCTGTATCTGGTGGTTCCTTCGCAGACGTTTGGAAAGGTATCTGGACGAATTCCCACAATGGGATACAACCAGTAAGAAATATTTAGTCCTCTTTCCGACTATAGTCTCTTAGTCGTTGGGTTGGCAGGTTGCGCTCAAATACCTTCGTCAGTACATGCACATGACAGACGAGCTCAAGGAGAAGCTGATGCTGGTGTGTACATATCCAAATCAATTTATCCATGTACTAATGAAAGACTATAGCGGCTTAAATCAGAGGTCGTTGCTTGGCACCGTCTGCATCACTCAAATATCGCGCAGCTCTATGGCGTCGCTCAGTCTCCTAACTCCATAGCCATGGTCTCCCCTTGGTGCAACAACGGTACATTGACACGTTATCTGGAAATGAATCCCGAAGCAGATCGATTTGCATTAGTAAGTCACTAGTTAAACAGTCGAGACACTATCCCCTTACGCGAGATGCAACAGATTCAACAAATAGCTTCAGCAGTCAGCTATTTGCACAACTGCCAGCCAATCGTTATCCACCGCGATCTCAAAGGCGTAAGTTTGTCTCCGTTCGTGCTCTTCAGACTCAAAATTCACGCTTTGAATTGCAGTCCAATATACTTATCGGTGACAATGGTCAAGCTCTCCTGACAGACTTTGGTTTGTCAAATGTCATGGAAGAAGTCCTTGAATCCGAGCCCAGCATGCGGAACACTCGTTTTGCAACATCTCTCTTCGCTGGTTCAACTCGTTGGATGGCACCTGAACTCATTGAAGCGCTCACCAATGATGATGATGCTGAACCGCCTCCGATCTCCACTAGCACTGATGTATACGCTTTTGCATGCGTTTGTCTCGAGGTTGGCTCGCCCATCTGTCTGTCTGTCTCTGTTCGTTGACAGTGTTCTGCAGGTTGCAACCGGTTGTCTTCCTTTCTCGCATAGAAGCAACGATACTGCAGTCATCTTCGACATCATGAGGGGCGTGAAGCCTTCCCGTGGATCCACTGCCATGAAACTCCGACTTCCGGAGAAGGAGGTGGACCACTTCCGGAATCTCCTTGATAGGTGTTGGAGCCCAGCGCCGTTCTTGCGACCTACCATGACCGAAATCAAACGAGAGCTGGCGGCTATTGCAGGTTGCTGCATGTAGACCATTATGCTTCTTCCGAATCGTCATATGCATGATACAATATACCTCAATTATTTGCACGCATTATATATCACCCAATGTACAACATTACACATTATTTGCACCAGATACTTCAGAATAACGACACGACATGGCCTCACCCTTGTACCACTATTGCATACTATACAATCCCGATGCGTTTCACGTCCTCGCCTCACTTTTCATAAAATCCTTCAGAATCCCACCCCGCCTTTTCCTCACCCTCTCTCATCCAACCAAGCGTGTGCGCAGTAAGCATAGCCACGCGAAGGAACAGCGTTCCATCCAACTCTCCAAGCCCTAGGCTGTGCTCAGCATCTTCGAGTTTGCTGTTATCCATGGCTACGCTTGCTTGTTCGCGAGTGACGAACCACCCCTGTCCTCGCAAGCTGTACAATGACGCATAATGCGCAAGTGCCCGCTGTATCTTGCACAAATGTTCGTTAGGATGCACGAGCGTAGTCTGTATTACAGACAGCCATGGATTTGGCGTCCGCGCTTCAGGAGATTTTTCGTCGGGAAGTGTGTGCTTGTCAGGTGAAGGCCGCGGACCCGGGATGATGTCCCGACCACTAGAGAGCAGAAGCCCTGATGTGTCACTGTAAAACTTGGCGATATCGATGACGGGACGTCCCCGCGCCAGGTAGTGTGCCAGGCTCACTGCGAAGTAGGCACGCAGGAGCAGTGTTTGGGCACGAGAATTTTGATCGAGCGAAGTTACGAGAGAAGAGAGGAAAAGGGTGGAGGTGACGAGGTGCATCAAGAAGAAGTCAGCGTTGAACACTTTTTTAGTATCCCTCTTCCCAGTCATGCCCCCTACCCCATAAATTATTGAGTTAAGCCAAACAAGTTCCTCCACAGCTTTGGCAACGCCTTCCTTGTTCGATACATCGAAGTCCCACATTTCAGCGAACGCTCGAAGTGCCTCATTGTGAGATGAGACGATCATGGTGAGCATGTCTGCTTCGTCCGACTTTTTGATATGCTCAAATCGTTCATCCTTAGCGACAAGTGCGAGAATTGAGAGGGCATGCAAGGTTCCAGCCTTCATAGGAGAACTAAAGTATGAAGGTGGAAGAAGTGCATGGACCTTCGCGGGGTGGACAGCAGTCATAGCCAGACCTTCCGCAGGTAAGAACCGGCACAATGCATGACGTAAAGGGAACTTTACCTTCCGCAGACACACCCAATAAACCAAACTCTGCGCCATAGCCGGTATGGATCAGAGGGTGGAGTAATCCACCAATGAAGCGTACCAGCATCTCCGGGTGGCCATCTTTCTCCTTATGTGGTTCTTCCAGGTAATTCGCAGAAGGAGCAAGTACATATTGCCCGAAGGTGCGAGCAAACCCATTCGTCCCGAGTTCAGAGGCAAAAAAGTCCGAGTAGGCTGAATAAAAGCTTGAAGAAGTTCAGTAATTAACAAACATTGCTGTTGAACACCACCTACCGTTCATCGCCAAGGTGCTCATTGAAATTACGGTGTGTGATACGGCTTGGTGACTCAAACGCAGGCCGCTGATAAATGCAGTGAGTTGCATATGCAGAAGATATGATCTTGGCGCTTGCGCCCATCGCCCAGATTGCGAGAAGGTGATGAACCGCATGGCTTCAAAAAAAAATTAGAGCCCAACCCGAGTATAAACTGAAAACAGAGCGCGCTTATGGAATCTCCTGTAATTGAAGAATATATGCCACCTAGAGTGATTATCCTCCAAGACTTTCAAAAGCATGTTGGTGCTTTCTGTATCGATGCCTGGCCAGCGCTGGGGGCAAATGGAAGCTAAAGGTGATTGTGGGGTCTGGAATAAGGGAGGTAGCGCATCATGCTTTGACTCAGGCTTGGAAGGGAACGAAAACGCTTCCGCAGCCTCAGGAGAATATTGCGCTAGGCCGTGAGCATGCATATTTCCAACTGGATGTTGAAAAGGTTCATCTCCAGGTCGATGGAATGGCATGTTAGCGTTAGTATCGAGTTCAGAGGACATCGTAGTTAGCGCCGGAGAGAAAAAGGGGTTCCAGTTGAGGTCATCGTTTTAACTCACGTGACTCATAGCGACAGTGGCGTACCTGGGAAAAATGGGTCATGGCAAGGGGGAGGGTTTGGGCCACCGAGCTGGGTACAAGGCCCAACAGGCCCGGTACTCGTTTGCATGTCGTTCCAAGACAGACATCAGGGATTCTACATGTTGTAGATGTGTACATTATCAGCTGAGACGGGATGCAAACAAAAAGACACTCGTTACTTTATATATTATGCTCCCATCGCCTAGTCGTCGATGCTTCCGCGGGATCAACACACCCCCTACGGCTTCGTCTTGGCTTCGATCTCATGTCTCAAAAATTCCTGGTAATCCCAGATACCCTTATTTGGCTCGCCCTCCCTCACCCATCCCAGCGCAGCACTTGTCAACCAAGCTACGCGCAAGAACAAGCTCCCATCAAGGAACTCCCACTCAGGCGCATCAAGCGCTTTGCATTCTCCCTCTGGAAGCTCGAGGCCACCAGGCATCAATGGCGTGTCAGGACAGCTGACAGCCGGACTCGAAGACAGCACTTCTGACATGAAGCCGGCCTCACGGTGTCCGTACAGAACAGCAAAGTGCGCAAGCGCACGCTGGCACTTGCACAGATGCTCATTCGGGTGCACGATCGCATTCTGTAGGACGGGATACCATACGTTGGGCGTGACCACGTGCGGGCTGTCCCCGCCGAGTAGTGCGCATGCTGCTGGCTGGGGTAGCACGCCAGGAAGCGTCGTTGCGTACTTAAAGTGCGCTGGGGATGGCAGGGGCGCAAGCGGTGCGGCGAAGAACTTGCGCAGGGGGACCGCGCCGCGCCCACGTACAAGCCACCAGGTGATGCTCGCGAGGAAGTGCGCACGCAGTAGGAGAGATTGGCTTTTGTATGATAGGTGAGCGCAAAGAGACGGGAGGAAGAGGCATGAGGTGACGATGTGCATAGTGAAGAAGTCTGCACGATACTCATCGCTCTCGCCGTCCCAGCTGCTGACGCCGTACATAACAGTGCTTGCCCATACGAGCTCCTCGAGGTGGTGACTGAAATCATCCTGGCTGTTGATCTCGCACGTCCACATCTCTGCGTACGAGTTGATGAGTTCACCGTGCGACACCATCATGGCCTTGAATTCGTGCTTCTTAAGGATATGAGTCCAGAAACGGCTATCGGCGAGCATATGCGAGAGAATCGTGAGCGCGTGTACGTGTGATTTGGGCCTGTCTGGGTTTCCAGGAAAAAGCAAACGGGAAACGAGGGCGGATCTCCGCGCTGGACGAATGCTCGTCTGGGCGAGCCCCTCAACAAGCATGCCTGGCAATTTGAACTCTGCGCCATAACCTGCATGAATGAGGGCATGTATGACTTGCTCCACAAAGCGGTTCAACATTTCAGGCTGCTGTTTGCCCGGTGCGAGAGAGGTGTTGATATTGTACTCTGAAGAGAAAATGTACTTTTCAAGGGTGCTTGAGATGGTAGCGCCTGGGGCGAGAACTACTTTGCGGAAATAGTCCAAGTAAGCATTATAATAGCTGGATCGCGTCAGCGCGTTATTTCGACTGGGATATAGGAAGTGCTCAGGCTTACTTTTCGTCCCCGAGGTAGTCATGGAAGTTGTCATCTGAGATGACGACACGGTCGGGTGCCTGGAAAGCATCACGCATATGGTCGAGGTGAGTGTCCTCATACGCAGCTGTGATTAAAGGACCAGATGCTCCGAGGGCCCATATTGCTAACAAGTGGTGGGCAGCATGGCTGGATAAGGTGTCAAAGTGGTTCTGCGACGCCTTTGGTATGCACGTACTTGATAAAACTGTAGTCGTTGAAGACAACATGGCTGCGCTCGTGGTTATCCTTCAGTGTCTTGAGCAGTGCAGCAGTTGGCCCTGGACCGGCATTTGGTAGACGGGCTGGTGCAAGGACCGATGGAGGGAGTGTTACGGTTCTACTCTTTTCTCTCATATTCTATTCATTTCCATCACCTTCTATCATATTCTATCATACGATTCTCTTTCTCTTTTCTGATTGGTTCCTCATTTACAAGCTCCGCTTGAACGCTCGTCTCATTTACTATTTAAACCCTTTACTTATCGCATGTATTCCTTAACTTGACCTACGCAGACCAGGGCCTGCAGACTCTAGCTTTACTTGTGCAATCGAACTCTACTTTGATCTTTGATACCAGACGTCTTTGTGACGCCGAGCGTAACAAAAGGTCAAGTTACTCCTTTACTACACCGTTCACTCGAACAGGCGTCTTGAACCAGCACTACAGCATCAGAACTCAGACGACGACATGCCCAGAGAAATCGGCACTCCTCCCGCGCCTTTCAATGGCGACACCAGAACCGCTCAAGGATGGGCTCTCCAACTCGAAGCCTACCTTGACATGAACGACGAAATCTACGACTCCAACAAGAAGAAAGTCATATTCACTTTGAGTCGCATGACCAAAGGCGAAGCAGCTAAGTGGGCCGAAGGCCACCTCAAAGCAGCTTCCGCTGCGAAGACTTACGGAACATTCCTCGAATACGTCGAGAAGTTCAAGGGGACCTTCTTCCCCAAGAACAGCGCCCAAACCGCCATTAGGCGTATCTCCACCCTGAAACAGACTGGCAGCGTCGCTGCCTACGCATCACTATTCCGCACCATCATCGCCGATACCGGCATCGAAGAAGATATCACCCGTACCATGTTCTTCCGCAACGGATTGAAGCGCGAGATCCTCGCTGCTATCCTTGCATTCAATAACACCCCCACCGACCTCGCAGGTTGGCTTGACAAAGCCCTTGAGGTTGAAGTGCGCAGGACGCTCATCGCGCCGCCCACGTTCACCAAGGCCAGAGACCCTTATGCGATGGATATTGACAGGGCGGAGGTAGGAGAAGACGACGATGGTGAGACGACGAAGAAGACCCGCAAGACGTACCTGACGCCTCAAGAACGCGAGCGCAGGAAGAAGAACGGCCTCTGCTTCAAATGCGGCAAGAAAGGCCTCATCAAGGACTGCCCGAACCACCCCACGGTGACGGCAGCGAAGAAGACTTCTGTCAAGGACGACGACGAAGAATACCGCGAATTCCAAGAGTGGAAGGCGTTCAAAGCCCGCCAAATGAAGAAAGGCAAGGGTAAGGAAAAGAAGGAGGAAAGTAGCGACGAGGAGGATTTTTAGAACGGGGATCTGCACCGGTGTCAGACACCCCTAGAATAGGACTCTTAGTACAATCGATTGGCGACTCGAAATCCATCCGTATTCCGTTAACCATTGAATCGTCTAGGACCCAGAAAACCACCGAAGCAAGCGCACTAATTGATAGCGGCGCAGAAGGGGAGTTCATCGACTGGCAATTTGTCCGAAGAAACTCCATCAAGACTCATTTTCTCGATAAGCCCATACCCGTACGTAACGTGGATGGCACGCTCAACAAAAATGGAAAAATCACACGGTACTGTAATCTATCTTTTTCCGTTCGCAATCTTCCCATGAAGACGCGTTTCCTTGTAACCTCTTTAGGAGGAGAGGACGCTATTCTGGGAATGACTTGGCTAAAACAAGAAAACCCCGATATAGATTGGACCGCCGAAGAAGTACATCTTCACGAGCGCACTATTTCCGCTGCTAAAACCAGCGAAGAAGACGTCTTTTATGACGCACTAGAACCAGAAGAAGAAGACGTCTTTCATGACGCAATGGAAAGTATTCCAGAGAACCCATTCTCTCACGACGACCTCCCTAACCTCTTAGATCTCGACGAAGACGATGAAGTAGTCGTGTCGGTAAGAAAAGCCGACAACATCTCCCAAACCCTCGCCCAGGACGCCGCAAAACCCAAGAAGTCCTTCGAAGAACTCGTCCCACCAGAGTTCCAGAAGTATAAAGACGTATTCGGTGACGTAGCTAACGGAACTCTCCCACCAGAACGCAAGTTTGATCACAAGATCGACCTCAAGGATTCCTTCGAACCACGGAAATGCAAGATTTATCCGCTTAACGCCAAAGAAGAGAAAGCCATGAACGACTTTATTGACGAACATCTCGCTAAAGGTACCATCCGACCCTCCGAATCTCCGCAATCATCACCCTTCTTTTTCGTCGGCAAGAAAGACGGATCTCTCCGGCCATGCCAAGACTATCGTTATCTGAACGAACACACGGTTAAAAATAATTATCCATTACCGCTGATCTCAGATTTAATAGACAAACTCAAGGACGCCCAGATCTTCACCAAGATGGATATCCGATGGGGATATAACAACGTACGTATGAAAGACTCCGACTGTTGGAAAGCGGCATTTGCCACATCCAGAGGACTCTTCGAACCATTGGTAATGTTTTTCGGCATGTGCAATTCGCCGGCCACTTTCCAGTCCATGATGAATGAACTGTTCGGAGACATGATCCAGGAAGGATGGATAATCATTTATATGGACGACATACTAATCTTCTCCAAGGACTTCGAAACCCATCAGATTCGTACCCATAAGGTACTTCAACGACTCCGCAATAACTTCCTCCACCTCAAACCCGAAAAATGCACCTTCAACGTCAAAGAAATCGACTACCTCGGCATGATCATCAAACCCGGCTCCGTCGCCATGGACCCAGTTAAGCTCAACGGCATATCCGAATGGAAGACTCCCACGAAAGTCAAGGAAGTCCGATCATTCCTCGGATTCGCTAATTTCTATCGCCGTTTCATCGCTAACTACTCATCTATCGCACGACCCCTAATAGATCTAACCAAGAAAGACGAACCGTTCTCATGGACCCCAGAACGCGAACACGCCTTTCTCAGGCTCAAAGAAATCTTCACGTCCTCTCCCATACTCCAAATACCCGACAAGAACCTTCCCTTCGCAATCGCCACTGACGCCTCCCTCTACGCAACTGGGGGAGTTCTCTTACAGAAAGACGCCAATGGCAGCTGGCTTCCTTGCTCATTCCTCTCCCAATCCTTCAACCCCGCCGAACGAAACTACCAGATTTACGACCGCGAACTACTCGCAATCGTCCGCGCTTTGAAAGCGTGGCGACATTACCTCCTCGGATCCCCCTTTCCCGTCCTCGTACAAACTGACCATAAAAATCTACAATATTTCAGAGACGTCCAAGACTTGAATCGCCGCCAAGCACGCTGGCAGACTTTCCTTTCCCAGTTTGAACTACGTATTGAACATGTACCGGGTAAAGATCTCATAATACCCGACTTATTTCGTAGATCGGATCACCTTCCGGACGACAGCGTCGAAAAGGACAATCTCCAAATCCAACTCCTCCCTGACTCGTTATTCATTAACACCATTGACACTTCCTTCACGGACAGATTACGTATCTCATCTTCGGTTGACCCAGTAGTACATACCGCGCTAGAAGCGCTTACAGATCCCTCTATCCCCCCTCCACTCCGATCCGCTCTTTCCGACTGGAAATTGAGCGACGGAATTCTTACTTATAAAGGACTCACCTACGTATCCCCAGGCGACCTTCGTCATGAAATCACCTCCCTTCATCACGACTCCCCTACCGCCGGCCATCCAGGTCGCTTCAAGACACAAGAACTCCTCTCTCGCGACTTCTGGTGGCCCGGCCTTTCTACCTTTGTCAAGAACTACGTCGACGGCTGTAGCATCTGCCAACAGAACAAAGTAAACACGCACCCGTCCTCCCCTCCTCTCCAACCGATACCCGCTCCCCTCTCTAACCGACCCTTCGCTCAGGTCTCGGTCGACCTCATCACCGACCTTCCACCATCCGACGGCTTTGACAGCATCATGGTCACGGTGGACCATGGCCTTTCGAAGGGGGTAATTTTCACCCCTTGTACCAAGACGATTGACGCCGAAGGCGTTGCGAACATTTTCTTTTCCAAAGTTTTCTCTAGATACGGACTATACGATAAGATTATTTCTGACCGCGGACCTCAGTTCGCCTCTAGATTCCAGATCGAACTCAGAAGACTCCTCGGATACAAGAACTCCCTTTCCACTGCGTTTCATCCCCAGAGTGATGGAGAGACCGAACGAGTTAATCAAGAGCTCGAAGTCTACCTCCGGATCTTTTGCGGTAACGACCAAACCGGCTGGTCCGCCATGCTTCCCCTAGCGGAATTCGTCCATAACTCACGTCATCATTCCGCTCGCGGCACCTCCCCTTTCTACCTCATGATGGGTTACCACCCGAAACATCTCCCTGACGTCCATCCTAAATCCGACATCCCCAACATCGAACAACGTCTCTTTATGCTTAACAAAGCACGCGATGAAGCGCTAGCCGCTCACGAACTCGCACGAAACACCATGCGCCAGCGCATCTCCTCCCGATTCATTCCATTCGCTAAAGGCGACAAAGTCTGGCTCGAAGCCAAGAACCTCCATCTCGGGTACCCTAATCGCAAATTAGCTCCCAAGCGCGAAGGACCCTTTATCATCACCGATGTACTCTCCCCAGTCACCTACCGACTTGCTCTGCCCGCACAGTGGCGTATTCACCCCGTCTTCCATGCCGCCCTCCTATCTCCCTATAAAGAAAACGACATTCATGGTCCCAACTTCATCGCACCACCACCTGATGTCATTGACGGCGAAGAAGAACAAGAGATTGAAGCCATCGTCGGTCATCGTGGCTCATCTTCTAGACGCTCCTACAACGTTAGCTGGAAAGGCTTCCCGAGTTCCGAGAACGAATGGATGACAGAAAGGCAACTAGGTAACACTTCTGATATTTTACTTGCATATAAACGCGCGCATCGCCTTTGACATTTTATTTAGTATTCAGTGCATACTACTTCCCTTAAAACGGGGGTAATGTTACGGTTCTACTCTTTTCTCTCATATTCTATTCATTTCCATCACCTTCTATCATATTCTATCGTATGATTCTCTTTCTCTTTTCTGATTGGTTCCTCATTTACAAGCTCCGCTTGAACACTCGTCTCATTTACTATTTAAACCCTTTACTTATCGCATGTATTCCTTAACTTGACCTACGCAGACCAGGGCCTGCAGACTCTAGCTTTACTTGTGCAATTGAACTCTACTTTGATCTTTGATACCAGACGTCTTTGTGACGCCGAGCGTAACAGGGAGTGCTGGAGTAGGAAAGAGGCGTGCCAGAACTTCGGCAGGGGATGGCGAAACAGGGATTGGGTTGGCGGGAGGAGTGGTGTTGACCATGATTGAATTGAAAGAGATACTGAGTGACAAAAACTCTGGCCTGGTATTTATGTGAGGAACCATCGAGATGCTGACAGCACACGATCTCCCCATGCCGGACTCATAGAAGCGGGAAGTAGTCCTACCTCCCACTAAGGACGGCGGATGAACAATAAATGGTAGATTCTTTGACTTCTCTAGAAAGGTTCGCAGGCGAATCGGGGACACCAAGAAATGTGCAAAACCTTGAATTCTGAACATGGACCTCAGCATTCTATAAACTGAAAAGCACGAAGACACGAACCTCCGTCCTCTAGATGCTAAAGCTTGGTGTGTCCAGTGTCGCTGCTTAAGCTGCACCCGCTCTTTACGCAGGTTGATGTATTCGCCAGAACATTCTGAGGACCAAGCAGCTCGAACGCAGCTATGAAAATTTTGTTACGACTGACCTCGACTCAGACAGACTCGGCCTACTTGACTACTTCATCGGGCATCCCTTTTTCATGCTGGTTAGCACATGTAAACGCACCCATTCTGCAACGTAATCGCCCGCCTTCACAGGCATTAGTGGTTAATGGGATACCAATTTCATGATTTGAACATTGTTCTACGCCATACATGGATTCAAATGTGCTCCAGACGCTCGCGAATCGTTCCGAATGTATGAAAACGCTTTGTGGGCGGTTCACTGATCCATTAAAATGGTATTATCGCCACAGGCGTGAAGTCAGACGTTGTTTTGCCATGCATATACCACTGGTGTATACCCTCTGCATATGATCGTGAACAAACACTGTCGTGTTTATGCCATGAGAGCAATGTGATTAAGGTCACTACCAGACACGAGTCATACTTAACATTAGGGAAGTTTTCGGCACTCACTTCTGAACCAGCCGGGGTCAGCCACCCGAAGTGTTGAGACCATGCATTCTAAGTTTCTTGACAGCGCCGTCAAATCTGGCAATGGAGTATTTTGGAATATTTTCGGTGATGTTACCTGTAGGTCCTCACAACGGTCGACCTGGCGGGATGATTTATTGGGTACGCAGGAGTCCGAAAGAGTCAGTCGCAGCAGATATTGTGTGTTGCGCGGTCCACTGGCCCGTTGCCAAGCTTATCGTCTTCTTGAAGCCTTTCCGCATTGTGGACGGATATGATAGTTCAAGACCTGGCAGGTTGCAACGGCGAATGTAATGAGTCTTGAGACGGCTATAAATTCTGTGATCTCGATGAGCGTGATGACAAGTCAGCTACTAGTTACAGAGCACGTACTAGGATACCACTGGTACTGAGCCTTTGTCGCAAAATCAGCGAGTATCGAACCGAACGGGATATTTTACAGTCCCATGTTTGCAACGGGACAATGGCTCCGAGAAAAAGTTTTCAGTACAAGCCCAGGAGAAGTCAGATATGGGTGTGCAAATAATAAAACCCCACCTGCGACACGACGAAGGTCGGCTCGAGCTCGAGGTAGAATGTATGGAGGTGTCTGGATGCACTGGTATCGAGCTCAGTAGTACCTGCATCTCACCACTGACTTTGTGCATAATCTTGGCTTGATGTAATCGTATTAGGGATCAGGCTTAGCTTGCCCAGAACGGAGAGCAGACGAGAATCTAAGGCGTGGCCACATCATGATCATAGTGCACATAACACGGGAAATCGCCAACAAATTCAAGTGACGTTGAAGGCTTGGAGTGCAAGCCTCGGAATATGAACGTTTATTTGGTTTGAGATCACGTGGACACAGATAGCAACTTGGGGGGCTTGGAGTTAGGTAACGAACGTCAGGACACGGAATGATTATGCATGTATACATTAAAGTTACATTATCAGCTGAGATGGGAGGCAAACAAAAAAGAAACGTGTTACTTTACATATTTTGGATATGATTCCCCCATCGTCTATGCGTGCGTCTTGGCCTCAAGCTCATCTCTCTCCAAAGCCACTCTCTCAAACTCCTGGTAATCCCAGGCACCCGTGTTGGGCTCTCCCTCCCTCACCCATCCTAACGCGGCACCCGTCAACCAAGCTGCGCGCAAGAACACGCTCCCGTCAAGGAACTCCCACTCGGGCGCCTCGAGCGCTTTGCCCTCGCCCTCTGCGAGTTCAAGGCCACCAGGCAATAATGGTGTGTCAGGATAGCTGATTGCTGGACTTGAGGACAGAACCTCCGACATGAAACCGGCCTCGCGGTGTCCGTACAGTATGGCAAAGTGCGCGAGCGCACGCTGGCACTTGCACAGATGCTCATTCGGGTGCACGATCGCATTCTGTAGGACGGGATACCACACATTGGGCGTGACCACGTGCGGGCTGTCTCCGCCGAGTAGTGCAGATGCTGCTGGCTGGGGCAGAACGCCAGGGAGCGTCGTTGCGTACTTAAAGTGCGCTGGGGATGGAAGGGGCGCAAGCGGTGCGGCGAAGAACTTGCGCAGGGGAAGCGCGGGGCGTCCACGTACGAGCCACCAGGTGATGCCCGCGAGGAAGTGCGCACGCAAGAGGAGAGACTGGCTTTTGTATGATAAATGAGCGCAAAGAGACGGGAGGAAGAGACATGAGGTGACGATGTGCATAGTGAAGAAGTCTGCACGATACTCCTCGCTCTCGCCGCCCCAGCTGCCGACGCCGTACATCAAAGTGCTTGCCCATATGAGCTCCTCAAGGTGGCGGTTGAAATCATCCTGGCTGTTGATCTCGCACGTCCACATCTCTGCGTACGAGTTGATGAGTTCGCCGTGCGACACGAGCATCGCCTCGAATTCATGCTTCTCAAGGATACGCGTCCAGAAACGGTTATCGGTGAGCATCTGCGAGAGGATCGTGAGTGCGTGCACGTGCGATTTGGGCCTGTACTGAGAGTCCGGGTTTCCGGGGAAAAGTAAACGGGAGACAAGGACGGTTGCCCGTGCGGGATGAACGCTCGCCTGTGCGAGACCCTCAGCCAGCATGCCTGGAAGTCCGAACTCTGCGCCATAGCCAGCGTGAATGAGGGGGTGGATGAGGATTTCGACGAAGCGGTTAAGCATTTCAGGCTGCTGTTTGCCCAGTGCGAGAGAGGTGTTGATATTGTACTCTGAAGAAAAAATGTACTTTTCAAGGGTGCTTGAGATGGTAGCGCCTGGGGCGAGAACTACTTTGTGGAAATAATCCAAGTAAGCATTGTAATAGCTGGATCGCGTTTATGAGTTATTTCGACTGGATATAGGAAGTGTTCAGGCTTACTTTTCGTCCCCGAGGTAGTCATGGAAGTTGTCATCTGAGATGACGACACGGTCGGGTGCCTGGAAAGCATCACGCATATGGTCGAGGTGAGTGTCCTCATATGCAGCTGTTATCAATGGACCAGATGCTCCGAGGGCCCAAATTGCTAGCAAGTGGTGGGCAGCATGGCTAGATGAAGTGTCAGGATTGCTCTGCGGTGTCATTCAGTAAGTACATACTTGTGGAAACTGTAGTAATTGAAGAAAACATGGCTGCGCTCGTGGTTATCCTTCAGTGTCTTGAGCAGTGCAGCAGTTGGCCCTGGACCGGCATTTGGTAGGCGGGCTGGTGCAAGGACTGATGGAGGGAGTGCTGGAGCAGGAAAAAGGCGTGCCAGAACCTCAGCTGGGGATGGTGCGACAGGGATTGGATTGGCAGGAGGAATTGTGTTGACCATGATTGAATGAGTGAATGCTGAGCGGCGAAGATCCTGACCTACATAGTATTTATGTGGGACCGCAATCAGGGACTCCACGGTGACAGCACATGATGAATTGACTAGGTCGGTAACGATGGGGTCTTAGACTTCTCTAGAAAGGTTAGTGGTGAACTAGGCAGTGACGCCGGCGATAACGGACACAGCATTTATGGACTTAGTCTGCGGCTGTTGACGACAACGGACTGCTAGCGTGACACACGTCCTTCGAGATCATCATCGGCACGGACCTCCAAGGACCTCCAAGGGACCTATCACGAGTGGAGCCGAACGCCAGTGCGCTTGCCTATGGTGAACGCCGCGTCACACAAGCCGCGTCACGACCGCCAATTTCACCTGGCCATACTGTTGTGGGCAGAACTCTGCGAAAAATGGCTGGCAGAACTTGGCAGAACCCAGGAACTAGTGCATAATCATATGTGCATGTACATGTGTGTAACTTCAAAAATGTGAAAACAGAGTCGCAGACGCTCTCGGCTGATCCTTCGTCCCAGAATATCAGAGGTCCATAATCTGCCTGGCCATCATTATCATCCGCCAGCGGCCACTGCAAATATGCTGCTCTCGAGCTTCGCCGGCAAGCCCGGGCGATCAAGTTCTCTTACATAGCACTTCTTGGTTGCTTCATCCAGTCCTGCCCTAGGATCCGGAAGCCAACTTTGCATGGGCTCCATCTGCCAAACCACAAAATGTAGACGACCTCCTTGCAGGTACCGAGACCATATCAGCTAAAAATGTCGCCGAAGCATTCATTGCTCTCGGAGCACAGGAGAATCTGGGAAAATTCGTGAGTATCAACAACGCAGAGGTCCTTGGAGGAAGGGCATTTGATTTTGCCCAATCGGAGCGGGTTGATCAGGCCATAGTACCCCAAGCTGCTATAGATAAGGTAAGTTAATGTCGTGGATCATAACGGCGAGGATGATGGATGGGACGATGTGTTGTTGATGTCTTCATTAGGGTTGTCGTTGATGTTGTCGATAGGACAAATCGACCGCTAGAGTTGTGCCACTTGGCAGAACCAGTCATTCTGCCGGTTGTGCCAGCACAACTGACCTCAAGTAGTTCTGCTCACGACAGTACCTGGCCATGGCCCAATTAGAAACATACAGAAGCTCCTGTGTGGTTGGTGTACGATACAAGAGGACTTGAACAACACTTGTTATTCGTTCTGCAAAATAGTACGTGAAATCACATCTCGGACGCACGCTACCTCAACGTTCAACTGCAAGTATACTTACCCTACTGTGCAGACAAGATATTGCCTTCGCGCACATCCGCCGGCATATGTTCCTGGAGCCATGTTTGGAACACCACTTCATCGTCCGTTGGAACGGTCTCGAATGGGAATATATATTTGTAAACCACCGCTAAGCCATGCATAGCAACGTTGAAGTTCTCTTTGTGCGATCGCGGTGGACGCATCCGACGCAGCCTTGCTATAAAGCTCATTTTTGTGTCATGGCATGCATTGGCATCCGCTATCAGCCAGTCATCCAGTGGTCTCTTGCTGAGGAGCTTTCCACCTTCATACCGAAGACAGATCCAGGTGAGGACCCAGATGAACGATTCAGCAACATGCTGGTACACGTGCTCGACTTCGCCTGTGATAGCATCTGCGAGAAGCTCTAACGCCATGAATGGCAACATTACTGTGCGCTCGAAGCCTGGACCATCTCGTTTAATCGATGACAAGTCGAAGTCATTGAAGACGCCAATAAATCGACCACCTGAGTGGTATCCCATGAAATTGCTGGGGTTGGTGTCGTGGTGGCGCACGCCCCTCTTCCAGAGGGCCCGATGACCTGTCGAATGAGTGAGTGGATGATAAAGAGCACTGCGAGAGGGAGAGAAGTACAAATTACAATTTGCCACCATGCGGCAAGGAACTCGTTTCCGGTCAGCGTCGTGATCGGGAGAAGTTTTCTCAATGTGATAATGTATAACAAATTACAGCTGTCCCGTTCTGCGTCGTTAAGCCTTGGTGCCCTTCTGATTTTCGTCGTGGATGTTCCTTCAAACTTATGGAACCAGACCATCTCTGGGGAGTGGCCCTTCATCTCCGTGCCCTGGTTCAAGGATGTGTGAGCACAGAGTACTGAAATATTCACTGACAACGGCGGAGCCAACTGCTTGCGGCGTGGACTTGAGCTCGGCGTAGAAGGCAGACTTATGGAAAAGTGTCTTTGGTACACTGGCGTCAAAATTACAGCTATTTGCATAATACTACGGCCGGCGGTAATTTCCAAAAAAAGAATGCATTCATTTTTGAAAAAGTAGTGCTACAAAGATTGATTTTTATCTCAACAACGAAGCAAGCTATTGACATGGTCCAAGCAACAAAACTGATCAGAAAAATCTGGCGCAGATGACCAGCGAAAAAACTAAGCGTTTCGGCGAAGTTGGGTATATTGTCCATTTGTGTACAGCCACTGCCACTTTTTACGACTCAGATATCGAACATTTTCACAAGATGTATGCAATATTATCGCCCGAATGCTACCACTCCTTAACACATCAAAAATCATTGCATACACTGGAGCAAGCAAAACAGCCATCTGAAGTAGACACGAGGCAAGTGTCCGCTTCACCAAATCACTCCATCCTTTCTGCAGTCGCCTGCGCCTGAGTTTTCTGATCAAGTTTGTGTCTTACCACTTCTCAATATCTTGCTTCGTTACTGAAATAAAAATCAATCTTTGTAGTTCTACTTGAGTTCTACTGGCTCAGAGGGCAGGTGATCACCAACTTCGCCGAAACGCTTAGTTTTTTCGCTGGTCATCTGCGCCAGATTTTTCTGATCAGTTTTGTTGCTTGGACCATGTCAATAGCTTGCTTCGTTGTTGAGATAAAAATCAATCTTTGTAGCACTACTTTTTCAAAAATGAATGCATTCTTTTTTTGGAAATTACCGCCGGCCGTAGTATTATGCAAATAGCTGTAATGGACATGAGGTTGCGGAACGGAAAAGTGGGCATTGAAAACTATACGCAAACCCAAGCAAACAGTGTAAGTCATCAGTGCTATAGATATGCAGATGGGCAGTCTAGGCAAAAATCGGGGGATGGATGATACATAGAATTCCATGTCATGTGGGTATTGAGAATCCCCGAGTGTTCGGTCAACAAAATAGTATGTAACATCACATTTCGGAGGCACTCTGCCTGAACTGCAAGTATACTATCTACTACTGTCCAGGCAAAACATTGCCTTCACGCACATCCGCCGGCACATTGTCCTGGAGCATTGCCTTGAACACAACTTCATCATCCGTTGGAACGATCTCCAATGGGCCTAAATATTTGTGAACCACCGCCAAGCCACGTATGACAACGTCGAAGTTGTTTTTGTGCGATCGCGTTGGACGCTTGCGACGCAGCTTTGATATAAAGCTCGTTTTTTCCTTATGACAAGCTATGGCATCCACGGTCAACCACTCATCCAGTGGTCTGCCTTTGCGGAGGAGCTTGCCCTCTTCATATCGAAGACAGATCCAGGTGAGGACCCAGATGAACGATTCAGCATCATGCCGGTACACGTGCTCGACTTCGCCTGCGATAGCTTCTTCTGTGAGAAGGTCTAAGGACATGAACGGGACCGTCCCTGTGCGCTCGAAGCCTTTGGGGCGTTGTTTAATCGACGATGACAATTGTATAATCGACGCCAAGTCGAAATCATTGAAGACGCTGATAAAACGACCATCTAAGCGGTACCCCATGAGATTGTTGGGGCTGACGTCACGGTAATGCACGCCTCTCCTCCAGAGGGCGCGATGACCTGTCTAAGTAGTGAGCGGATGAAAAAGAACATGAGAAGGACAGAACACTTACACTTGACAACGTCCCACCATGCGACGAGGAACTCCTTTTTCTCCAGCGTCGTAATTGGGGTAAGCTTTTTGAATACGATAATGTGTATGACACGGTGACCTAGTTCGGCATTATCAAATCCTGGCGCCCTTCTGATTATCGTCGTGGATGTTCCGTCAAACTTGTAAAACCAGACCATCTCTGGAACGTGGCCCAACACATCGGGCTCCTCTTTCGCAATCTTATATACCTCCTCGAGGAAATCAGGTTCGCTCTGATGTGCCTGGCGGCAAGCACGGTTGTCGAGAGCCTAAAACTGGCCAACCAGCTTTCAAACTTCGGTGATGCCAAGACCCTTGCCATCAATCCTGTGATGACGATGCACCAACGGCTATCTTCAGGGGTCACACCCCTGATCTCAACCAGATGTGAGGTTTCTGATGGAAAGGATTTCTGGCTGATTATTTTGGCAGGTGTCAGTGGACATTGAACGTATCAATGACATTATCGTGGAGTTTGACCAGGCTTTGAAGGCTGCACCTTGGTTTTCAAAAGGAAAGGCGGTTATAATTTAGCAGTTGGACGCGATCACTAAAAATTTCCATACGAAAGCGCACTTTTAAGCATCGCCCGAAGTTAAGGACTTTCTTGCACTTATCGGCTCTTACGTCCGCCGGATTCATGATTAGAACGTCCAAGTGGCCGAAAAGTGCTCAAATATGCTTCTTGACTTCTTCAGCTTTTCCTTTAGGTAATTCCTCCAAGCGGGGCTCAAACGAGCTGGATTTGTAGTATTATCTTCCAAACATCAAAGGCCGTGGCTCACGGCCCCTTGATCGCTGTACTTCCTGTGCAGGAGGTAAATGAGTGGTATGTAAACGTGAGAGAAACGCTAGTAAACATGTTACTATCACCAGTTCTGAACACCAATGCTATACGAGGTCCGTGGCTGCACTCATGGTTATCCCGAGTGTCTTGTGCAGTTCAGCAGCTGGCCCTGGACCGGCATTTGGTCGACAGACTGGTGCGAGGATCGATGGAGGGTGTGCTGGAGTGAGAAAGAGACGTGCCAGAATCTCAGCAAGGGATGGTGCAACAAGGATTGGATTGGGAGGAATTGCGTTGACCATGATTGAATGGAGAGGGATGCTGAGCAGCAGTTGAGAATATACTGGTTTATGTGAGGGTGTAATTAGTGACCTTAATAGAAGGAATAACCAGTATGTTCCTCGAGCTCCACCTATAACCTAGTTGACAACAAATGATGAAAAAATTGAAGGCTAGCAGTGGTGAACCACTGCAGACCAGCACTTAGTCTGCGGCTGTTGACGACGACAGCAACTACAACGGCTCTGCTGGTTCTGCCAAACTGAGGCTAGCGTGTCCTTCACCATAGTCCGAGTCAGCGAGGTTTGTGCCTACGGATAGGCTCCAAGGCCGTCCGACAACCTATCATGAATGAGCAGAACGGCGCCGCAGTACTGCGCAATACGCACCACGTAGCAGGACTTCAAAGTTCGTACTCACGTTTCTATATGGGACTAAAGCACATGTGCTTAATGGTACACTTTGGTTCCTGCTAAATAGAAACAAATATGGTATGAAGTCGCTCGGTTTGTCTAAATCATTATGCAAACGACTGTAACGCGGAGGCGACGATGCTGGAAGCTTCTAAGTAGCACTGAAGGGAGCTTATACGTAACTGAAGAGGCATGCGGGCATGGACTCGGGCATTAGCGCTGACAGCTGAGTTATGCATACTCAGTCTTTATCTCCATGCTGCCTTCCTTTTATACCGCATCGAAGTGGGTAATAGCCTGAGGCATCCCGTGTGTGCCACACCAACGTGGATGCGGAGGCCTACTTACAATCAAGGGCGGACGGAAGTTAACTGTTTCGCTCATGTGCCTCCATCGTAAGTGACAATGCGACCCAATGGGGCAACGGTGACCATGCACTCACGATTGCTATGCCCAAGCCATATACCGTCAACACGCGTTCAACTCAGCGGTTGTTCAAATAGGTCTAGAGCGGCTAATACCCCATTCTCGCTATGGTTCTCCCTCAATGGTCATCCTAGTGGGAGATGTGCAGTATGTACTAGTACATAGTAATTGTAAGTCAACTATGGGCAGTATTGACCTTGCACTGGCTGATCAGAACTATTCATAGTCAATCAGTTCTTAATAGTGTCTGAATATTCCACTGTGTAGCTCCAGTGATTCCGATAAACAACAAATCTCTCTCACAGCTGTCCAGGATTTCTTCCTCCATTGTTCCGCTCCCATGTGAGCATCGATTAAGAAGGCAGTGGGGCTTGGACTCGTGATCACAATTGGTAGTAATACTCGCGTGATTGATCGCCATGTCTATCTGCTACTACCACTCAGCTACTCAGGAGACAGAACCTTGAGTATCATATTTATAGCAGGACAATCGGAGCCCACACTCAGATAACCGTTTATCTCTCTTTCCATCATTGATTTCCGATGGCTCAAGCCAACAAGTGAGTGTCATGGCTCATTTCAAGATCTTTGGTGATAACTTTTGGTCGAAGGCCTCAGGAATTCGAGACGCTGCAGCTGCACGCTGGTCAGGTTGTTGATCCTACCACCAATGCTCGCGCAGTTCCCATTTACTCATCCACGAGCTTCGTCTTCAACGACTCTAACGTTCGTCACCTTCTACAATGATTTGATTTAGGGGCTTATCGTAGCTTCAGCATGGCGCAGAGCTTTTCGGCCTGAAGTCAGTTTCACTGAGGATAACAAGCGATTGAACTTAATGGAACATCATACAGGGCTTTTGGACACATATATTCTCGTATTGGAAACCCCACTGTCGTCCGTGATTCTTTCATCGATGCTCCTGTACAGCCAAATCATTTCCATTCACGTAGGATGTATTCGAGAATCGAATCGCTGCCCTTGAAGGTGGCGTTGCGGCCGTTGCAACGGCTTCTGGTCAATCTGCGCAATTCCTCGCGATTTCCACGATAGCCAGTGCAGGCGACAACATCATTTCAACGTAAGGCCCAGACTTTCAGGTCCAGAACCCCAACTGACGTCTTAACAATAGATCTTATCTCTACGGAGGGGTAGGTGTATAATTTTGAAGAATTTGAGATTTTTCTAATCCATGACGTCGCTTGAAGACATACAACCAATTCAAAGGTTCGTTTTTCACTTTGTCATCAGCACTGGAGCTCATGCGGCGTGCAGTGACCTTCAAGAAATTTGGTATCGGAGTGAAGTTCGTGAATGGCGATGATCCGGAGCTTTTCAGAGCAGCAATCGATGAGAACACGAAGGCAATTTACGTCGAGAGCATCGGTAACCCAAAGTACAACGTTGCGCCCATTCCTGAGCTGGCGAAAGTGCGCGTACCGATCACTATCAATGGAACGCTGCTCATGTATGTAAACTGCACAGGTCGCGCATGATCATGGCATCCCCTTGATCGTAGACAACACCTTCGGGATGGGAGGATACCTCATCAAACCCATCGAGTTGGGCGCAGACATTGTTGGTGAGCAGATCCCTTATGTGGGCGATCCGCAGCTCATCAGTGTGGTCATTAGTACACAGCGCAACCAAGTGGATTGGAGGTCATGGAACGACGATTGCAGGTGTTGTCATCGATTCAGGTGTGTTCACCCCACGACCACTTTCTATCTGCTTGTCTTATATTCTATTCAGGCAAGTTCAACTGGGCACGCTCCGGCAAGTTCCCGTCGTTCACTTCTCCCTCTGAGGGATACCATGGCATGATCTTTCACGACACATTCGGTGCTCTCGCTTTCGCTATCAAGCTTCGCGTAGAGTTACTCCGTGACCTGGGTCCGGCCCTGAACCCATTCGCCGCGTTCTTGCTCCTTCAGGGTCTTGAGACGCTCAGCTTGAGGGCTCAGAGGCACTCCGAAAACGCTTTGGCGCTTGCTCAGTGAGTTATTCGGCACTACATACATGTAGAACATTCTAATTGTTCTTAGGTGGCTGGAAAAACACGAGAAGATCGCATGGGTCTCCTTCCTCGGTCTAGAAAGTCACTCCTATCATCAGAAGGCGAAGCAGCTTCTCCGTCCAAACGCATTTGGTGGTGTCCTCAGCTTCGGCATCAAGGGTGACGTTAGTGTGGCAAGCAAGGTTGTCGACAGCCTGAAGCTGGCTAGTCAGCTTGCAAACGTTGGTGACGCCAAGACGCTTGTCATCCACCCTGCAACGACGACGCACCAACAGCTCAGTGATGAGGAGCAGCTGGCTTCGGGAGTCACGCATGATCTCATCCGGGTGCGTGAGGTTTCTGATGTGGATATTTTCTGACTGATTATTTGGGCAGGTGTCCGTAGGCATTGAACATATCAATGATATCATCGCGGACTTTGAGCAAGCTTTGAGGGCTGCACCTTGAATAATGTCAGGAAAGAAAGAGATATTGTACTAGCAATTGGACGCTGTCTCATGCATTGATTTCTAAATTGTATTGCTACAATCAAGCTAGGAAGAACATTTTTAAGCATCGCCCGACGTCCGACGGGGCTCGTCAAGGGTTGTCCTGATATACTCTCACATGTCTTGTCAGATTAATAATTAGAATGACATCGGACCGAGTGGTTGAAAAGCGCTCGAAAAGTGCTTCTGGGCTTCTTCAGCTCAAGCGAGCTGAATTCATATCCTCCATATATTAAAGGTCAGACCGGCCATGGCTTGTGGACCGCTTGAGTGCTGTACTTCACAGGAGAGCTCAAGGCTGCCTGGCTTGGTTGCAGTGCCGTATGACGTAATATTATTACAACGTCGATGACTGGTGAGGTCCCCAAAGTAAGCCAAGTTGTTTGAAATTGGGATAGAAGATGGCCTTTGGGTTGAACCTTGCCATATCACTGCCACCTCTCTGACCTACTTAAATCTCTAGGCGTTGAAAGTGCAGACCACGGCGCTCCACGACGACTTCGCAACATGGGGACCACTATCACTGCAGAATTAGAATTTGGCGATCAGCCAATCGGGCATTATGGTGCGCCCAACAGGTCTACTAGGCGCTCCACCATACTGACTATCTCTGTCACTGTGTATGCAGACGACGCGTCACTTGGAGATATGTATTCTGTAGAACTCATACGTTCCCGCATCAGTGCGATGTGCATTATATTTGTTGTCTCTCTTTTCGGTTCGTCATTGGCCCGGGTATCCTCCTAAATAGTACCCTTCTATTGTGATACTAATGACTGCTTATTACTAGCATCATCATTTCCTTTGCTCTCAAAGCGCCTCACGTTTCTTAAAATTCCTCGCATCGTGTTTTTCATTGGAAAACACTTTGGAACAGGTGAGCTGTTCGGATCACAGCCTCCCTATTTCTGACGTTTTAAACAATAATAGGTGTCATCCTGTCCACAGCGTTCGTTCATCTCCTTCAAGAATCCTTCGAGGCTTTGAGTAATCCAATTCTACGCTCTCGCTCGAGGATAGGGGATTTTACTGGTCTCATTGTGTGCGTCACCCGTATTTCTTGCGTCCTCTCTATCACAGATTTAATTGTTATACAGACTAACCTCGCTTTTGTCCATATTCTTGATTGAATGTGCGTGTCCGCCTGCGCCGCTACAAAAATGAGCCCTTACTAATAAGCTGTCAGATGTATCCACTTCATACGTGGACCGACTTCAGTCATACAGTTCGCCCCTTTCATCTCCAGAATCAACTACCCCGATAATTGCGTCGACACCTATCTCCGCGACACCTACCCGTCGCGGAGATACGCCTAAGCCACTAGAAAGCCACGCTTCCCAATCTGAGCGCTCGCATCTCGTACATTCTTATTCCTCACAAAGCCCACGACGTACGCGATCGTTCTCGTACGGATCTACAAATCAGCCGCATAGGCACGATTCCTACTTCTTCGAAGGACATCATAGACATGAATCTAGGTGCTCCCATGATACGCACCATGAACGTGGACTCAAGCTATCGTCATCATACGGCCCAGAAGAATTCGAACAGGGTACTGCGGCAGGCTCCGCACACGTGCATGTTCGGGGGCTTCATCCCGAGCACGGGCATTCACATACGCTCGACTCTGTTATTGCTGATGGACGGCTGGAGGACGAACCAGAAGAGGTTAAAGTCGGAAAAAAGAGGCAGATTGTTGGTATTCTCGTGAGTAACACTCTTGCTTAAAGCCCTCGTGGGGCTTATTCGCTTTCTAGGTTCTGCAATTAGGGATCATGATCCATTCCGTTGTCATAGGTCTAACATTAGCAATCACTCAGGGCTCCGAGTTCGGTGCGTGGTTTTATTTTATGGTTTGATTGACATTGAGTCCAAATTTTATTGCAGCCTCACTTCTCGTGGCTATTATTTTTCACCAACTTTTTGAGGGGCTGTCGCTCGGCATTCGGATAGCATCTCTTCCTTCGTCAGGCGATGGAATCAATAAATATATGGCCATTTTACGATCTACTCTTATCGTGCTTTTTGCAGTCACTAACCCTGCAGGCATTGTAATCGGTCTGCTGTCATTCAGGCGGGGCCACGATGTTGGTACGTACAACTGCAACATTCCATCTCCTTATTCCTTGTTCTGACGCAGCTTTACCTTTTGACAGTGGATATGCTTCTCATTCAAGGAATCATGTCTGCAATATCGGCAGGTATGTTGATGTACGCCGCGTGTGTCGAGATGCTTGCGGGAGACTTCGTAATGGACCCCATTCTGTGGCGTAGCGGGGTCTGGAAACAGGTGCTGGCGTTGGCGAGCTTGGGCGCGGGAGTGGTAGCTATGGCACTCGTGGGGATGTGATGGCCAGCTTTAAAGGGTGGTCAAAAACACATTCTGTTACTGATCTCTCTGTTATTATTCTGACATCTTGCTGTATATATTATTGGCATGATTAGGTACTGAGATTGTCTGTTGGTTTCTCAGGGGTAGTTGTTTGGATGTGGGTGACAGGTGTGAGTCGGGCAAACTTCGGCACTCTTCGTCACTCGCATGGCGAATGCCTGGGCCCTGGCAATCACGTCGTGGAGAAATTTATGCTCTCCTTCTACAAGATGCGTGGAATCCTATCGCGCGTTGATATTGCGACTCGCCTCTACTTACAAGCTCCGGCCCAGATGATCGTCCGAATCGGCGCAATGCTTCGCCAGAACAGCCTGTCCAGCAGGTATCGTGGAACATTGTTTAGCAAGTCTGGACCATACATATAGCATATCGGTAGATCCTCCTGTTCAATGCAAGAATTGGTGGCTCACCACTCGAGTGTTCAAACGTAACCTCACACTTTCATTAACTTTCTCCCTGGCACCAGACGTGTTGCTAGGAAAGGAAATTACACTGATCAGACGCCTATTGATATGCGTGGCAGCGTGTGGTTCTGGCTCTGGTTCTGCTTCCACACCCACTATCCACCTGCTCTGCATGCCTACCTGGACAATCATCTCACCATGCGAGAAAGACTATGACCATCCAATGCGCATGAACATATTCCGGGTCATGAAAACCGTCTACCGCATGTTGGACTCACCAAATGAGCCCTCCGCAGTTGACGAAGGAAGACACATCGCGACCCTCGGATACGCAGTGCCACAAGAAAAGCCAGGGCCTCCTGACCTATCAAGTCTTGTCATCCATTTCCGTCTCTCTGCACAAATTGCTACGCACTTTGCTGTCGTATTCCGTGACCTGCAGATCGAAGACATGGTGCAAAACATGTGCATCCCCATCCCATGCGAGCTTACGCCGGTCATGACGGACATCTATGAATTCGTAGTCGCGAGGTCCACCTCCTGTCGTGGGTTGAACCCAGTGGAGGAGTGTGACCTTGCCCGTAGGATATGGAAGCAGCTGCAAGCGGAGGTAAGGACTGATCATATCCATCCATTGTCAAAGTGCGAATTAATTGCTGCAGAAATACCATAAACGCCTTTTACAGCAAGAGGTGGTTAGTGACATAGACATCGCCTGTTTACGACCAGGCTCTCCGCGGTGTTCTATATGCGAATCCAATCTTATCCACTGCAACAACTGTCAGGTTGCATCGTGCGAGTCAGATGACTGCCCGGGATCTTCTGAACCCCCACTGGCGCGGTGCAGTAGACATCAAAAAGAGGTGTGGTGTTTTCCATGCCTTGAGGAGCAGGGGTCCAAGTTGGAGCTAGAAAGGTGTCCTGGGTGCAATTCATGGTGCTGTACGAGGGATATGTCATCGTGTAGCGGTCATCCCATCGGCATCCAGCCCATTCCTCGCATACCCGGCAGCAAGTCCGTATTTCCTGACCTGATCGTTGCATACGCCCAATCCGCACGTATCCATTCTCCAAGGCGCGGTTCCTGTATGGAATGCCAGCTACCCGGCTGGCGGAGCTGCAACAGCACACTATGTTGGTCACATACGATCTGCCCGGAGTGCGCAAGCGGTGGAATGACGTGTCTGTGTCAGGAAGTGTGGGCATGCGACCTCTGTGCTGAGCATAACCCAGAGGTCTTCATTCGCTGTCCACGCTGTAACCGGCCGTTCTGTTGCTCTTGCTCATATATCGACGAATGCCAAGAGTGCCACCGCACGAACCTCTGCTATGACTGTGCCGAAGAAGAGTCGGAAGTGAATGACGAGATGATAACGGAATTTCCTAAATTCGTCGCGTCATGCGGGAGCTGTCAGGCGAAGGTATGCGATCGCTGCGTATCGTACCCGTCCTTTGCGTGTGCGGGGTGCTCGCAGCGGCTTTGCCCGTCATGCTGCAAGTCGTTGTGTGATGACTGTAAACAGTGGCTTGCGAGTGATGATGAGGATAGTGTATCTAGCGGGAACGCCGACACTGACCTTGACGTATAAGTACCCCTGTTAACATCACGAATTGCTTTCATGTCGAGATCTGCACGATAGAAAACAGCACAAGTTCATCAGCAAAAGTGGCGAAAGCTGACAGGGCCTCGGCAGATACCGTAAACCTGGCGTAGGGTTCCAAATATGGCTACAAGCCTTACAGCCGTCACACCAGGCATTGCAAGACTCGCAAATTGCTTGCAGAGGCAAGATAAGCGTTTATACAAGATTTCGTAGTGACGGATGTGCCGCAGAGTATCATGTAATGAAAAATTTAGCTATCATGGTACATTTTAATACTCTCCATAGTCATCATAGTCTTCCTCGTTTTCTGCAGCGCCCTCCCCATCCTCGGCACCAAGATCAATCTCGCTATCATTGTCACCGTCATCTTCATTGCTGTCCTCCCCATCATCCTCTATTATGCGCTCCTCCAGATCTCCATAACCGAACTCGCTACACTCGTCCTCTAATTCCGAGCCTGCATCTTCATCAGCTTCGTCGTCTGAATCTTCTCCTCCATCGAGCTGATCCACAGGCTCCAGTGACCGACGATCCTCCAACTCTTCCACATATTCAGGCCCATCCTCCTCACCTTCATTGGCATCACCTTGGCCAGCGGCCTCTTCATCATCACCCATATCAGCGGAGGCGCTGCCAGTAGAATGGCTTCGCATATCTTCGTCTGTGTCCAGACCGGCACTGTGATAGGAAGTGTCGTCCTCATTCATGGGCGATCCTGGCATGTAGAACATCCCAGTACGTTCGCTTTCCTTCTTGAAAGGTACTGAGTCGAGGGGATCTCGGTCCTCGTAAAAACTTCGTGTTGCCTCTCGAGTGGTCTTGTGTCCGACACCACCACCACGGAACCGCATAAACATATCGCGGTCTACAAATCTAAAGCGTGGTGAGCACCAAGAATGTATATTAAAGAAAACCTCGCACTGATTGACATAATACCAATTAAAGTCTGCATCAAGGTCGCGTGGCTGTCGGGCGATTGACGGAGGAAGTAGTGAGTATGTATAGCGCTTGCTGTATGCTGGGATTAGGTGGACAGCCCGTATGACATGCTGTGGGTCAATGAACCCAAACGCTTCTGCACCTACTTCGTGTGCATCAAAGAACCCAATCCGATGCAGCCGTCGTGCTGCCCAACCAGAGTTGTGGTTTGAGTCCTGGCAAAACCAACGCACCCAAAGAAAATCGATGCGCTGTGATGTTCGACTACGAGACTGAGCACCAAGATATCTCACATAGACGTGAAAGATCCCCACAATACGTGCATACCAGTACGGATGTGGTGCAAGCTCACCAGGCTGGCTCTCCTCATTAGCCAGGACCATAATATCAGCATGTACACGGGGATTGAGTGAGTCTTGGGCCCGATGTGGGAGAAATCGTAGAAGTCCGCTATAGTGATAGCGTACTGATCCTGCTGGGTGCGAG